ATATTTTTTTTCCATTTAAGCTTTGTACTCTGAATAGACATCAAAGTTTTTTCTTTTTCCACATTAATATTCATGTCAGAAGCAGAGACAAAAAAGAAAATAAGTAAAAGAAAATGCAAATGATCTCTTTCTGATATGCAAATAGCAAAAGCCAGATACTTCTTTGCACTTTGCATATGAGAAGACAGACGTGTACATGTTTGTGTGTCTCACAATCATCTAAGAAAATATCAAGCGAGTTTCATACTTGTCTTGACGGCACCATGCTGACTCGCGATCTGTTCTTACCATTTAGTGTCGAAAATGATAGCTTCCGATCATATAAACAAATTGTTTTATTTTTAGTGGTTTTGGCAGAGTTTCAAGAAGCAGGAGCAAAAATTAGTGAAAATAAACATGAACCAGACAAGGACACTGATAGCTCAGCTCACTTGTTATGCAGCAATGGTTTTAATATCGTGACGGCTATATTTCCATCATTAAGTAATATCTGGGGAAAAAAATGCAGTCGTGATAATAACTCAGTGTAGAGAAACAAAACAGAAACAAAATTCCTCTCAGATATCTGGACACCGAGCAGCCACTACATTAATCATAGTGTGGAAAGTTCTGACCCGTTGGGACATGGGGATCTCTCGGGGGTGTCTCCTCCGGCACTGATGGGTTGCTGTGTGAGGTCCCTGTAAATCTGGCTCGTTGCGATGCATCCCCCCTCCAGGAAAATCCCAGTCTGATTAGGAGCTGGTGGGTGGTTTGCAGCCCGATTCAACATTCTCACCGTGCTCTCACCGTTCCTGAGCGGTTTTGGTCAAAAGATGGGGAGCGGTGCCGTGCTGGGAGAAGTCCTCGAGCTCACTGGAAGAATGTGTCGGGTGTCACAGAAAAACGTGAAAGCCGGGAAAGTAGAGGATTCTGAGTTTGCATAGTAAGAATGAATCAACTGTCAGAGGTTGCAATGTAGTGGCTGGTCACGACAAACGGTTTGAAGGACTGTGCTGAACGCACGATTCTGAAATCTGATCTCACATTTGGCACCGTGAAACTGAAATATAATGCACTGAAAGTATGCGAGTGTTAATTGCCAACGTTAAAAATGCTGCATATGCCAAAGCTATTATTCTGCAGGTTACAATGTTTAAGCAGCCGTAATCTGTCATTCAAAGATGAAAATCTCACTTTGCACACCTTAGAAATACACCTTTGATTCCTGCATCACATCTGCAAGATCTAACAGGCCATGTGAAAAGCTTCTAAGTATATAACAGCTGATAAATTAATTCCCTTTGAACTCCAAGAATTATCCCATAGCACTCAAAGGAGAAACACTCTAGCATGCACACCACTTCATGACAAGCATAAAATAGAAATATGACAAACTTTTCTTCCGACAAAGCCGTTCTCCCACTAGCTTTAGAAAATCTTATTAAATTTGAAAAAGCATGTAAAGCATTTGACTCCAGATAAAATATTGGATACCTACTGACACAATATATATATATATATATAGACATACATATTTCAATCTAAATTTAAACTCATTTCCCAGCAGTCCCCGCATTGTATGATGGGTCCCATTTCATGACCTTATAGATGTGTTTAAATAGAATTTAATTGTTATATTATTAGAATATTTTGCTCTCATAATAGCATATAGCAACATGAGCCACATGTACACTTACAGGGGGATAATTAATTGAAAATGAGTTAATTTCTCCCACCGTGCTAGTCCACATGAATGGAGAGGAGATAAGAATAATCTTAATAGTTGGTCGGACCTTTTTTGAAAAAGTCCTGCCAGAGTGGGCTTATCTAAATCCTCTTGGCAGAGCTATGAGTATAGTCGGAGATGAGCTCAGAGGAGTGCTTAAATTTGCCTGAATAGAAGCTCTTATAAAGCAGCAGCAGCAGAAAGTTCAGATAGCGCTCCAATCTGCTGTTAGAACTGCCTCAAACTGAAGAAATATAGTTTACTCGCAGGTCCAAAATCACCTCATCCCGATTAAAGGGTGCACCGTAATAAGCAGAAAAGAAAAGTCGAGGGCTAATAGAAAACAGTGGTTGTTGTGCCTCTGATTTGTCCTTGCTGGCTTAGCAGGGGTAATGCAGTAAGAGGGCAAGAAGCGCGTCCCTCCTGTGTGATTGGTGTCGCTTAAAGAGCAAGGCTGCCCGGCTGCAGGTTACGAGGAGCTCTCGGTCAACAGGGTCTCACTGTTGCTCTGCCTCAGAGACTGCATGCTGGAGTCTCTGTCCAACCCCTCCTCTTCATCAGATCTGCCCACATTCAGGTGTCTCCGGTACATGAGAGGGCTACGACACAAAAACAGACAGCATTACACCTTTATCATGACATGGGTACTTAGAGGAGTGAAAAAAGAGAAAGGGTTAGAAAGTATGCAATGGCAACAACAAATACCTTTTAATGAGATGTGTTATTTACTGTGGTCAGTAAATACCACATCCCCTTCAGTGTACATGGCATTTGTGCGCATTGTTTTCAAGAGGTTCTTCAAATCTATACTTTTGATTAGTATTATGAAAAAAATCCATTAACCCACAGCAATCCGACAAATGTATCGATGTTCAGTTTAGGGTTTGTGTCACAAATCAAAGACAAATCCACTTCACAAGCATGAATATAAGGATTGTAATATGGTGTTTCATGCAATAGGACTTGGTAACTGCAGTTAGCGACATAAACAAAAGGGAATTTATTTTATCGTATTTATAAAAAGCACGGGCTGACTCATTAACTTCCGCCAAGGCTGAGAGGAAAACAGACGTTTGTAAAGTACCTGCCACACTCATTAAAGGTTGTGAATGTGGCTATTTCAAACAATGTTGTCATGACAACTCATGGCATTAGAAATAATTAGTCAAAATGATTACATTGTGATAACTTAAATCTGTCTTGCGGCAATAGTATTTAATCCACACTACTAGCTAAATGTGACACTATTTACATTAGTTCACAATTTTAATCTTATATAAATAACACATTTTGAAATATATATATAAATGCCATATTACATTCTAACATATTAAGTTAATTAAAGACATATCAACTTTAAATAACCCTATAAATATTGGGATTTGGCTGCCTAACCTCTAGCTAAGCATAAAAAGACATTTTCTAGACTCAAACTGTTATTTTTGTTGGCGTGAGCAGATATGCTCTACACTCAACCTGCCCCAATGCAATTGGTTTTTTTTTAAAGTATGCTTAAAATGACAGCAGTCTGTACAATTATTCTTACAATAGATAGCTTTTTATGCTTCGGGCTAATTTTGGCATTTCAATTATGATGCAAAGTGTTCACATCAAACACTTTCAACCGGCATGTTTCACCTCAAGTGAGAAGAAAAATTGGTGCAATTTCGTCTGCTTCATTGCCAGCCTCTGTTTGTGCTAGAGGAAAAGCCACAGCCAAACACTTTTCTTCCAACACGATGTAGTAATCACAGCATCTAAATCACACTAAGAGAAACTTGTATTTGCTGAGGTGTATTCTATCATTACCAAGCAACTATAGTAGTAGTTGTTACGACTGCATTTAAAGAAAGCTACTGCATAGCCCTAAAGTTTGGTCCTTGTTTATTTTTTTTCTAAATAAAGATAAATGCCAGCAAACAAAAAGGCAGAATACCTACAATATAGCTGGATCACATATGGTCATTGTGCAAAAGTGTTGGCAATTTGTCACTGGGACTGTCAGTGTTTATAATATGAAGTCCTGGAGAGTCACAGCAAGCTTTTTTTGCAGATATGCTGGCATGAAATTGAAAATCACACATTGGGATGGCATTGCATCTGCTTTGTTTGCTTCAGTGTTGCTCCGTGTTATTGTTATGCCTTGGGCGCAGGAGCATTGAGCAATCCCAGGCATCGTTAGAGCACCTTTCTGCATGGAAACTAGGGCTGAGCAGTATTGCGATGCATTATCTGGCACTGTTAAATACTGTGATTGATGATGTTACTTGCAATATAAAAACAGATACTTGTATTGTGCCTCAGTATGTACAAGTTCAGGAGTGTTAAAGGGCTGCATTCCACTTCTGCATCTAAACATGGCTGTTACCGTAGTTGCAGGGAGTGTACGAAAGCATAATTGTTTCCAAATGGAATGCAGCCACCAATATCACAACGGTGCCCATCCCACAATTTTAAGTGAATACATCTGCCACAAATTGTGTCTATAGTCTACAGTTTCTGGCAGGCGAAGCAGTCCATTCTCATTCCAGAATAACACATTGATATCAAAATGACAGAAAACTTCATTTTATGTACTTGGTGACAGTTTAAATTATTCACATTTAGCTTGGTGGTTTATAATATATTCTTCCAGCAACGTGACAAAAACCTGCTATGGTCAAAAATGAAAGACAGTCTTTGTGCTCCGTTATAGTTTTTCCCTTTTCTAAACAGAGGACCTACAGCTGACGCTGATAATTTCACCAAAAATCTTTATGATTACGTCTGTTTGTATGAGCTTGACACATATTGTAACATCTCAATAGGTGGAGCATTTCAACCTGACCCTCTGCTTTGATATGTGCAGCAGACAGTATCGCCTCATTGTGAGCACAATGTGAAATGTGCCATGACAGAAAAATGGCACGCATTGGGTGGGGCGTGGATGATTGCTGTCAGAGTGTTTTGACAAACCTGTAATCTTTTTGGACAGGAAAAATAATTAATTTTCTTTGTGTCAAATGTGTACAGAAGTTTAGTAATCCTCTAGAGGTGACAACTGAGGCAAGCAGTGAGAGGGGTAGAGAGACACATTTCCAAAACAGTCCAGTCCAAGACGGCAGCATGCTCCAATTAGCCAGTGGTACTTTTACAGGAAGGGTCAACAGTGTCCCAAACACTACTTATAATAAGAATAAATGCAAAACATTGCAGGCAGGTTAATATCTCGAGCAAATCCCTTAAGTGGACTTTTATTCCTGTTAGTTTCTTTGGTTATTATCACACCGAGCATCACCTTATTCTGATGGTATCAGTTACTGTCGGCTCTGTAGAGGTACTTCATCACCAGACTATCAACCTTTTTTTTTTTCTTCTTGGAATCAGTCTTGCTGGGCGTTTCACGATCCTTCTCATCATCTAAAGATGGTTTAGGAGCCCTTTTAACACTGCTGGAACTTCGATAGGAGATAGTTGAGCCTGAAGAGGACTCGGACGACTCCGAGGAGGAAGAGGAATCCTCGGACTCACTTTTTTTCTTTTTTGACTTCTTCTTGGGCTTCTTCTCCTTTTTCCCCTTTTTACTCTTTCGGCTGTGGCGATCATCTGAGGATGAGGAGGACGACGACGATGAAGAAGAGGAGGAAGACGATGACACTTTACTTTTTTTATCTTTGCGACTTCGGGAGGCGCTTGAATGCCGTTTCCGGTAATCCTGAGAGCAGCTTGATGAAGACCTGAGCATGCTGGACGTGCTGCAGGGCAAATCCTCGTCCCCTCCTTTCTTCACCCTGTCCTCGCTTCCCTCTCCCTTCTTGCTCTCCTCCTCCTCACCACTAGAGTCGTCCAGTTTGCTGCGCTTGAACTTGATGGGTTTGAAGCTAAGCACTTCATTTATGGCAGCCTCCAGGTCAGGGTCCAGGTAGTTTCGATGGGTGACCAATTTGATGTCCGACATGTCGGGCAGATTGCCCTCTGAGGGCCTTGGCTGAGGTGGGGTGGAATAGCTGCGGGCTGTGGAGCGGGGACTGTACGGCGAAATTCGACTTTCTCCAAAAGCCACACTCTGGCTGTCGTCGTCGTCATCCACGTGCAGCCCAAATTCGCTGAGGCCGCAGCTACGGGCCACGGACAAGCGGGAGGTGCTGCGTTTCTCGTCTTTCCAAGAGCTGCTCCGACGCAGCGAACGGGGGCTGGACCGGCTCACGCTGCTGATGGTCGACTTGTTGTCGTCGTCCATGTCCAGCATTCCCCCTCTGGTGGACATCCTGCTGGGAGCCACCGAGGACACCATGGACTCCCTGTCAAACTCAGGGCTGCTGCGGGAGGTCCAGCGGGACTCTAATCCCTTCCTGGCTCTGCTGGTGGCTTCAGAATAGGCCATGGAGATCACGGAGCCCTTGTCATCTAGATCCTCCTCGACCTGACTCTTCCTCCTGTCCTCCAGGAGATCCCCGGGCTTTGACTTGGCTTTGCGAATGGCAATATGGTCTGGTGTGTCCGACTGTTCTTTGAGAGTACTAAACAGAGAGCTCTCATCTCCTGTACCCCCAATGGAGTCCTTCAGATTTGAGCGTTTCCTGTAGCTCAGGGAACTCATGACAGACACAGATCTGTTCTGCTCTATATCCTTCCCATCCTTACTTCCGTCATTCATCTTCTCCTTACCTTCTTTCATCTCCTTGACATCTGCATTTGCTGCATATCTAGAGGGTTATGTAATAAAATTGACACCTGAGATAAGCAACAGAACATGGGCAAACACAAGCCATCTTTGACATGACGAAACATTATCAGATGATATGTGGCAGCCCGGATTTTACATGTTGACACCTTGATGGCGGAGCGTTTCAGAATAAATGGCTGTTTGCATTTCGCCCTTGGGATGGGTCAAAAGACGAACAGTATGTACGCTATCTTTAACTATTGCTGTATACTGCTAAAAGTGAGGCAATCAACTATCACAACGATGTGTCCAGCAGCGGCAGAGGTGTCGTTTAGCAGGCCTGCCAATTGGCCACAGGCCACCTCAATAAATGTGACAGACACCTCTTCCTGATACCACCTCCTGTCATTAGACAGATTACTGGGAGAGAGAGAGAGATGACACCCAGTCACATAAGATACCCATCCTTCTTTTATACCCTGCCGCTGGTCATCATGTGACTTTTTAAAGTTGGGAATGTCAGTGTTTTTTTATCTCTACATGTCAATCAGACAGAGGGCTAAATGAACACGAATACCAACCTGGTGCTCTTTAAACTACCATCATCTGATAGGGTCTTGGTGGAGCCTTTGTTTTTTGAGAGCCAAGACTTGACTCCATCCACACGATCTTCCACTTCTGAATCGGTTTCTGTCTCGTCCCCACTGTGAACAAATCGACCACAAACAGTTTGTAAAGACCTTGAAAAATGTTCGTCGATTATCTCATTTTTGTCTTTAAGTGCAGAACTAAATACGCTGAGATGGTGACAGAGGTGAAAAAGCATAGAGAACCAAGAATTCCTGTGAGGTGTTAAGTGCTTGGGCAAGACCTTTTGATAAGTTTAGGAGCTTCTCTGTTCTTCAGAATAAGTAATATAATTTAAAAAAAAATAAAAAAGCGCTTTTAAAGACAGAGGATTTAATTTCTTATATAAGCCAAACCCCAGCCACACATTTGATGCACCTATATGAATATTCCGCGCTGTACCACATCAATGGAATTACAAAGACAAAATAACAGTTTTCACAATCGTAAGCGTTTGTTCACAGTTGGACTCATTCCCTTATAATTACAGGGTTACTTTGATGATGCAAGGCAAATCAGTTAAGCAACAGCTGTGTTGCTTAACTGATTCCATAATTTCAACAAATAGTACATATTCCTTTTTCTACCGTCTCAAAAACACATTGTAAATGCACACGAGTGGAAGTGCAGTATGTAAATAAAACTCTTGGAGGTATAATTAACTTGTTTGCTTGGTTGTAAACTGCAAGCATCTGTGTGGCATGTCACCTGCCCCTGGTGATTGGTATTGGAGAGGAGCCATGCAGCAGCCCCATGGAACTTATGCCTGACATAGCAATCAATAAACAAAGACCAATAGATCATGATGAAAAAGCTCAGCAGATCCCACCTGGATAAGGTCAACCCACATTCATTCATTCGGATCTGTGCTGAATATTTTGAATTATGCACCTCATTGTCCGGGAAGGTTAATGTGACAGGAGAGGAGAGCAGAGAGGTATGACCTCTAAGTCAATACTGCCATCATGGTCGAAACGCATTAAGAGAAAAATGCTGTTTTTGTGTGCGTGTGTGTGTGTGTGTGTGTTTGAGGACACGCCGCTCCTAACCTCAGATGCTCTGCCTTCATTGACTGCATAATGTGTGAGAATACATTTGCACATTGCAGCGAGACCCATATGTTCCGAGGGCTTGGAGTATGTTTGACGCTGTGCTAAGGTCTGTCAGAGAAAATTACATTCTGCACAATACGGTTCTTAGTTTAAAGACAAGATTGTATTTTCAAAAACCCTGATGACAGGGCTGTTGTAAAGCATTTCCAATTTTTAGCTCCTCTTGATTTATGGCTGGCGATACTATTATTTATAGCCCTTCAAAGAGCCACGTTTCATCAGTCTAAAATATTAGCCTTGTATCTCTCAACTGTAGATATATTTCACTCAGTGTCTACACACAGCTGACAAAGATAAAAAATGAGTAACAGCGATGCACTTCACAGATATGTTTTTGTGGACGAGCTTATCTATCCAAGTCTTGGAGCATGTTATAAAATGCTTGCAAGGTGCAAACACAATATTCCAAGAGGTGTGAAATGAAAGACAGGCTGCTGGGCTCTATTATTCCTTCACATACCATATGGGCTTTAATGTTCATCGGTCCCCCACTGTACAGCACTTAACACTACCCCCTCCTTTGTCCCCAAGCTTTGTGACTCACATTCAGTCATTTTTCCTCGGACAACAAAGCATGTTCCCTCCCTACATCCTTTTTTTTTTTTTTTTGACAGATTGCCTAAAAGCAAGAAGAAAGCTGGTTTTAGAGCTGTTGCTTTAAAGTATTGTGAGGGAGTGCACACAGGGACGAAGGGGCATCAGTCTTTGGGTAAATGGTATTCAAGCTTTCTAAGAGCATTAATATAGTAACTTAGGGCCGCTACCTTTATGGTGATTCAAGATAATCTTAATGGCCTGGTTAAAAAGTATTTCTTTCTAAAAACTTTGTTCATTTTAGAGTTTAATAGGTGCTTTATGAGGCAAGAAGCAAAAATTGTTCCTTTCATTTTCTCCTCCCTCTCTTCATTACTGCACATTCTCAATAGCTGATACATGCTCACCAAAAACAAGATAATAGTCTCATTAATACTCTCAAGTTGATTACACATGTTGCCCATTTCTCAGCTCTTTGATCGTGTGGCTGTTTTTAGGCCATACATTAAAACACCAGCCCATCTCAAATCCATCTCCCTCTCCCGCCTCTTGGTAACACATACAAGCAACAAAATAAAAGGTGGCTTGCAATTGAGTGCTGTAAAAACGGTGTCACAAAAGATTTGTCCTTGGCCTCGCACTACTAGCTAACCCGTCCAGAGGCTTGTAGATACAAACAAGCCTCAGGAATTTAAAAGTGAACATTAATCCCTTCTGACAATCGGTCTGCGCTGGTTGTAAATCTTTGTCACAAATGCTTATTTTCAGCATCAAATCTCATATGGCTGGGTTCTATCAGTTTCACGCTAAAAGAAAAGAACAATAAAACTGTTTTCACGAGGGTTATCAATTTAGAAAAACCCTGTGCTCCTCTGACACGAGATGTAATTAACGGAACATTCAAATTTAATGATCACATTGTAAAAAAAAGGTGAAAGAATTCAGCATTCATCTTAGGTCCAGTCTCACATTTTTTTTTAAACCCAGCCTGAAAAACTCAAATTAACTTACCCTCTGACCCTTCAATAATAATAACAATCTTGCCAACTAATAAATTCTCTACTTAGAAGAACTAAGCAGAAGGATACTGTGTAGTGCAGCAAATCATCTCGAAAATCCCCTTCATAATGAGAGAAAAAGCAAATAAATGATCCTCCATTGCTGTTCCTCCATGCTGCTAATGCAATAAAGTCGAAGGAGTGAAAATTTGATTAAGCAAACATGGGAAATCGTTGCACATTTTCTTGAGGTGTAAAAAAAGAGAAGAAAAAAGGAGAACTCTGGCATGCATGGCTGCTCTGACGAGGTTACAGCAGGAAGACACGATTGTGAGGTAAAAGGATTTAAAAACAGCCAACTACTTTAACAAGGTATGGAGAAGATTTCAACTGACTCCATATGGCGCCACAAAAACTTTCATAAGTGTACATTAGCTGAAAGAAAAGGGAATCAAGTCAGTTTAAAAAACATTTTCAGCACTCACAATCAATGCCTAAACATTTTTAAAGCAAGACAAGGTGAAGTTAAATGGTTTCATAGCACAATGACTGGATTAGTAGATCATTTGCATGCAGGGCAAATAGCTGCATTTAAGCATTTCACATTGAGGTGCAATATCATTGCTTTGCACCATTTGCTGACTGTGGAGCCATGGAAATACAGCCCCTGTGTGTTCATCATGCAACAGTTGCAAACATCACTCACGTAACTGTGTTTATGCTCCTCCAGAGCACATGCAAGCCTCTGTAAATACTCAGTTTGCACAAAGGCTATAGCAGCCTGATCTATAAAAGGCACAGTGAAATACTGTAAAAATTTAATTAAAAAAACATGTCTAATGTTCTCTATTATGAGAATTATGTAATGTCGGAAATGTTAATATTAATTATCCATATACCCATTTCTTCCACTGAACTCTAGGGACCCACAAGTACTTTAATTTTACATTTCATCAAATGGAATCGTCTTCTATATGACATCCATGATTTGATCTGAATTTAGATAATGTTTGAAGTGGAAACCAGACTAACAGTGTGTTTTTGCATGTGCTTTGGAGAGGCTGTAGACAAAAACAGGAGTCATTCAAGTTCGTTACAACAGTGAAATCCTCTGATGCAAACAAGCACATGATGACATGCAATGATATGGTGCGTTATACAAACATTTGAGAGAGTCAATAATGCAGTATTACCATCAAATGGAATCACTTTACTGCTCTTCTTCTGGGTTACGTTTTTACAAAGCCGTGAGATTAATTCACGGGTGAATGATAGTGACATCTAGAATTATAGTCGACTTTCCTTTTCTGTTCTGCTCCTTTTTGTTTAAATTCTATCTTGCATCAAATAAACAAGCCCTGAAATCCCCAATGAGGCAGGCTGTGTACACCTTCAGACACTTGGCACAAAATAAAATGAAACTAAATTAAACATGGGGCCATCCTTTAAACATATCTGAGATGTACAACACAGGCACTGCCTTCCATTCGGTTTAAAACATCCTCTCCTCACAGTGCTTTTGGGAGAAACAGAAAGTGAAAGGGTACGGAATGCTGCATTACTCTCCCTCGTGGTTGAAACGGGTGTGAAAAATGTGAAAACAAACACTGTGACAAACAAAAGATGCATTTTCCATTCTCACGTTTTGTTCTTTCTTTTCTGATATTTTGTCACCATGTCTTGCAAACTGCCAGAAGTGAGGATGAAACCAAAAAGGGAACAGGGGGAGAAAGAGAAACAGAGAAGGTGAGATACACAAATAACAAAAAGACAAAATGAGATAGCTGTAAATAAAGTGTTCAACACCAACACATATACACACAGATAGATTAAATTCCTACCCATTGTTCTGTAAAGTACTAAATCAACTCATGACTCCTCAAACAGAGCTGGTGGGTATAATGTCTTCCTTTTAGAAGTCTGGATTATTACCGTCAGGGTTTACCTCCATTGGCTCAAAGCTAGCATAACCCCCAACCCCGCTGCAACAAGGGAAGGGGTAATCAAACAGTGAAAAACCAGCGAAGAGACAAAAGATCACAGGCAGGGAGCTGAATTAAACCATTTGAGAAATACTTGGGGAGCAGACAAGAGTGAAGTATGACTCAGAGTACAAAACAGGTTAAGAATGTATGTAGAGAAATGTGGGAGAATAAAAAGATATCCGTTTTGACTGACAGCATACTAAGAAAATGAGCAGATTTTATTCCAGGCCTCCAGTTCCACTGCAGGATGTGCCCCACGAATGTAGATCTAATGAAGCAAAGGTAATAGACCTTTTTCACAGCAGACTATTTGACTTGTCGCAGCATGAAAAGTACGGGTGGAAATTAATAACATTAGTGACGGCTGAATTCCCTTTACTGTTCCCCTAAACTGTGACAATAAACCCACAAACACAACCACATTAACATAGTTGAGCCTTTCAAAGTGTCAAGCCAATAAAATATTTTGTAACTTCTTATTATCTGTATTAAAGCTGTACCTGTTGATGAGGTCATCATTGTCGTCACTCTCCATCTCATCTTCTATGGCAGCCTGCAGATCCGATATCCTCTTGAATGCCAGTTTAAGGTCCACTTGTAAGCTCTGATTTGCTGCCTCTAAGCTCTCAATGTCCATTTCCTGTTGTATGGATGGCACCACAGAAAAAGTTTTATCAGTTGATGTAAATTATGGGGAATTTTATCAGGTCACACAGCAGCCAAGGTCTTACCAGCTCGTGTTTCTTGCGGCTTGCTTCAGACTCTTTCTTGGACAGCTCTGACATTTCTTCTTTCATGTCCCTTATCTGCCTCTGCATGCGCTTATTCTGGTCCTTCTCCCTGTTTTCTGCCGCGATGCGTTGGTTTCTCTCCTCTGTCATCTTTTCTAGATTCTCCTTCAAGCGTCCCACAAGGCTCTGGCAAACAGTGGATGGGGAATTAATTGAGTTTGTCCAATGAGGGGTTCTTTTAATACTTATTAACCAAGTCTGACAATACAAAATTAGCACAGTAGGTAAAAACTAATATCATAATTACACTGTGATTAGTCTGATATTTAAATTAAATTTCAGGTTCAGGTCACAAGAGTCTACCTGTTGTGTTTGATTCTTTCTTTTCATTGTCAATTTCTATTTTGTGAATATATGTAGACCTATTGTAATAAATTAAAAGTTCCAAGAGAAGAAACTCCATACCAACATCAGTTACACATCACAGCTCATACAGTGGTTTCTTGTGTTGTCTATCAGATATAAGCAGAGTAGCAGTGTATAGCATTTTGTAGTTTGTGAGCAGTACTGTCTCACCTCTAAGCGTTTAATCTGTGTCTTCTCATACTCTAGTTTAGTCTCCAGCTCACGAATCTTGGCTTCTTGGCGGCTAACAAGCGACTTTTCCACCATGGACTGTTCTTGGAACTCCAACTGGCTCTGTAGCGAATGGAGCTAGAGGAAAATCGCACACATGGAAGTACATAAACACACAAATCAAGTCCCTGTAGAGCAATACTCACTTCAACCTCCTTTCTTAATCTCACTTTTCCACTTTCTCTTTCAAGTGAGGAATATAAAACATTAAGAGAAAGTGTTGATGTCATGTGTATGCATTGAAAATAAATAGCATTTCACTCTTTCACTCCCATTTTGCATCAATTTAATCTATCTCGGTGAATGTATATTATGCGCACCCAGTTTGAATAACGAACACACGAAAAGCCCCCAATCTACCTCAAATGGTCAAAAAAAGAAAGCTTGTGGTTCAGACTGAGTAACAGGGAGTCACGGTAATTTCACAGGCTTTGAAATGGGCTTCAGCATCATGCAAAGCACGTTTGTTCCATTTAAATCATATTTTTCATAACTGATGAAAGAAAAAAAAGATACGTCAACAAAACTGGCCCGAAAGGCAGCATGGCACCTAATGAGGGACTTCTGCATCTGAGACAAGGAGGATTTAGAGTTCTCCTTTGATATTACTAAAGAAGCCAGATTTCCCTCCTACTGGGAATGAGATAACCACTTCAAGGTCAGATGCTTTAGATAACAATCACTGCCTACTGTAGCAGGTTTTAACAATGCCTTGCAGGGTTGCTGTGTGTCTCAAGTACAGCCAGAAATATTCTGATGGGTGGGCCTTGAGTGGCCTAAAAGCAGGGACACAGATATACTTTAATGAAATAGAGACATGACACACTGTTTGGGAGTGGTAGGATCTCAGTTCGGTGCTTTGAGCCAAATACTGTTTACAGCAGATGGCTATATTTGTTTAATCCACTGCAGATCCATCTACTCATCAGCTATACCGACTTTATCCTGTGCAGAGTTGCAGGGGGCTGGAGTTTATCCCCGCAAACATTGGGTGAGAGGCGGGGACAGTGGTTCATCTCAGAGCTAACACATAGAGAAAAGCAGCTGTGCTTGTACACACTTACAGCCAAATTAAAATGACAAATCAACATGCATATGTCTTTAACTCTGGGAGGGAAATCAACCCTAAAGGGAAAAAGAAAAAAAAAGCCCCAGCCAACTAGGTTTTGAGTCTAGGATGCTCAAATGTCCAATAACCACATTTGAGAACATTTCCAACCAAATGCATTAACAAAGGATATGGTCGAGCATTGACGGGTGAATCAACTAACATGCTGTGGTTATAAAATGACATTCAATTAAAAAAATATCATTATTATCAGTAACCTTTCAACCGTCAGCTGACACATCACGAAATACAGTAACGAATCAGAGCAGGAGGAGGAAACTCACATAAAACTGCAGCTTAAGATTTGTGCCAGCTGAATGATTGGAATAAAAGGCTTTCAGTTGGTGAACTGTAAGCCAGCAGTGCAACGGGCGGTGCAGAAACAAGAGCGACAGTCTGCAGCCTCAGTAGCGGCTCGGTGGCATTTGTGTTTGGACACATCAAAGCTTTGACCTATATGCCAGTGTCAGCGTGCAAATAAAAACCAACAATGGCAATTTGAACATGCTGATGTTGAGCCATTAAAATGTGGCCCATGCACGTTTGAATCTGCCAAACCCATCTGTTGGTCGTTGAAATATTTCCCTGACTAAGTGGAAATTTAACCTGTAGGTGTTGCTGGGGAAAAGGTCAGATGATCGGCAGAGTCAGCAGGCGCCACCCTCTAAACGCTCCGACATCATATACTCTAATCTCAAACCATGGGTTTGGTCTGTCCAACATTTTTTTTACATCTGTAAATTTACATCTAAAATAAACGTGCACCCATGAATAAAGAAATGAGGGGAATGTACATGTATTTATGCATAAATGCACACTACTGTGTCTGGGTTAATAGAAACAGGCCCATGAATAAACAGCAAAGGCCCTCACAAAATAGTAGTCTGACATTTAAAACATGACGCAGCTGTGATCGAGTGCTGCAAGGTCCTTTTTCATGTGTGACAGTTAAATGGCACACATGAAAAGGGACCGTGATGTTTTTGTTGATCGTAATAATCATAGTTGTCAAATATAAGATTTCTCCCTCTTGTAGCATATATTGTTATCAGGTTTTATCTTACTCAATAGCTAAGTCATTCAATGAACAGCTCAACTTCATTAGCAATTTGACACAATTTTTACATTTGTTTCCAAATGCCTTTTTAAAAATGTATATGCATTTTTTTTAAATAAAGCAAACAAACCACACAGGATAACTGAGGCAGAAAAAGGCCAGTTCATGTAGACTGAATACCTGAATTGTATCTGTGTATTTTTGTCATGGCTCATCCACAGTGAAGGGTAGCTGAGTTTGTGTGTATTATCCATTGTGTAGATGTAAGATATGAGAGGCAAAAGTACAGTTTCCCTCTAAATTCTTTTTTCACTGATTCCTATCATTTACATGTAGATTGCATTGCAATTTTGAGAAAAATCTGCCACAGAAACTGAGCATTTTTTGGACATAATAATCAGAGAGACCCTTTGAAAAGCTGAGAGCTAATCAGAGAGAAGTGTTGAGGCGGAAAGCAGGTTTCCAGCAGGCTGCAGTAGCGCTTGTAAATACTTCCTTTTACTGTACCTTTTCTTGGATCTCCTGCTTTTCCTTTGTGGCTTCTTCCAGCTGGGCCTGCAGGTCACTGATCTGGTTCAAGTCTCTGGCAGACTAGCACATATACAGACACAGAAAACCAACCCTCAAACAATTATTGGAGGAATAAGTAAGTGAAGTAAACCGCAGAGGTGTGAGTCTCCAGTTTCAATTATCTGCGCGCAAATGTCCAATGGTAATGGCTCAAAAACAAACTTCTTTGTCTGTGCAATCGACCAGAGTATCTAACCTTAATACTGCAGATCTGTGCAGTGACATTTGCAAGGTATCCAAACAACCGAGTGTGTTGCTTCTCAGTTTGAGTCACCTGTGCTACTGCAGCTTTGTGCTTTTTCATCAGCTCGTTCATGTCTTCTTGATCCTCCTCCATGCGAGACTGCAGCTCATTTTTCTCTCTCTGGAAACGGCTGACCTGCTCTTCTAACTAAGTGACAAACAGAGGGAAACACACACTGTAGTATAGAATGACAGGATTTATTCATGAGCTATTGAATATGATAAATGGTCATTAGCTGGCTAGGCCGTGGCAGTCCTGGAGTTCCCTCTAATGGCAATGATACACAATCTGGACAGGGTTCTGGTTGGAGGATGACACCAATTGGAGATAATCAATTGGCTCATTTAGGCATGGTAAAGAGCAATGGGAGCAGTGCACCGGTGATGTCCTATTTAGAGTTCATCGTCTATGTTTGAGTGGGAGGGGGGGTGCATAGTCTTTCAATATACATTCTCTAATCTCAGACAGTTACAAGAACCTCCCTCTCCATAAATGCAGCAATTAAAAAGCAAAACACAGGCACACAGCACTCGGCGTGTCATCCCAGGAGACACAAACATCCTCAGTCTATGAGTCTAAAATGTAGGCAGCTCTCTCTTGAGACGGCTATTAATGAGCAGACTGAGGGGGAAAAAAAACAAGAAAAAAATTCCACAAAGCTCATTTATCCATTAGAGCAAAATGTTGAAATCAGACATATGCCAAAGGGCATTTATTATTTTAATATCCCAGCATGGTTTGATGCTTGCATAATAATGAGAGCCTTGCTGCATTTTGGAGTGAGTGAGAATTTGATAGGCAGAGGCCCTGAGGTAATTAAACATTGTCTCTAATTTTTTTTCTTGCTCACTAAAAGAAGAGTATAGAAACGTTTATGCAAACAACGTTTATCTGATCAAAATTGTTAGATGAGAAAGGGCAAGTTCATTTCATTCACTACTAATGCGTCATAATGTACACAATGTTGATTAAGCTACTCACTGACAAAAGCCTATCCATGTTGGATACAAATTCAGGACTAACTGGCATTCATGCCTATGCCTAAGTGAATGATTTGGAACAGTTTTTACTGACTTTCATCTTCCATTATTATGTTGCACCCTCAGTCAATATTGTAAGTTGTATATTGTAACTCACCGACATCTTGTTTTTGACCACATCATCCATTTGGATATGCAAGTCCTCTATTTCAATCTCCATGCTCTTCCGAGATTTCACTGCTGCAGCACAGGTGAACTCTGACTCCTCCAGCTGTGAGACGCAAGAGAGAAGAAGAGTGCAATGAGGAAGTGAGGGAACAATGTTAGTGGTGGGGAGGGATCAATAATCAGTGACTGGTCAATCTATGATTTTTACAATTCATGAACAAAGTTTAGAAGCTTTTTTGTCCTCTCGGTTTGTCCTCTGTACAGTCAAAAAATGACTAAGCTGCTGTGGCTGCATCTACTGAGGGAGAAGCAAAACATCCCTCAGGATGACTCACCTGGTTTTTGAGCTGGGTGATCTCCCTCTTGCTGGGGGCGTTACTCTTTAGGTGGTCCAGCATAATCTGTGCATCAGCCAGAAGGACTTTGGTTCTCTTCAAGTCTTTCTTCAACCTCTTTTCCGTTTCCACATCCCTCTGGCCCACCTGAATAACAAACCACTTCTTAGCAGCCATTACAATACACATGACCCTCTCTCCTCCCTCCAAACTCAAAGCATCTCTTAAGATTCGAAAGCATTTATTTCAAATCAAAAGAAGTGGCCCTCACTGAAATCACACACACTTAGCTGCACTGACAGAGACCAGTGGCAGAGTGAAGGACGTACCTGATCCTGTGCAATCAGCAGTTTGGATTCCAGCTCTCTCCTCTCACGCAAGACTTTCTGCTTGTCGTCGTACTCCTCCTCCAGCTGCACCTCCATCTGCTTCAGCTGCAGAACACAGGAATGTCAAAATACAAAGACCGATCTGAGATAAACAAAGCCACACATAGCACAACATTGACCATCTTATTAGACATGGCTGCTCGCGTCACAGATGTGGGTAGGATCTCCCTCCCAGAGTTTCTAGCCCCTGGAGGCATTGTTTTTTTTTTAGAATGCAGTGCAAGCACTGTTTGTACTGTAGGCATATCACAATTCAACTCCATCTGCCCTGTAAGAAGAATGCAAATTATTTGAACTAAATCAGCATGTGCTGTTTGTTAAGAAGTGACAAGTCATCCTAGCACTGAACAATCCATAAAAAATAGCTTGCATTTTCTTGCCTTTTTAAGGATACAATTCTTTTCCATAAAATAAACAACAGGAAGTTGAAGTAATCAGCACAAATACAACGATCCTCAACACATTTGTGGAAATAAGTGTTTCTCTTTGCTGCCTTGAAGAGGCCTGATTCATTACTTCAGCAGAGAGAGGCTTTGAAGAGAAATAAGTCTTCATTAATACAAAATGGAAGAGTAAAAATGAGCAACGCCCACCTTCTTATTGCAGGACCGCCTGATTTCTTCCACCTCCTCATCCTTATTCTCAATCTCCTTTGAGTGGGTCTGCCGCTGCCTCTCCATCTCCATCTCAAGCCGCAGCTTAGCCTGAGTGCAAGATGAGGACAGAGACAACAAGGCACGGCATAAATATATGGGAAATACATTAGAACGAATTTGTGAGTGAATATCAGCCTGTGTGTTTGGAGTTTAATAACGTTGAACATTTGATTTTATTAAAAAGTTAAACCACGCAGATTAACAAAAGCAGCTTTGGCCAAAGAAACGGCTGACATTTTGGCTCCGTACCTGTTCCAGCATCTGGATGGTTCCAGCCTGTTCGTCAAGCTCCTCCTCTTGATCTTTCACCTTTGCCTCGAGATCACGCAGCTGCTTCTTCACCTTGGACAGTGAGGCCTCATCCTTGGACTCCTGGGAGGATAGATCCTGCAGCTCTGCCTCAAGCTGCTGCACTTTCACATTTGTTGCGCACAGTTCTGTATCCTTGTCCTGCAGGTGGAAGAGGAGTTGTGTAAGGCGCATACATGGACCAGGCCAGATACGGCATGTCAAACAGCGAGTGGAAAGAGTAGAGGCTTACCTGCAGCTGCTGGCGGAGGTTAAATATCTCACCAGTCATTAAGTCCTTCTCTCGGGCCAGCTTTTCCCGCTGGGTCTTTTCTCTTTGTACCTCATCCTGAGATTGGTTCTGCTCCAGGTCAAATCTGGAACATACAGATGGGTACAAACTTAACCACAACTTGGGAGACTTACAACAGTGGCATACAGTAAAAAATCTTTTCAAACTAGTAGCCAACAGACTTTTCTGGGGGCACTTGCAGTGAAAAAATGGATTCAGAGACACTTCAGCTCTCTGTGTTCACTTTTGTTTTCACCGTAGAACATGTCCTATGCAGTACCTCTTCTTTAGCCTTCACTTTTATTCCTTTCTGTATGCTATCAATTTAGCATTGGCTTTTGATAATCTGCTATTTTTTTCTTTCAGCTGTCTAGGGCAGAGACACTTATCGTTAGTGAACTTAACAGCTAAGTGTTTCATGCTGACAGCTCGTCTTAATTCCCTGTTTTTCTCTCTGAAGTGCAGCTGAAAATAATTTCACCCACAGAGCATCTTCAATTAGCCACAGGGGAGAGATCACATTCTGCCACAGCGATAGCTTCTCGAGTGCTTAAAGTCTGAGTCATTTTCTCCGCTAATGCAATTCCACAGATTACAGAACATCTCAGTAACTGTTCAAATTACAGAAAACTTGAGCATTATGTGAGTGGGCCTGTGCTGGGCAATCCCGGGAGAACAAGGATGTAAGTTCTCTGTGTTTATAATTAATAGATGGAAGGGCAGACAGCGGGGTGAGGGAATAAGTTGAAACTGACTTCCTCTGTTTCTTCTCCAGATCATGGTTGCGGCTCTGCAGGCCCTCCAGATGAAGCTTGGTGTCCTGTAGCTCAGCAGTCAGCTTCTGGCACTTCTTCTTCAGCTGCTGAACAGAGCGCTGCACATCCTCATTATCTGTCTGCAAGTCATCCAGCTGCAGAATGCCGGGACAGAAACACCTTTATTATTATTTTCTGACAGCTCAATGCATATCATTACAGGTTCATGTACGCAGTTTAAAGGTTTCCATAGAGTGTGGCAGCCATGCGTCAGAATGAGGCGTTTTCTCAGTTAAATTCACATGGGTTTTCATACCTTTCTCTCAAGTTGCCTTTTGCTCTGCTGCTCAGCCTCTAGCTTGTCATCAAACTCCTGCTGGAGTTTCTTTTTGGTAAAGTCCATTTCCCGAACCGCTCGACTGTATTTTATTCGCCACTCGCCTCCTGTAGAAATGACATACAAACCCCAAAATGTCTTTCTGACATTTGTTGTCTCCCGCGTTTAATGCAGGCATAGCAGGGTACACAAAAAAGAGGCTCAAAAGCTCAGAAATGATGCTGTGGATTATGGAGTGCACTGCACTGACTGCGATGGTTATCACATTCAAGGGGCAGACATAATATAATCTTTCAGGAAATAAAGCTTTTTTCATCAAATCCTGTCCTTATGGGGTCAAAATATTCAGCAGGAAACTACAAAGTAGCCTTTGCATTTTGACTTTAATCTTGAATAAACCTTGGGTAAAAATTCTGGGCACACCACAATAGCAGTTGGAGAAGGACATGTATAAGTGGCACTTTCCACAGTTCGTACCCGACCCTAATTCTAGAGCTGTCACAGGCTATCAGAACTAAAACAGCGGCCAGGCAGACATTCAGGTTCAGGTTCATTTCCAAGCCTTATCATTTTAGAGCCTGTCCATTTCTCCTTCACATACCAACACCGGCTCCTCCATCAGTGCTGCTCATTAGCATATATATAGCATAATGACAACTTGCAGGGCCACCAGCTCTGATCCCAACGATTACTTTCTCATTCATCTAAGAATTCTGATATGCTCCGTAATGGCTTGTCTACTGAGGTGGGTTGAAGGGGGGTTGAATTGGAGGGAGGGAAAAAAGCCTCATGGACAATATGCTCTCAGCAGGCGCTCCATTTTCCAGCAGGGGGAAACCAATCAGCAGCAGGCATTAGTTGTGTGCCTGGGAGCGAACATCTTAATCCCCTAGCGGTAAATCCCAAACTTGGAAAATATACTTAACAGCATTATGCAAGATGTGACCAAGTCTCACTGCCATGTCTCCTGCTGAAACATTTGAACAAAGCCACTCATTCCTGCAGCTACAATTAGGGTAAGGGAGATTTTCAAACTGCGCATATAATGCTGCTATGAGCAGTTCGGTAAATTATGCTTCTGACCTGAGCTGACATGCCCATTAGGGAGGCTTAGTCAAGCTGCTGCTAGTGTCAAAAGGCACAATTAATTAGGGAATTTAAAACAAATGTTTAAGAGCACTGACTGTGTTATTAAGGAGTACTCTCAAATCCGGAGAAATTCTTAGAATTATCGTCATATTTCTGCTTTAAGTGAGCAAACAGTCTTTTGCTCAACTAACCAGAATCATCGTCGTCGTCAAACTCTCCATTGAGCTCTGATGTTTTCATAAGCCGTGCTTCCATCACCTCCATTTCCTGGGCATCTAACTGTTTCTTCATAGCTTCAAACTTAACCTGGAATGTACAAACGCGGCCAATGAGCACAAAATCAAAGTCACAACAAACTGATATTCTTCAAATGTTGTAATGTGTATTTTCTTTTCTTTGTTCATAAAATGTTTTTGTGTATAACTGCCTGTAGGTCTTTCATGTCCCTCTCCAGGCGGAGTCTCTCTGAAGTCTCAGTCTCCAGCAACTGGGTAGCTGACTCACATGCGCTCCTCTCATCAGCAAGCTCTGCCAGCAAGTCTGCAATCTGAACACATACGAGCAGTCACAGCGAGGGTGTGAGGCAAAACTACAAATCATTCATCATAGTTCTTGTGCAAGTAACTGATGAAATCTTTAACTCAAATGAAAGAGAGTAGCTCCACCACCAATCTCACACACCATTCTTCAAGAATGCAATGACACAGACGAAGGGACCCACCCTGCTCTCCAATCGATCCGAGTTCAGCCTCAGCTCATTCCGCTCTTTCTCCACTCTTTCAAGCTTGACTTTTTGCTGCTGTATCTCCTCCTGGATTAATATATTCCACATGTTATGCAAAAAATTCAACTGAGATATTGAGTTTTTATTTTATTTTTTAGAAACGTTAAAGCGATGATCATAAGTAGCACCAAACAGACTGGTAATTCATTTTTGACAGCGATATAAGATGAAGGGGAATCAGATGAAGAGGGCAGCTCACGTCTTTGCTTTGCATCTGCTCCTCTGTGAGCTGGACCTTAATGAGGGGCTGGACTGTTGTGAAGAGCTTCCACCATGGCCAGTCCTTCACGCCGTGATTCTTCTTGATATTTTTCTGTATGCACCTGATTGCTAGATCTTGGATCTAAAGACACAGAGATAGGCATTGACTGCAGAGCAAAGCTCACTTAGCATTTGTGGCGGAGTTCTTTGTTTTAAAGAAAGGAAAGCAGAAAGGCTATCCTTTCAGCTGAATATATATTTATATATACATCCACAACACAGTTTTATACAAATCAAATGGGGAAAAAAAGGTTTGAGCATGACTCGGGTATAACATGGTAGCAGAGTTTAAGAGAAACACCAACATTTCAATTTCAAATATGTTTCATAGATGCTTTACAAGTCTCATACGTCTGTAAGTCATCCTTACCACAACCGAATGAAATTTGATAAACAAAGCATTCTTCCTTCTTGAGAGTTGTTGCCTGTTTATGGGCAACAGATATCCCTGGACTTGCCAGCCTCCTCCTGAGAGTTTGCACAGTGTGTGTTCCAAGGCTGGAAGCTAATTTTTGATTAATTAAATCAAACATGTTGGCAGCTAATTCCAAGTATAACACGATTTCCATGCTGCTTATGCATGAGGCTCTCTAGCAGCTGAAGATTATGGGCAAACCCAATTAGAGCAACACAATTCTCAGCATCAGGTACATTTTGCCCTGAAGGTACTCTCTATAACCAATTAGGATTTGTCACACAGTGAAAACCATAACATGCAACAAAATGCAGCATTTCTCTGACAGAAGATTCAAACAGGTCTCACTTGTCATATTTAGTGAGAAAATAATAAGAAGCAAACAAAAGATTATTCTACATGAGCACCGTGGATAAATATTCTGCTATTCGTGTCAAATTCTGAGGGTGTGACAACTGTAATATAGTGTGATGTGAATTGCAATTGTGATCCAAGATTAAGAAAGAAAAACACATTTTCCACTCGCTGAGAAATGAACACACTTCGCCCATGTGTGTACTCCAGTGAGTATACATGAAAGACGTATGAGTGCTGCAGTATAGGACTGCAGCAGTCTGATGCCACTTTGATCCCCTTTCTGAAGCAAAGATTTTATGCTTAGTTTCTGTGAAATTCTTCAACATGAAATGATACCTTGCAAAGAATAGTGACTCTGGTTACAGTGTAGATTCAACACACACACGATGGTTTGTTTTTCATGGTTGATTCGAGTGTTGCTAAGTATTTTATACCTGACATAACAAGGGTGATACTATTCATAACAATATCAAATCTAGATGAGATACAATCTATAGAGAGAAATGTGCCTAACTCTAGTGAAAAATATCAGACAATTTTTTTATTTCTTATTGTTGTTGTTTTTTGTGTCAACAGACACATGCAGTCTTGTTTCAATATATATAAAAAAGGGGGTAGAAAAAGGACAAACATTCAGAGGGTACCTGAAGGACAAAAAATCCAAATACAGTGAGTGCCCACTGAGACAAAATAACATACTTTAAAAATGTCACATTGTCCCCTTGAGGAGACAGCTGGAAGGGAAAAATAAAAAAAAACAAGAGAAATTGTGGTTTTGTCATTTAATGTCACATGGGCTTGGCACAGCTTCACAAGGTTAACATGCCAGGGAATATAAATCAAAGAAAATTGTGCCTTCCTGTCACATCCAAACACATCAACCGGCAAGTGTCTGAGAAGCTTCACTAGAACTCTTTCCCTAACAGTTCCAGAGGCAACTTATCTGCTATTGTGCCCGACTGCATAGTTTGAACTGTGCAAGAGACAATGGAGCTGTATCCGTTTTCATGGAGGAACGGCAAAGGTGCAATTGGATGTTATTACAAAGTGATTATTCAAAGATTCAATGGCAACATACTCAATAAATATTCACAGTGCAGTGGAGAGATGGAAATCAGTCAATAAGCCACCACAGCCATTTATCTGCTCCCCAAGTCGGATGGTGGCTAACCGAATCAACAATATAAACAGAAGGAGAATCAATGGGGAGAAGTGCCCTTCAAAAAATTATTGCAAGGAGAGATTGAATTAATCATATATGCATCAGCTGAGCAGGAATAAATTTATCATACTGTATCGCTTGAGAAATGCACAACATAGGGGTGAGCAGTACAAAGCAAACCAGTTCTAGAGTTGGTTTTTCTGCAGCCCACATCCTATTCACATGAGCCGCATACGCCGAGCCAGTAATGTTAGAGGCTTTATACGCAGTACAGGGAAATTATGGATTTGACCAGTCTCTATAACAGCATACCAACCTGATCCCAACTCAATAAACGTTTCTATTAGGTCATTGAGTAGAACTATAAGTCTGCATGGCATTAACATGCAGGTTCACTCTGCCAGGATTTCATATGAAACATTCAAAATAGCTGTAAATTATTTCTAACACCGCAGCTATCTTCTGGTTGAGTCCTACGCTACACTGAAGGGAATTGCGGTCTTACTTACTTCAGTAAAGAATTATGAGTATTTACTGAACTTGACCAAAGTCTATTCTCTGCATTCAAATATCAAAATCAATATCAGGGTTTCCAGGCAAGCAGTTCGCATGGATGGAAGAAAACAACGGTAAACATGTTGTCCAGCCTTGTTTGAGGGCAGATTGTGTCAAAATGCTAGTGAGAAGTACAAAAAAGAGACAACACATAGCCGTTTCCTGGTGATAGGCCCCATTCTGGTCACTGATAACCCTTCGGCTGTCAAGCCATCAATAAATACATCCACTATGTTAATAAATAATTGGCTGGGTTACCACCTACATAAGAAATGTCATGGGAATAAGACTGAGAGACAGTTTACATGCCAAAAATGCTGGAGGCACAAAGGCAGGTGCGCATTTGACAATTACGTTGACAAATTAACATGAGTTTTTAGGTGGAGCTGATGCTGTGCATTCGAATTTAGCTGTCATTCCCTCACATTTATTAAATACATCCCACTTTGGCGTTACTATTAAAAAGTATTGATTAAAGCAGCCATAGTGGCAAGATCGGTCAGCACCTAACAGTAGATCACAATCTAAACTTATCGACAGCTCAGACAGGCTGAGTTGTCACCCACAAAGTCACAGGTTCACAGCTCAATTATTTATTGCACAGAAAATGTGCCCAGGTTGGGACATTTTGATCTTACTGTGTCTAGAAGTTATATGCGTTTACTTGATTTATACAATTATTTTTAATTCAGAATCAGAAATACTTGAATAATCCCAGAGGGAAATTGGCCTGTGAATTCATTCTGAATACAGACCAACACTGGTTTGCCTCTATCTTACATGTAGATAATCAGCTTTCGGCCAAGTGTGATCATGTGTTGTCAAAAAGATTAGATTTGGTCATACAGTGGTCCAGTGCAAGGCATCACCAAGGCAGCAATCCTTTTAAAGTCCTGCAGCGTGTCAAGTGGGGTCTCCACAGATAAGTCTTGTTTCTTCACAGTTGCTCATTCTGATTTACATTTTTCATATTGGTAGAGAAAAAACACAATACTGCTAAGACAAAAAAGTTTAAGAAATTAAAACAAAACAGGGGTAAAAAAAAAGGCTAAAAAAATAAATACATTAAACATTTCATCACGAGACTCTGGACAGAATTATACTAACTTGTAGTATTACATGGTAATGGTAAGTAATAATTTTCTTACTACTAAATGTGCTAAAACATAAATAGAAACACCAGAATGTCATTTAAAACTAAATAAATAAGATTATTTATGAATTAAAGAAGAAAAAGTTAAGTTAGGAAAACGCCCTCTTCTATGTAAAAATTATGTAGCTTCTACTTGGTTCACCAACATATTTTTGAGATGTGCCAACTACACTTGATTGAGCCTTAATACATTTTATTCAAAAATAGGAAAAAGATATAACATATTGATATAAGTAGGGGCAGATTAGATCACTCCGTCTGAAGTGTCAGATATTCACAACGTTGTTGGTTTTAAGCTGGCAAGCCCTAACAAACAAACTTTAGCTAAGTGGAATTCATGAATAATAAATCCACCTCAGACAACATAAGAAAAATGTCTAATCTAAAACGACTGACTCAACCCGAAAAATGGGTCAATAGATGTCTTTGCACTTTGAGGTCATTAACCAGTCAAACTCTCAGGCTTCACAATTAAGTGGATGAGGTGGGTGATATATTGAATGGTGATGGCACAGAAAGAGAATTGAAAATAAGAGCTTGATCAAGGGAGATGTTGGAATATTCTATCAGGCTGTGTGAAATATGTAAGTACAGCAAAAGGAACTTATATAAAGTTCACATTTATGAAGTGTTTTATATCATCACAAAATGGTTAAACACAGTGAAGTAAACTACATCTAACAGGGACTGGTTAAAAAATCCATGTTAAAGAATGTCTTTCGACAGATTTATTTTTGTTTTTATTGCTCTTTTTTGTTGGAAAAAAAAAACTATGAAAATATACTACAATGCTGGTGCTTTATAGAAATGTCTACAAATGTCCACATGTGTGTTTGCCCCACCTCCGCTGAAGATTATATTTTATCTTTTCAGTGAACTGAGGGAAACAGATTGATTTTTTTTTTAGAAACAAGCCAAAGTATGTGTACTAACATGTATCTGGTTCATAAAAGCCTCTGCATCCCTGACTTGATAGAATTTGCAGCAGATTTCTTCACAATCGTAACTGCATTTTAACAAGTTACCTTGCCAACCCAAATTGAGTTTCAGATCAATAAAACTGAGATAAACTAAAGTCTAATCTTTCCATTACAGATACATTAGCAGGAGATAGGGGGCAAACGGAGAATTTGTTTCTTTGCTAATGGCTTTCGTAATTGCTTCATTGCTTGGCAATTTCAGACGGTTCCTTGCTGCTGATTTTCTTCATGTTCAAGCAGGTTGTGGAACATTAGTTGCCTGCTGCTCTAAGAAAGTAATGACCTTTGAACTAAAAGAACATTTTTTAAAAGGAAAATCTAAACTAAAACTGTTCTGACAGAAGCAAGCGGGAAGCCAACTAACAATCCCACCATAAGGATTTATAAACTACATATAACAAATATGAGAGTTTGAATATTTCTGCTTCCTTCATATTCATTTAAACAAGATATTTATTCCTTTACTGCTCGTCAAACTAGACAGAGAACAGTAACACTGATTCAGTTTCTGCTGGCTCTTCACAAATCAGGTAAAGCAGCACATTTACTTAAATAGTAATCACAGGGATGGAATGTGCAGGGCTCCATACATCCCAAGAGGGCATGTATGAAGTCCAGAGAAATGGAGCCCTGCCCGCTGGAAGAGAAATGGAAGAGGGGGGTGGAGCAGGTGGATGTGAGTCAGCAGCATGTTTGATAAAGTTGCATTCTTTGGCTGTGTGCTAACACACTGCTTTGGAAATGGACATGCCTCTTTGTTGGAAAAGCTGATTGGATGGATCAAAGGAATGCAGGGGGTATGGGCAACAAAAGTAGATCACTTCTCCGTAATTAGTGAGGGAATTTAAGCAGAGCTGGTTAGATCTTAGCAAGGATCAGAGCTAACAGGCCCCTAAAATGATTCATCTTACCTTGATTTCACATTTACCAAATTCATCTGTTATACCCAAGTCACAAAATGGACAATGATCACATGTTGATTGTTGCATATATATACACCAGCTAATTCAATTTTGCATGTAACACTTCCTTCTTAAGTGACTCTAGTGAATCAATATCAATTTGTCTCATTCTATTGTGGCCCTCTCTTCATTTGTGGCATCTAACTATACCCTCAATAAATCTAAATAAATGTTCCATCAGTGTTAACAGTTCAGATTAGTTTGGTTCAGACATTTAGACTAAGCTATTTGTGTCGTGTGTGATGTCCTTAGTACCTTTCTCTTTTTGAAGGCTTGCCGTGCAAGGTAACCTCTACAGGCAGCTTGGAACAAGGTTAGATTACGCTTGGTCTGCTCATCCCTCTGTTCCTCCAGCTTAGCCAGAGTCCCAGCTCTAAAGAACAACTGGAGCAAGGAAAGAGAAAAATGTACAAATTAGCAAAGGGAAATGGCATTACGGACCATCAAATGTTTACTTCAACCGAGAGGAAATTAGATCCAAGACTCTGCTTTAATGTGAAGTACAATAGAAGCAAATTAAGAGGTAAATAAATGCACTGTGCGAAAATTAATCCCCTCAGAAAAATCAATAAAAAACAGTGTAATCCACAGACAAGAGAGCCTTATCTAAGTGATAAAGCTTAGATTATGTTATTATCTTGTACAATCAGCCTTGTCTGTTTCTAATCTGGATCAAAGGTAAAATACGGATAAACAGCCAATTGCACAGATCACATCACAGTTTGTCTTTACCTAAGAGGGATTTGATACTGCCAAGGCATTCCCACTGTGTTGGCAACAAGCTACAAAAATGGCCACCCAAGTTCTCTATACACAAGTCCTGGTGATTTATAAATAACAAATTAGATCTATCAACAGAGCAGAAACTAAAAACATCTAAGCCCAGTAGAAATCTTCAAACTATTATAGAGGGGTGAAGTACTCGGTGACATAGGGGATTGTTACCTTTCAGATTGTTTTAAGGGCTTGATCATAAATATGTTGTAACATGTAGTTCTTTTATTTTTTTTAAAGCAGGATGGTATTTTGTTTTTCCACATGTGCCTCTGTTGGTAGATTTTATCCTTTGCAGAGCTTTGAATTCACTGCTGGAAGGTTATTTGGGGCTGGTGTAATTGGCATGCAAGTGAGACAGGTTGCTATGACGCCAGTGGAATCCTTTGTGAATGGCCAACTGTGCTTGTCTACTCCTGAGCGCATTTCACACCATTTGAGACTGCCTCCAAACCATTCTTGAATCGCGCATTTTAAAAGGTTCTTGTCAGAGACACATTTTTGTGAGCACAAGATCCAGCGTTTGGTATGTTACTGTTTGCTTTGATTTTGGTTTCTGCTGATGGCCACTGTCCAGATGATAGGATTATACCAGATTAGACTTCGGTTTCCAAGCAGTGCTTACCACGACTACCACGCTACAGTCATGGGGGAAAACAAAGGGGGTGTCCGTGCAAGAATTTGCTCTAATGACCCAAAATGAAAGAGGGAATTGCTGTCCCACTGTCTAGGAGTGTAAAGACATACCTATCCGTTAGCCACAGACTACAGGACTAATAGAATGGACAAGGTTTGGCAACTCTCCAAAACCGGATTGCAAACTAACCTCAAAGAGGGTCAGGCGTAATGAAAAACACACTTCCCCAGACAGCAAGTGTCATTCAAAAAGAAGGTAAACCACAGCTCTGTTGTTAGCGTTTCAAGAGCACAGAAACTTGTAGTGATTTCCAGAAAAAGGTTTAATCACTGCTAAGTATCCTAAAGCTATTTATTTCTGGGAGATATGGTGGCGTTACTCACCCTGCTCAGACCCATATGGAAGCTGCTCTTCTCTAAATCCAGGGACTCCAGGAGCTCCTCCACAGCCTGGGTGAAAACACACATGTGAACAAAAATTCCCACAAACACACCTGAATCCAACAGTAATGTTTACACACTCAAACAGTTCAGTGTTTCACAGTTCCCCCAAGATGTGAAATCAGTAGCATGATGTTGTTTTCGTTCTTCCTTCACACCTATAGTATTTTCACATTATTTCCCAGAAGTTAGTAAGTGCGGGAAAAGTTTGGCTCTTCAAAACATCCACAAACCAATCCCAACTTGTCCCCCAGAATCCACCAGCTCCTAGCTTATTCGTCATGACCCCCTGCTGCTATTAGCTCTCATTGCAGTTTGGAGAACAAACATCCAATGTAGCAGTGCATCATCAGCCAGCTGGGAGCCTCACTTCCACCTGTCCATCTGCCAGCCTGTGTATACTGTAGTTTTACTGTTGCCTCAGCCTTTTCTCTATATACTTGAGCCTCCAGCCTGAAAGACTGCATCTAGATTACACCAGGAGAGGTTTTCCACGAATACTGAAGGACTTTTGTTTGCCGGCGTTTCCACAGAAACTCAGCCCCAATACACTGAGAGGGAGAAAAAGAGCTATACTCTCCCTAAACCCCATTCTTTTGCACGGCCTCAGTTCTCTTTGGAAACTAACTTTCTTATTTTTCTCCCCTGCACTTTAACTAAGGTCTCTTTTACAGAAGATCAATAAGCGGAACACCCTCATTCATAGTTAAATACCAAAGAATGAAACGCCAACCGGTGTGAGTAAAGGAAAAGAATCACAGAAAAAGAGTGTATGTCAAGTAACTAGACCTCGAAAGTTATTTATCAAAGCTGTGGTTTCAACAGATCACATCTACATCTATTAAGTATATCTCTTAAGTAAATTTCTAGCTTTCAATGCAGTAAAACACTTCTTAAACTACAATTCTGATCCCTCTCTTTCAGGGGGCATGATAGCGATGCAGTTAAGTTGATTAGGTCTTTACAATAGCCCTGATGAATGCCTATCTCTCTGTCTGGTGACTGCTGACAAACCATGGTCAGATGTAATGAAGTTGCCTCTTCCCAACATCAATCTTCCCCGCGCTCAGCCCCTGCTGAAGCCGTACATTTTACCCTCTCTCTTGCTGATTGACTCACTCTCTTTTCATCCTTTACAATGTAATTCCTCCCATGCTTCTTGGTGAGGTGCGGAGCAAGCACATCAAAGCGCCGTCGGAACTCAGAGAACACCATGTGATCAGGGTAACCTGGAGAAAGACACAATTCAAAAAGATCATTGCCTGCAAATATCTGTGTGAGTGCATTTATCAATCAATGTAAATAAAAGCCTCATTCACACCCTTTGTTCCTGAAATACATGTGGGTATGGAAGTCTAAAGCAAATGTGATTTTTAGGGATAAGATTTTGAAACAGCTGCATCACCTTGCCTGTAGATCCTTAGAGCATCAAGCAGCTTGGATCCACGTATCTGAGCACGAAGCAAGGCCACATCTAGCTGCATTAAGCTAGAATCTCCTGTCTCCCCTTGAGCCTCACTTTCCCCTCCTTTGAACAGAGATCCACTAAGAGCCTTCAGGGCGTCTGCCTTGGGCAATATGCAGTGAACAAAGTGAATCCTTGACCTCCGTACCATGTCAAGAAGAGCATCCTGGAGAAGACAGGACACGGTCAGGAACTCTGATTAAAGCAGTTCAGCATTACATGCAGCATCTTCCAGTAATGTATGTAGACAGTGCAGGCAGGGCTTAACTTCTGGCAGCAAAATAAAATTCCAATATATTTTCTTTGTAGGGAGTAGTTCTGGTTTTTAAAAATAATCCTTAGCTAAAGTGTCAAATCCACCCTTTACACTGTAATGCTGTAGAGAGACACCCAAGAGCTGACACGATAACCCTGGCAAACAGATGATGAATTGAGAAATATACACAGCTTTAAACAAAATCCATTTTTAAAAAGTCTAGCTTTTCGGTTTGGAAGCGTAACTTTAATACAGTTGAAGAGCTGGATTCTGTAACAAGAGGTCTCATATGATTTTCTCTGACTGATGCCGACTTTTGGCCTTCATCTCAACTTCATCTTTATACATTTTTATGTGTATAAAACAATTGGTGAATGCTATGAGACCCAAAGTAGATTTCAAAACTCTTTCACAGCTTAACACCCCAAACGGCGTTCTCTTCAGACGTTTCAAATCCTGAAATTAACATTGGAACAACAGATAGGCTGATTTGCAGTCGTTTCTCACCACTTGAAGTTTTATCTGAATGCACAGTGACTTTTTCTTGATAGCAGCCACCCCTGTGGTGAAAGTCTTCCTCATGCTAGAGGCCCTTCGCAGGGACAGCTGGGAGACACCCTCAAGTCCAGCAATGGAACCGGACAGAACAGCAGCGCCACCTGACCGGCTCATGAACAGTGAGCTGATGTTCTTCCTGCAGAAGAAACAATGCCATGGTAAAATTGATGGAGCCAGGCCTCACAGTCTGACCCTGGCAGGACAGACTAGGCTACTAACGGTTGTAATTCAGCGCTAGTAGAAGTTGTTCTAATGTAACATGGGGTCGGTCCGTTTTTCTTTTGTTACCTGGAAATGACCTGGAAACAGTAACTATGATTTATGAGTTACCCGAATTATCTAAATACTAAGGAGAGGAGATTAAAGTCATCTTTAAATATTTCGTTGAGCTGGGTATTTACTGGAACATCACTCATGAAAGAATTCTGCACAACAACTTCTTGCAACTGAAACTTTGGAAGTAAAAACTTGATTACATTTATCCAGCCACAGTGACTTGAGTGGATAAAAATGAGGAAAGGAGGAGTGGTAGCACAAATATATGATACTTATAAGTTATAGCCTCAATGTAACAGTGTGATAATATTTATTAAATAGCCCCATTTTCAGGTCTGCAAGCCAACATCAGAGCTTCATATAAGTGTGGTCAGTTAACAAAAGTGGACTGGTTATTTCAGCATAGAATCTTTAAAGGTTTATTCCACTATTTTTGAAGGAGACCACTTAGAAGATCAACTTAGGCCAGGAATTGACCATACCCTTACATTCTTATCCAGGAGTGATTGTGAAGCAGACATCCAAAACAGAGAAAATAGGGCTACATCTCGATGAGGAATTAATCATGTCACAGAAAATATATGGGATATTGCTTCATATCTGAGAAAATGTTGGTCAGTCAGGTGCATTCATAGTTACATTCAAATTTTGTTAATCTTTTCTCTTGAAAATGCCTGTCGAAACCAGAATAATGGTTATTACTCTCTACCTGCATGAGAGACACTTACTTTTGAGAGTCCTGCAGTAGGTTCAAAGCATTGGCTGAGGCGGGATTCTGTTTGGCGTAGTTTAACCACCCATGAGCATCATACTCCACCCAGTCACTCCCATGACTGTGGCCGAGCAGAAAGTGATGTTCCTTCTCACTCCTCAAAAGAAAGGTGTGACCTGGGGTACACAGCATTTGTAGTTAGCTTCCCAAAGAGTTTAGAAAGACATTCATACCATCTGCATGAAGAGTTGATCAAAACGAGCATATTCATCACTTCATGATCACTCTGGTATGTGCCATCTGTCACAAAACGTATTCAGACATTACTGATACAGAGATAATCCCAGACAGTCTGGTCTTTGTTCATTCAATTTGGAGGAATAGCTAGGCCAAAAATCCATTTTACTAGGTCTTTGGTGAACTCAGGCAGCCACATAATGTCTCCTTTATAATTCTGATCAGTGTTCAAACATCACTATATGCAGAAAAAACTATGTTGCCATCAAATAAGAGCAGACGGTTTCAAGATTCTACTGTGGCCAAAGTTAAACTTGTGAATCATGGAGCCTATCAATGTTTACATGGTTATTACAGCATGTTTAGTTGATCAACTCTATATTTCTGATGGATGAACCTTTTATTTTAGCTAATGTGATCCATGATCAACAAGGGTGACCCAAACAAGGACTAATTTATTCCAACATCTTTTTTTGGGACAAATAACACCAGGATTTGAATTGTAACACTGACAGAACTATTAATTGGAAAATGTGTTATTGGAGTGGTTGTAGATTAATCAAAACTGATATGTCCGATAATGAAACAAAGCTGGCTGCATTCAAACTGATGATCTAATTATCCAAAATCAAGAGACTTCTGTCTGTTTATTTATAATAAACAAAATTGGGTCAACATTAAATATAACCTTTAAGAGAGACTCATATGTGCAGACTATGTCTGTCTGGTCCTCACCTTTACTCTCGCCCTCAGCTGGTCCATAGTAGCTAAAGAGACGTCCCAAGAGCGTTTCCTCTGATCCTCCAGGCTGTAATGCCTCCTCCTCCATCAGCCACAGCAGCCCGCGTGCCTCATCTGTTCTAACACTGCGCACCTTTAAAAAAAAAAAAAAAAAAAAATTTTTTTAAAGTTAACATATGAAAACTCATACATATATAATATAGGAACAACAGCAAAGCCCAACTGTGAAAAAAGTGCCTTCATTTTAGTTTCACCCACATAATGGTATCTTTTCACCTGAATAAAAGACCACCTTGCAACAAGGACATTGCACTTATTTAATGGGAATATGTTTGCGAATCAAGTGCAAAATAATTTTGTAATTATTTGTCCTTCTCTTGGGTAAAAAGATCATTATTCTGAAAATCATCCCTCAATTGCTGCTTGCTTACCTCTGCAGGCCGGCTCTTGAATGCAAATTTAAGCAGCTTGCTGCATGCTTTTCCTGTGTGAGCTGTTCTGAGAGGCCTGATAATATTATTAGTACTGAAAATTGAAGTTTCAAAAGCATTTATGGCCCCTGCGTCCTTCAGCCAGCACTGCAATAATGGCACCATCAATTCATTTTTTCCTTATAATAAAAGTGGCAACAGAAAGGAGTCCATAAACACGGGGTAGGGAGGGAGAGGGGATTATAAAGTAATACAATTAGTGATACAATTAGTATCAACACAGAGAAGGAAATTAAATCCACTCCAGCACCAATGAGCATGGAATAAGTGCATAACAAAGGCTGTGCTTATCTTCCTGTAAGATACTATGCAAGTACATGTATCTTCATCAGGGGAGTGTGCTCACATATAAGCATCTTTTATCATCTGTATTCACAAACTCAAACAGCATTTCAGTAACAGATTTCACTGGTATGATTTTGACCAAGGGTCATCCAGAAAAGCTACAATTAAGGGTTTTTGTTTCTTGTTTTTTTTTCTGTTGTTTTTAAAGGTCTTCCCATTAAAAGGTAGCCGAGTTTGGTAACATAGTTAATACCTGAAACCAGGCTGGGAAGCCTGGCATGGATGCCAAGTGATAGAAACCAAAAAGTGTTTCAGCACCTATCGGGAAGTTACACTGGAGACATCCTTATCAGCAGTGCACACAACACTGACTGCAAATACAACACAGGGTATCAGTTTGGAAGAGACATATGACAACCACGAGGCCTGCAATGAATTCAACGCCGAGGCTGTTTGTGATAAAGGACATCTGAGCTATGACAGAAAAAAAAAAAAAAAAAACTACATGTGTGGGTGAGAAAAATCTTTGATCAGAATGTCTTTTCACTCCCAGCAACTGATCGTTAAAGCCGACTTTAGAAATGACTTGGAAGAAGCCTATTTTTTTGTGTGCATGTGCGTGACTGTGTGGGGAGCACAGCGGCTCGCTGCTTCTGGTGACGTTCCCGTCGCAGGAGGGACTCTTCAGAAAGCAACGCACTCAAGGCAAACGTACTGGAATTATAGCAGAGCGATCCATGATGCTTTAAACTCTGCCATTTTTGTTTCCATGGTGCAGATCACAGGCTGCAAAGGCCAAACATTGATTTTTTTTGTCTTGAAGTCAATTCCCTAACCTTTCTTTTCCGTCATCTATCCTCTTTTTCTAGCCTCTGCAAAGCCAGTCCTGCACAGCACAAACATGGCTTATGATTATCTGACAATAATCACTCCTGAATTATGGAAGTTGGCCGTAATCATTCAGGGGCATGTTACAATTTACCCCTACAGAGCAATGCACAAAGAAAAAAAAGAGAAAAAAAAAGAAAAAAAAAAGAAAAAAAAAGAGAAAAAGTGACCATATAAATGAAATTATGATGAGGAATATACAAAACAATAAACTTACTATTGCTTGGCTTGACGTCTGGTCTACCACCGCCACTGAAAGAGATGGGCTGGGATCCGTGTCATCTAAGGAAAGCTCAATGTTCTCCTGGAGTTTGAGAAAGAAAAAATGAAGACTGATGAACATTTGAAAAATACACTAGTTTTAACAAGGGACCAAAGCAAAGTGAGCAGCTGTTCATTTCTGTTGCTTTTAAAAGGAAAATAAAAATAACTTGGGAGAAACACAACAGCAAAAAAAAATCAATTTTGCAGTTGAGTTTTTCAGCAATTTCAATGCGAGTGAGGCGGTTAAAGCTTTCCAATGGGCTAAGAAAAACATGTTTAATCAAGAGGAAAATGCAATTCAAAGTAGATCATGAGGAAACAAGTTGTTCTTCCAACATTGACCTTCTGAGACATACCCTTTATGTGACCCTGGGCCTTAGAATTTCAAAATCAACACATGAGCTGAAAAATCCATAATGAGTAAAAAAAAAAATGTTTAAAAAACATAATACCATTCACTGCTCACTTTTTGTTTATCATAGATTGGGCACATGGTTATACATCATAAGTACAATGGTAGATTGCACAGTTAATCTCCAAATGGTTCAAATGGTAAAGGCCACAGGATATTCGGATTAATTATTCGTACAGTAGTTTATAACACTATAAATGCACAAGCGTTACCGATCAAAGAATGAAAAATGTCAATAGATTATAAGTGTTCAGTTTCCCAGCTTTGACTTGAATGTGTTGGTTGCAATTAATCACCAGTCATCTCTAGAAATCCTGATTCCCTTTTATGGATAATGTTCCTTGCAAAGTTGCCAAGGGACATAAAAATTCCGAAGACCGATATAGAAACTGAAGATGAATAAATGAATGAATAAACTAAAACAAGGTTAACTAAAACTTGACCGCAACAAATCTATTCCAACTGCACAATATCTGACATTTACGGCGACGTCTTTTTCTTCTTCCTATAGGTAAATGGAAATGCTAAAAGGGTCATTTGCTATTACAGATGATAATATTTCTGGGGTGAAGTAGAAATCATTATACTAAATTACCCTCACCAGAGCAAAATAGGCATGTAGGAGCTCACAGTGAGAAAGTGCACGTTGCTCTAGAAATGGTTGAAAATGTTAGTAATATGGCCGTGACACAGGGCTGTGTTCAAGCCGACTGTGTAAAGCAGCTCCAATGATATTTTTTTCTCTGCAGGCTGTTCATGTGGTGCAGAAACACAAAAAAAAATTGTCTCTTCAACAGCTTCAAAGCTCGAAAGCATTTAAATCAAAATTAGAAAAGCACAGACCTGTTGTGCACACCGTCTCTCTCTGACCTGCCTGTCATTGTAATTGTTAACACAATGTACTGTTTTAAATGAGTTTGACCCAGTTTGTGATGAGTTTTACTGCTTCGTATTTTTTCAATTCCTACTGACAGGAGAGAATTACACTGCAAAGATTTATGCAACACTTCATTTCACTAAAATTCCCCTTCTCCCAAGCAAAAGACGTGGGTGGAAAAATAGGTGGAAAGTCCCTGGATCCCTGCTCACAGTATTTAAAGGAAAATGATCTGCATTTATAGTTATAGTCGTAAGATAAGAATGACATTTCTTGGATTACAGTTGTGACAGCTGAAAGGGATAGATCTATTGAAAATGTTGTTTAAAAAAAAAAAAATCTCAGGCATTTTCCCTCAAATAAATCGTTGTGGTTGACTGCACACGGTTATCATGGTCCAGTCGAGGTAGAATGAGCTCAAAGGAGGACAGAAGAAGAATAGTGTGTTCATCAGGGAGCAACTCCACGGCTGTGCAGCTGGGCGTGTCTCAAAGGCAGCTGTGAGTAACTTTACTTTGATCTTGGCAGAAGAGGTGAAGACTGGCATCGCTAATGAGCTCTAACACATGCAGTACTTTGACTTGTCACAGCTTGTGACAAGTGGGACGGAGAGCGTGTCTGATGTGTGAACACATACACTATTTGAGCTGATGTATCTGAGAGAAAGTCACAGCCAAGGGAAAAGAGAAAAAGGTGGGAGGAAGACAGACACGAGGAGAGTGAGGATGTATGTATGCGGAGAGTATTATCCTTCATGTCTTTACCTCTTTGTATCTTTCCAGTTCCTGAACAAAGGTGCGCTGGTAGAAAAGGCTCTGGAGACGTTCCTGGGTGTAGTTGTGGCAAAGGTCCTCAAAGGTTGTGCCGCACTCCCGTTTAGCTAGCCTGGGGTTTTGAAAGCCTGGTGTGTCCACGATGAGCAGGGAGCACAGGGAGTGCTGGCTGGATTTCAAGGCCCTGAAGAGCACGAGGGAAAAAACATGTTTAAAAAAAATAAATAAATAAAGCAGTGCAGTGTTAAGACAACTGTCACCGCTCAAATTCCCGCCATAAGCCTGAGCTTTAACATCACGTCCCTCCACTGCGACCTCAACTTTAACCCCATTTAACATAAGCATCACCCATTATATATGGGCACTTTTATTTCTGAAATACAAATAAAAATAATTAAATGTAAAAAATCTACATTTGACAGAATTTTTTTTTTTTTTTTGGGATTGGTTCAATAATCCGACCATTATGCCAAAACACTTGACATGCACAATTCAGGTTTGATACGAACCGGTTTATCAAAGTAATTATGACAGTGAAGAGTTCAGAGTAGAGCCCAGATGCCATGGCCTCTAAGCACTCCATGGCTGTAGCTTTGGATCCTGGTATAGGGAAAAAACAGAAAATACACATTAGGAATTGACACTTAAAAAATATCTTGATTGTCAAACAACTGATAAACTAGATGAATAAGAATGTCTGCGTCAAACTAAAACTATGGACAGAGTTTTTGCTCCTCAAAGGAAATCCGACAACATTAACCTTGATCATTTGAGACCCAGAGGCACAAGGTATCCAAGGTGTGTCTGAAATTGTCTTTTCGGAGCAGTGTCATTTAGGACTCTTGGTGTTTGGAGCCGGTCAGATCAAATTGGGCTAGCTCTGTGCCCAGCAGCAACGGCCACCTGTTAAGCTCGCTTAATTCATTCCACTACCACACAGAACGGCGGGTTCATGTTAGGAGGGGGGGGATGTTTTAATGTGTGCAGACACATACTGGACAGCAGGTTTTCGTGTGAGTGGAGATGGAGGAAAGGTGAGACCGAGGTCGTTTATGTCTGTCCCTGCTGTGGCAGACTTTTAACCGTATCCCGGTGCCCTTCAAATCTGTTGCTGCCTTGATGGAAGTCAGACAATCTGCACATGTGAAAATCAATGTGAGGCAATTATGATTTCAAGGACAATGAATGAAGGGGGGGATCCAAAATTGCTTGTCTTGACAGTGTGTGTGCACTCATCTGTCAATAGCCATTGTGTAGCTGTAGTATTCATTACCAAGATAAGCTTTACTTTCTCCTGTGCATGCAATTTCCCTCAGGTGATGAGCAGACATATCCGAGTGCAGGTGTGAGTGAGGAAATAGAGTGAGAGTGACAAAGAGAAAGAGGCAAGAGAGGGTGTGGGTGGGGGCTGAAAAGAGAAAAGAGGAAAGAGAATACTGGTAAATGTGGTCTGTGGAGTACCTGCATCTGCTGAGCCATTTTCGTCAGAAGCCTGGCGGATGGTGCTGGCTCTGGGCAGGGTGCCCTTGGCCTGATGCTTGAAGATGGAGGAGGAAAGCTCTTCCAGGGAGCAGCCCAGCAGGTAGGCAGCCTTTTGGGCCCACTCGTGACGTGCAAATTGTTTCCTGCCAGCTGAGACACGCGCATGAAAACATCCATTAGACCTTCTGGCTACAACATACAGTTGGATTGTGACAATCGTGTCTCTAAAGACAAGGTTATGCTTCTCAGAAGTGAAGTGGACATGCCTGATGATAACATGCTTGAAAAGAACATGAATATAATGCGTGGATACACTTTGTCTTATTAGGCTGAAAAGGGGAAATAACGCACCTAGCTCCTTCAAGTACGTGCATTAAACTAAAGGTTTATCTTATGTATTAAGGAGCAAAGCTGATTGGATGAATATGAATACCTCATTTAAGAGGTACCAGCTTTTCTTAAAGTAAAAGAAATATTAAGGAGACAATCAGGTTGGATAAAAAGCACCAGTTTTAATCCACAATGAATTGGTTTATTTTAAGACTGAAGGAGAAAAGTTACATTATCATACAGAAATGAGTGATCCATATCAGTTTCAGCAGCAGCAGCTGCAGCTTTACATTCCTCCAGTTAAAGATAAGTTGGATAGCTGTAAAATGTCTCAATACTTGCTTTGGCTGTTATGTGGCAAAGTAATTATTTAGATTCTAACCAAAAACAGGAACCTGTGCTTTGTAAAATATCACAAGATGGCTTTTTACGTGAATTTGTCAGAATAAACAGAGAGAGGTGAGTTCATTTTAGCACACCCCTGAATTTGTTTAAGGGTGATTAGAGATCATTGCTGCCCTCTTGTGTTAAACAATGAGGCTGCATCTTTAAGAAACCTTAGGTTGAGTTTTTGCGATCATACGCGAAAGTCTGTAAAAGAAACAGCTTTTTACAGTCTAAAGCGTCATACGGAGTCCTTTTATGAATAAATGTAATAGTGTCACATAACAAGGCCAAACTGCTTTCACAATGTTAGCCCTTTGTCTACTGTCCCCAGTTCCCCCCACACACCATACAATGCTTCATTGTATCAATAAACAGTCCTAAGTTTAAATGTCATCCAGTCATTTCCAGATCAACACTGTTTGAAGACTGTTATTCCAGACAATACCACTGTTCAAATGCTCTCACTTTTCTCCCAGATGGTGTTATGATGCCATCAGAAAGACTGCTGGCCAACTGGATGGAATCAGACAATAATTTGGCAAGCTTTACTGTAAAAGAGAGTGCGCAGACAAACGAATGGAAAGAGCTAAATGCATTACCAATGCACATAATTTGGGGATACTCTGATGCATATATTCTGATGCCATACTATTTATTCACAGAACTAATTTGCACTACAATATCTTATCATCATATTTATAAGCTGATCAAGTATCCCCAGTGACTTTACTTCATTTCATACTCACAAAATGGAGTTTGAATTAGTGACAATGGGGGGAGGACTACAACATAAGGAATCTTTTTGACAGCTTCAAACTTTTAAAATGGCAGATTTCTAATTTTATGTCAAAAGTTAAATGTTGACATGATAACTGTGGCTATAACTGTTAAAACAAGCAGTTTTAACAGAAATGAGTGTGTTCCTGACACACTGTTCCACTAGCTCTGTAATGCACCCGTAAGGCAAGATAAATGTTTGCATTGTTGAGCTGTAATGGGCCTTTCTAACAATTAAGACAGTCATTTCAATGGATTCAGTTACAGTAAGAGCGTGGTGTATATTTATAACCTATTTCAGCAAAGTCTGATATTTTCAATAGAGAAGAAGTTTAAAAATAACTGAAAAACCTCATGTATTCCTGTAATGGTATCCTCCAACTATAAAAGCATGAAAACTGTGAAAGGAAGTCCCTAATTATTTCAATATGTAAATATTATTACTTCCAAAGCACAACTTTTCTGTAATATTTCATTCAGAGTTGCAGATCAGAGCAGTTCAGCCTAACAACCTGTGCAACATCATCTTCAAGTGCACATGCATGATTAAGCTGACTGGATTGCATCCCTCTTGCATCACTCAGACGATGCTTTCATAATGCATACTTGGCATCTGTCAGATCAGGTAAAGCGTTTCTCGAAAAAGATTTTGTCCAACAATGACATTTTTGTCACAGCCCTTGTTTTTGATTGTTACAAATTCACAATGATTTGTACACATCCCGTCATGAGCAGCATCATCAACACTGACAAATCACCCAGCTTCAGCAGGTCGCACCATCCTTTGGGTCCAGAAATCTTACCTTTGGTTGCTCCTGCAGCCCCAAGATGGTAGATGGCTCCAAGGATGAGCCACAGGGCCTTTTGTTCATCATTACTGATCCCCAGAACTTTCATGGCTGCTTGCAACTTGGAAAACTGCTGAGAGCCCCGCTGCTTATCCTCCGTCTAGTAGATTTATATAAAAGCACAAAAAGAAAATAAGGTTTTTCTCTTTTCAGTTGTATGCAACAAAAAATTTAAATCTGTCATTAACATTAAGCTATTACCTTCATTTGTGGCATGATTCCAAACGCATTGTTGTCAGCAAAGTGGTTAAGGTGCAGCTCAGTTCTGATAAGGCATTGTGAACAAGACAGGAGACATTAACGTCTGTGGCGTTACCGGCTGCAGTACTAAATCACTGACATATCTGTGTAATACATCAAGTGGAGAATAAAGGTGTAATGTGGTTTTAATTAGCATGAGGGAATCTATACTGACCTGAGAGAGCTATCTATCCCAGCCATCAGGTAGTAAAAGACATTAAAGGTGGACTCTCCTTCTGGTCTTCTCATCACCCTCATCTTCTCCAGTAGCATGGTCTGCGAGGTCACATTAAAACAAAATGCTTAATAATATTATTTTATGGTTTGCCATTAAGCATCACAAAAGCTGTGCTTGAGAGTCAAATTATTTGAAGACAGGATCTCTTAAATGAGAACAGAATGCATAAGGGGAGGATATATATGGTGGCCGTAAAGCGGTAATTTCATAAATGGAAAATAAATATAAAAAACTGAAAAATATGACAAAAATAACTACAGTTGCAAAAACAGAAAACAAAAGAGAAAAACAGCAATTAGAATACAAAAAATTAACATTAACTCTAGGAACCACAGCAGACTCAATAAAAACTGAAAAAGAAATCTGCGTATGAAAAACTCTTTGTTTTCACTTTTCATATTGCTGGTGTTTTTTCCTGATTAGCAGGAAAATATAATAATATTGTAATATAAAAGCTGTTTGTGTTTTGGAAGCTGTTATCCTGTTGCTTGGAATGTTCCTGTACTTCCCTTTCCCGGCTGTGTTTGGGACCTGAGGGCGGCCACATTGCATGCAGATAGTGGGGACGAGTGCTCATTGTACCTGGATAGAGGCTGACGTCACCAGGCCTGCCTGGTCAAAGTCCAAGGAAACAACATGGGAGAAGCGACTTGCATTTCCATTCATGCAGGTGGAAGCGTTCCCAAAAGCTTCCAATACTGAATAGACCGCCTGCCATTTCTCCGCTGCGGGAGACAAAGGAAAAACGCTGGTATTCCGGGTAGCTCATCATAAAGTAATCATCAACCGGTGATTTGTGGGACCGTCCCTTCAAACCTACATGAGAAGGACTTATTAGTGCTTCCAGCAATGGTAATCAGATACTGGACGACATGTTGACAACTGGTGGTCTTGCCACTTCCACTCTTGCCGAGCAAAACAATGGACTGATCCTGGCGAGTGGTCAGGAGGTTCCTGTAGGCAGCCTGTGCTATGCTGTAAATGTGAGGGGCGGTGTCCTCCCGTCTGCAGCCCTTAAACATCTGCATGACCTGTAAGATATAGTTCAGAAGAGGCAAACTAAATCAACTTGAAAGTCTCATACGCTTCACTTTTAAGCTCTAATTGGACAGCTATCCAATCTTCGCTACTCTCTTATTTATGCTGAGGCACAAGAGAGGTTCATTACATGTGCAAGCTGTCGCCTACCTTTTCAGAATACATAGAGGGGGCACTAATGGGGTTAATGACCACCATGTTGGGCCCGGCGTGGGTGTGCATCAGGTTACTGCCATACCGTTGTCGAAGGGAATGCATCACGCTAGACTCATTCAAATACTGCAGCGAGGCCAAGTCCTCCACTCGGTCAAAGAGTGGAGGGTTTGCCTAGAGTTCAAAGACAGAGGAGGTGGTCACACGCTCACGCAGCGCCATCTATAATGGATGAGGGTGAGGGTTGATTTGATAATTAAATACCTTCTCAACATCGTCTTCATCCACGTCCAATAAAGATCCATCACTCTCCAGGCGGATTTTCACCTTCCCCTCAGGCAGGCTGCCCGGCTCCGTCTTCAGGAGAGTTGCTGCATCACCACAAAGAGCGCAACTAATTAATTGGGGTATTCTCAACCTGAGTTTATCTTATCTTACAAGCCTGACAACAGTGGGCAGTTGTATCTCTTTTAATAACGTCTGAGACATATTAAAATTTAGTATTCATTCTGGGAGGATAACACTGCTAGTCTCCGTCTGTTAGTAAATTAAAGTGGTCCATTATAGTCCCTTTTCAACATCCACATTTTTAAACACATCGTCTATGCCTCCAAAACCCACTTCTACGCCCTGCAATCAATCACCCATTTAAGAAAAATGTAAACATGCCAGCAGATTGTTTTTAATGAATGCAGATAAAATCAGAGGTTATACAAACCCAGGGAAAATCCATCCTTGTGAACAAGCCATACTTTTTCTGTCTCATACCAGGCCTTCTCTGCTCTTATCTGCTCCTCGGTCTTTCCCTGTTAGAATAGGGGCAAAAATAAGGATAAAAAAAGGTTTTCATAAAACACTTTAACACGCAAGATATTGTAGACGGCTAAATTAACAGGGAAAAAAACACAGTTAATAAACGGTGGATTAAAAGTGCTTGATTCATTTCCAATAGATTTCACAATTGAAACTGTAACAACAAGAAGTGATTAACTTACAATTAACTTTATATGAGTCGAGGGGAATGTAATTCAGTGGTTGTATGGATTCATTCCAGTGAAAAAATAAGTACGAGCCTTTAAAGCTCTGGTTCCCATGACTCTCTTTTGATGCACCTTTAAAGCACCCAGCGTGTTCACTGAGCTGGCTGAGGTGCATTTATCATCCTCACAATAAAGACTTGGTGCGCAGAAGGAACAACAGTTTGTTTTGTTTGTTTTTTCAATCACAGCCAGGTAACACCACATGGAAAGAAAAATCTGCCCTTAATCATTGGGGAAGGTGGGGGTTAAACAACAAACAACCAAGCCAAAGCAAGTGGAGTGTCACGAGTCATGCATGAAAATAACAGTCCACATCAGCGATGCAATCAAGCTCACATAATAACTGTAGGGGAACCAAAAGAAAAAATGGTATTTTCTTCCACAGTCGATAATTTCTCTCTAATGTAGATTCAGGACGCAGTTAAAATCCCCATGAAACAACACCCAAATATATATACATATATACACACACACACACACACACATATATATACACACACATACAGTGGGGGAAATAAGTATTTGACCCCTTGCTGATTTTGCAAGTTTGCCCACTTACAAAGAATGCTTATTTTTCCTCATCAGATGGTTATCGATTTTTATAAATTCATATGATGTGATTTTCTGGAATTTTCTTTGGGATTCTGTCTTTCACTGTTAGAATGTACATACGATTAAAGTTATAGATCGTTGCATTCTTTGTAAGTGGGCAAACCTGCAAAATTAGCAAGGGGTCAAATACTTATTTCTCCCACTGTATATATATACACACATTGTAAGAAAAACATAAAAATGAAATTCATGGGAACTTCAACTAATGAGTCCTGACTCTGAGCCAGGTGGTGGTTCAGAAATGTAATCGGGCAGGGCAACAGGGAAGGTAAGTCCTGGGGTTCTAAAAGGGGAGACTGCTTCACTAACGACCACCACAGCGACTAGTTTTGTCACATAACAGATGTCACTCAGAAATGGAGGGGGAAATCACTCAGAAAAACAACCAGGCGTTTCCGTGGTCAAACCTGCAGAGTTGCAGCTGAGTGTGCTGCCTGAAGGATAGCCACTGGGTCCCCAACAAGCTCGGACTGGAGAAGGGAAGAATCACAGTCAGTATTTTGAGTAGTTTAGTACTATTTAGGAGCTATGTTGGCAATGCCGGACGTAACACGGTGAAATAAGTAGTTGAAGTTATTGTGAGTGAAGACTGAATAAATCCCACTGGAACATGACCGGCGGCAGTCCAACGATCGCGACAAAAAGACAAACAACCGGTAGAATAAGTGATTGGATCAATTATGTCCCCGTGAAATAATGAATGAGCAGAGATTACAAGGAGTGTGAAGGTAAACTGAGAGTGGAAAATCCTATATTTATGTTTCATAATAACAACAGTGACAATTTCCATGTCTGTTGGACCAAACCTCTGTGAGAAACAAATACAAATCAAGCCTAATGAACCCTTTAGCTTTGAAAAAGGGAGATTAAGGCATTGTATAGGTACCATGATGCAACAAGACACAGAAACGCCATCGTACTACAAGTGGGGTCAGGGATTTGTTTCAGACACACCCATCTCATCACCAGAGAAGCTCAAACATTTGAACCTTAAACCTTTTCAAGCACTTTGCTGCTGTGTATGGATGCTAGGTAATCTCAGGTCTGTGCTTACATGCAGGCATACAGAGAAAAAAACAAAAAGGCTTCCTTAGACACAGACAACACCACACGCCATGCAAATTTAATTCAATAGTCCTATATCAACCTCAAGAGCCCCGGATTAACCCGACATTTGTAACCACTGCTCTCTTTGACATTAGTACATCCCAGGCCCCTGCATGAACCCAGAAAACAGCACGAGCTGGAGGAAAAGCAGACGAAGCAGCAGGCCAGAGAGAGGTCAGGACAGGAGAGCATGCTTAGACTTCTGCAATGGAAATCCGCGGGGGCCCGCTGCACAGCTGTCTGTACCTGAGAGTGTTTGCCGCTTGTGGAATCCTAGCCATGCAAACAGCGAAAAAGGGAAGCAGGAAGTCAGGATCCAATGACCCCAAAAAAAACAGAGAGATGAATTTAATCAGTTCATCAAAGCAGGGAAAAGGTATAAAAGGGCTGTCCTACGGACCTGGAGATAACCAGTAAGTGTCCAGTGCCACATGACAAATGATCACCGTCATTCTGTGGTTGTCTCACTTGAATATAAAATATTGTATAGAAACATTATGCCTTTAAATGGATGCAATGATGTAATAAGCAATTCTGTAGTTTGCTTTGAGAAAAACACAAAGCAAAAGTCTGTTACAAAAAAATATATCTATATATCACGGTGCATTCTCTACTGAAAAAAAGCTTGCCACAGCAACAAAAACGACATGGCCGGTAGTCAGAGGAGTCTCCTATGACATGGAGCCTTATGGCAGAGGAAACATTTTCCAAACAACTGAAAAACAAGCAACTGACTTAAGCTAGTCACAGGTTAAACCCTGGAAAAGCACAGCTCATGCAGGCCACAAAAACCCAGGCAGATATGATTTACATTATTTCCATCAAGAGAGAAGATCTTCATCACGCGCTTGTAGTCTTCATCAGAAGGTATAAGCTCTGGAGCCTACGATTGGACAGCGGGGGCAGCAAAACCAGATATGCAGCCAGAAAGTAATTTAGATAAAACAAAAGCAATTCCTGTGGCTGTCCACTTTTCAGAAACTGAAAGCTGAGAGGCAGCACAGAAAAAAACAGCCTGTCTTTTCAATGTGAGAAGCACGCACACACACACACACACACACACACAGTGATGTGTACCTTTGGAGAGGGATGAACAGAGCCATTCGATGCAGACTGGGCATGAGGCAGTTCATCAGGGAATGGAGTACCATTGGGCACCACAGAGGTCTCCTTTGCCTCACGTAAAGCAAATATTTGAAAGCACAAAGACAAACATGTGCAATAAGAGATTGGGAAGAAAAAAAAAACATGAAAAGATGAGGGTGGGGACTAAAATGATGTTTTGGATGGTCTATTTTCCCCTGACTTTAGATTAAATTTTTCCACCTCAACAGCGACCACCAGATAATTGTTTGAGGTAATTCAATCAGAAAATTAAAAGCAGAAAATGGATTTGAACATAAATTGGATAATCAAGCCTTGTAGCAGGAGTGTGTGGTTTTTGTTTGCTGCCTTTTACATCCAAAATGGCAGAAGTTAAATCTAAAAATACTCTTTTAGAAAAGCAATTGCTACATGTTTCCCCCCAATTAAAAGGTTCAACAGGAGCAGAAACACTGATTCACAAGGCTGGAAAAACACTTTCATTTCATTTCCAACGCAATTTGATATTTGCTGGTTTGATTATCACTTTGCTGTTATCTCCATGTGAAAACGGTACCGACAATATCTCTCAGCAAAAATAACCAATAAAAAAACTTGTTCTAAATCAAATTCTATTCTGTTCCCAACATTTCATATCTGCTGATGCAATTTTCAGATGACCTGCAGACATCATGCCAACAAACTAAATAACAGGAACAAAAACACAACCAATTGTAACTTCTGGAACACCAACATCCTCATAACTACGTATTTAATATTTTGGAAATGAACTTGTCCTGAATTAATTATCCATGCACGAGCAACAACGGTAATTGATGACAAACTGGGATTCTGGTTCTCTCTTGTACAGGCAATTACCATTAAACTGACAAGAACAACTAATTACTGCAGTTTATGAGGGTATCGCCAGAGTTTTGAGAATAAGTTTAAAGAATAAAAATGAAATCCTTGAACTCTGGCCCTGGTGTTCTGCAGCAGACAGAGCACAGTTTCAGATCTCTGCCTGCAGAAAGTGACAGTAATGAATCACAGCTCAGTGCTCACGGGCAGCCTGGGCCCACCATCCTACCAAAGTCTAGTCAGTGTGACGGTTATTTCCACTGATGGCGGCTGATCACGAGCACACACATGCACACTGCTTCCTTTCACATATTCAGCGTGGCTTCATTATATCGGGATGGCTTTTCTTTTTCATTCTTTTATCTTTCATGAGAAATAACAGACACGTTTTTCATTTTGTCAGTGACAACGATGAGGTGCAGGACAACCACAAAGTGCCAAAAAAAAAGGTTAGAATACAAACCGAGACACGATTTGCTCAAGTTTAAGTTAGTAAATACATGTGTGACCTAACATCTTTTAGTATCGCAAAGCATGCCCGACGAACACAGGGGAAACGTGCACTTCTTTTCTGTGGTACCTCTGGTTTCTTCACACCGAACAGACGAGGCTTTGGTATGAACCCTGCCGGGGGAGCCAAAGGATCCGACTTGGGGGCAGGGATGAACCCCGGAGGTCTTGCCAGGGGATTCTGTTTTGGAGGATCTGGGCTAGATTTTTTGGCTGGGATGAAGCCAGGTGGAGGAGAGAACGCATTTTGTTTGGGTGCAGGGATGAACCCGGCGGGCGGGGCCAAAGGGTTGGGTTTGGATGGAGGGATGAACCCAGCTGGAGGGGACAAAGGGTTGGTCTTGGATGGATGGAGGAACCCAGCGGGTGGAGCCAAAGGGTTGGTCTTGGATGGATGGATGAACCCAGCTGGTGGGATCAAAGGGTTGGGTTTGGATGGAGGGATGAACCCGGCTGGAGGGGTTAGGGGGTTAGACTTTAGCTCAGGGTTTGAGGATGTTGCAGTTGATGCCACAGTGGCCTCCTCTGTTGGTTTATTTTCTTCCTTAGCCTCCACCTTTCCTGGGTCTTCCTTCTGCTTCACCTCCTCTTCCTTCTGCTTCGCCTCCTCTTTCACTTCCTCTTTCACGTCCTCTTTACGGTCCTGGGTGCGAGTGCGAGGCCGGTGCTCCTTGATCCTGCCTCTGCCCATGAGGTTGGTCAGCCCCGTGGATATATCGTCATTATCCTCCCCGGCTGCTTTGGCTTTCGTGGGCGTCGGGTCTGCGGCAGGGCTGGAAACGGTGGGCTGGCTCTGCACTTCTGTCCCAGCAGGAACCACCCGCCTCACCACTCTCCTCACAACCCTCACCACCTTTTTGCCACTCGTGCTCTCCTCCTCCCCTGTAGTGTCGGGGCCTCCCGGGGCAGCGTTACTAGCGGGCTTCTCAGCTGCTGGAGCAGTAGACTGCGGCTCACTTGCTGCATCTTGCCCGGGTTTAGCGACTGCCTGTGGCTGACTATTAACGGGCTGGACAAAAATAAAGAGAGGTTGGGTCGATTATTCCCACGGCTGGCACAGACAACCCGTCTGTCAAAGAAACTAGCAGACGACCTGGCCTCGAACTCTTGGGAAGATAATTCTGAAATAGACTGACATACTGGATATTCATTTCCATTTAAGCTCTGCAACCAGGCGAGAAATTCCATATTTTCTGCAAAATGCAACTGCGAAGCTCAAAAAAAGCATAACCGCACTTTGTTGTCACATTTCAAGCAAATAATAAATGTTAAAAACAGGTGGAGGTGAATGTGGGCCATTCATCATTGAAAGGAGACATATTATGTTGGTTTTTCCTACAAAACAAGATTTCCTGACGTTTTCATGAAATGTCTGTGAGACACTTCGGTAAAAATAAACCGTACAGCTGCTCCTCAGTTTATCCACTGAATTGCAGCTCGATCGAAGCAAGACGTTTTAGGAGCTTGTAGTGACCCGCTCAAATCCACTCTTCTTCAAATTCTGCCTCATCGAGATGTGTAGTGCTTAATAGCCCCTGGCACACGTCGTTATTGTTTGACAGGACCCACGCGGTAAATAGATGGAGAGCTTAGGTCACACACTAAACTGAATCGACGGGTCAGCGAGCCCTCTTTTAGGCACAATCTCATCTTGAGTCATGTGCTCAACTGGCATCAGTTGTTACGTGAATGAAGAATGTAACAGCTGCCGGCCGGTTCACCCCACGGCCGAGAGCTCTAATCGGAATTCCTCAAATCACATTTTAGCTCCAGTAATGATAAACTTCCTTTTCACTCCCTTCCTCTGCATGTTGTTGGCCGCTAACACGATGGTTCAGTGTCACTAATCCAACAACACTGTAATTACGGTACATTCAATGACAGACTGACATCACAGATTTAAAATTCACAATAGTTAAAAACATTATACATTATCCACCAATACGAAGTTTGTTTTCCTTTTTGGGGTGTATATATAACATTAAACAGACTATGGGTTGTGAATTATCAAATCGATTCATTTCCTGTGTTGACAATATAACCGACTATGTGAAAGGAGCAAAATGTGTCGAGGATTTTCAACATTCCATTTCTGAGGAACAGCGAATAGAGCATCATCTTAAGTTAAAATGAGGAGGACATGCAGGAGTAGGAGGCTGGACGACCCTGAGGGGGGTCGCATGTTTCCACTGCAGATCTAAGAGGCTCCTTGAATGTCCAATTTTCAGACAAGGGGCCTAACACAAAATGCCAGAATTCCATTTTTGACTCTGTAGAGACTTAAGACAACACAACATGTGCTCTCAGAAGAGGTCCTTTTTCATAATATGTCCCCTTTAAGTAGTATAAGTGAATGAAGTGTGAGGCTGAGAATAAGTCTTATTCAAAAATCCTAACTGGGCCCATCTGTTCCAGCACACAAAAACAGCTCACATCATGTGAATAAGTCTCCACACACATGCAGCTGAATAAACACTTACATCTGGCTTGCTTTCCACTTTAGCCTACAGAAAGGGAAGCAACACACAGAGAATCAAACCCCACATTCAGACCCGGGCTTTTCCCCATTTGCATAAACAAAGGGTTTAACAAATTTAAAAGAAAACCAATGCAGGTATGATTCACAGGAACGGGACTTCCCTTTTGCTCCCAGAATGAAAAGCGTGATTTGTACGCCATGATGACAAGCCAGAAGTCATGGATTTAAGCTGGACGGCGTGGAGAATAAATGGATGGAATGGTGAGAGGAAAATGAGAGGCAGTCGAAGAGTAGGGGATGTATTGGGCTGAGAGATGAAGAATGGGAATTAAGGGGGAGCCGTGGGAACTTGTTTTCTGCTCGCAACAGGTCACGCACCGACAGGGCAGTGGGGAAATGCAGCACTGAGGACAGAAAACAAGAAGAATATGATGACATGATTGGATAGCTTTCACACAGTAAAACATAAATGAAAAAAGAAAAACAGGAGGGGTAAAGATGTCGCTCGCCTGTAGCCGTTTTTACCACGTGTGGGCCTCGATCCCAATCGGCTGCTGTAGCTGTGTATTCTGAATGACCATTTAGTTCAATCACAATAGCTCATAGAATTCTCATAAGATAAGATATGACCGAATGACTGGACAGCTGCAAAGATATGATTTGCCAGAGAAATAAAAAAACAAAACGTCACAAATTTTTCAAACTTCTTTCACAACTTTCAAACGGCTCAGCTAGAATTTGGTGGCACCGCGGTAAGAATGAGTAACAGAGCAGCGATTTCACCATCTCGGGCCTTGCTTTCCACAGCGTGCACTCCTATAAATAGTTTGAACAGCAAAGGAGGCCATTCTGAGACGCCATCAGAGCCCTAATGGAAGAGCTAAGCAGAGCATGTACACCCCAGGCAGATCTCACCGCTCGCCACACACACAGTTCACCAGAGGCCTGAGCCCATTACCTCCTCTCTGGGCCCGGTTAACCTTCCAATCTTCATTCAGTCACTGAAGCAGTGCAGTCAGAGTTAGGGTAGGGTAAGACCTTAGCCTGCCGGGAGCGCACACACTCATACCCCAGAGAGGGAGGGCAACCCGGAGGGTGGGGTCAGAACCGGAGTTGCACAGTAAAGCTGCGGTCTGCAGACTTGGGGGGGTAATATGAGAGGAACTGGGCCGGGGGATGGAAGAGGGACAGCTGCTGAAATACAGAGGAGCTATTAATAGAATTTGCACCACCACATCCACCCCCCTCAGCCATGTCTGCCTGCCACATTCTTCTCCTGGTGACAGTGTCAAATTTACAGTCCAACTAATCAGGCACTGAACAAACTTTTACATTTTCCCAGAGAAATTCGCAGCAATTAGTCTGACAACAACAAACAGAAAAAAACTGGAAAAAAAATAAAAGTAAAAGGACAGTGACGGATTATTTAAAACTAGAATCGAATAATTGGATTAAACCTTAAGCAACCATTTCAAATTGACAGACTTATTCAAATACAGACCTGTATTCAAATATGAGTCTGTTTATATTCAAATACTCCATCTGATCTATACAAAAAGAGACATAGCTTCAGTTTCCATTTTAAACCACAAGAGGGAGCCATAAACCAATCAAGTGTGCACCAGCTTCTACAGATTCTTCTTCAACACACTGCTAAACTACAATCAATACTTTGTTTTTTTGGTCACAAACCTTGAAAGGAGTAAAACTTCCACTCATTAAAAGTTGATTAGCCGCTAAATGTACAAATAACTTTGAAGGATTTAAAATTTTGGAGCCATTATAAAGTCTCTCGCCATATGCCAATCGGAGCAAAAAAATATTTTTTCTCAGTTGAAAACATCCCTGCTGCAAAACCAGTCGGGTAAATCAGACGAGGGTAGGCGTTGAGCGCTCAGCCACCATGAAAAGCAGTCATTCAAACTCAACACAGAAATGTAGCAACAGGCTTAACTGGGTGGAGGATGAGCTTATTCGATCATGCGCATTGTTTTCCACTTCATAAACAGCAGACTTCAAACGCTGATCAGCTGATGCTGCGTGTGCGCTTTGGGCAGCTTCATCCAGAAGTGGAGGACAGCATCTGTGAGGATTGGGCCGCTTTAAAACTTGAGCCAGATTGGGTTTAAAAAGAGCAAATATACACACCCCTTGCAAAACTTCGAAGATTCTTTCCCATGTTGAAGTCAGAAACCCTCATGTCAACACTCGAGATCAGGTCAAACTCAAAGCCACGCGGGTCTGTGGAGCACAGCTGCTAATCCCCCAGAGTCTGTTACCGGGACATAGTTTTGTGTTGACTGTTTGTCTGCACACGCTCAGCACAGAATAACGATTAAAGCACATGGAAACCAAAGAAAACTGTTGATTCTGGCTGAACATTTCATGCTATGAATTGGGTCTGCCAGCTCGGAGCAAAAGATCAGCGGAAGATTGATGCTAGAGTTTACAAAAGGTGCGGATTTTATTTCAGTAGAAAGAATGTAAGGTTAATCTCTGGGGGATAAAGTCCAAAAGCAGGTGTCAACACGGTCACTTCCCACAGAAAAAGAGTGCTGACCCGATGGCTCAGCATAGCATATCTTATCTGAATCACCTCACGTATGGACAGTAAACCTGAATTTACATTTTCAACACTAATATCAAGTTAAAGTTTAAAAAAACAACACACATGAAAAAAAATAAAAATAAATACAGCATGATGTGTTTATCGTGTTACTTGGGGAAAAAAAAAGTATTCAATGCATTTGAATAGAAGAAGATTATGGGGTGATCTCTCCACAGTGTTTACAGCTAAATAAGAAATAACATGAGGCATCTCACTGGCAGCCATGGCGACACAGGCCCAAAGCACAGGTGACTCATGGGATGTTGAATTGTCCAAACATGAGCGATGCACATTTGAATTAAAGGGCCCTAACGATAGGCCTGAAGATGGTAGCTTCCATCTTTGAAAACAGCCTACACAACCATGCAAAAGGAGAAAAATATTACTCCGACGTGAGCTTTCTAATCATTTAAGAGAAGCAGATCACTCCCAAACTGGACAAATGTTGATTCAAAAGTCTGCACATTGACCGGCACACTGGGTCAGTGGCACAGAACAAATACCTAACGTGCTGCTTTGAAAAAAAAAAAAAAAAACTGTGCTTGGCTCCTGGCCAAGAGGACAAGTTGTGCATGACAAGAGCGTAAATCTCACTGACTGACAGATATGACGCGAGAAACACGCCCAAGAATTTCAGGTATCTGCCTTTTCTTTGTCAAAGTGCATTCGAAAGAAGGCCCTGCTGTCACCGTTGGTGTCAGGGAGAACATCAGATTTCTTTTGGGGGGTTTTAAAGAGATTTTTTAGGATAAATGTGCTTTGCATATCAATACGAGAGAAAGAGAAGGGAAACGGCCACTTATAGGTCCTCCATAATGAATAAACACACACTGTGCATTGAAACTCCCCCCGTTTGTGAATGGTGTTCTGCTCACTACCTGTTGCATCCTCAGTCCCCCGTGGTGAAGGGGGTGATGTCACTGGAACGAGCAGCTTGGAGATGAGATTAAACCATTAGCTAATTTCTGAATTACATAATGATGTCTCAAATGCAGAACGACAGGAAATGTGTGCAGATTAGAGCTACAGCAGAGTCCGCTGAAACAGATGGCTATCCTTTGACATTAGCTCCTCAACACTCTATTTGACAAATTTTCACTCACTTTAAACCAATTTTGGCAACAGTAAGTCAGCTGACCAATGAAAAGCACTTTGGGATGTTTTTGTAAGACTGCTTTGCATCTTTATAGATGTATGGCATGTGCTCTTAATTTAGAACTTTTTTATTTATTTATTTTGTTCCAACACAGGCAGCTTTTGTTCTAAGACAGTTTTTGACCCTCATCTTCACATCTTTCAACTGCAAACCTCAGTAGGGCAGCACCTATGAGCCTAAGTAGAAAAAAACAACTAATTCTGAGGTTAATAAAAGGTAAAATAGCTTATTATTTCAAAGACATTGAAAGCCTTGGGAAGTTAAACAGAGGCAAACCGGAACAGTTGCTCTAATGTTTTCCTAACAGTGGCCGTGACCCAAGGACAAAAGGCATAACCATCCCCGCATGAAATGATTACAGTTGTTCAAAAGTTCTTTCACTCTCCTCAGATAGGATCAAGCACTGACCCCTTCTGAATAGAAAATATGCTAATCTTTTGCAGAATGCAGGATTTGTGTAGGGTTAGTCAGATTTAGATTTGTGAGGAGATTCCTTTTATGACAGGCAGACAGATTTGTGTGAAAAGGTGCGGGACATATTGTGCAGCTGAAAGCTGCTGGGGCTGTAATCAGAAGCAATACAATAATGAACAGAGAAGAAAAAAAAACAACAGACAGCAGACAGCAAAAGAGCAGGTGTTTGGCTGATAGCTATACTGAGCACTTTTTGTTCAGTAACAGGCTTATTATCATTGTACTCTCACGGGTTGCCTGGCAACTTCACACTGATGACAATGTAACTCCACAAAGTCAGCGCTCACCTGCTACCATTAACTGTGTCTAGCTATATATTTAGCAGCACAAATTACAATGATCTGGCATATTTTCAAAAAAAAAAAAAAAAAAAAAAAGGAAAGAAACAATGAGACACTACGTGCTCAGGCATCACCAAATCATGTTGCAGTTCTTGATCTAGAATCCCGATCTTATTATATCCGCCTATAAATAGTCCTGCTGGTTCTGGGTCAGGCTTATGAGCACATTTTCAGCTTTTTCAAATGGCCTGTCACACAATGATGATCAAGAATGTTTGAATATAGAACAAAAGTAGGACAGGAAGTCAAACATTTGCACGAAGATGCAGATAAACTGTGTACGCATTAGTGAAAATTGACGTCCAGCAACTATCCTTTTAGAGTTGTTTTTATTGTCCGATTATGTTTTCTTAATAAGACCAGCGTGGTGTGAAATCTATCCTAGTAGTTAGTGTTCTGATGCAACTTAAATAACATCCCACTCACGCGTAACCTGCTCTTTAGACGTGTCTGCCAAAGAGCCAGGCGACTAAAGGATAGAATTCAGGTGTTTGTTGTGTTGGCTAATAAAGAATTTAACTCGATGGCCCTGTACTTGCTGCCAATGATTATCAGGGAGAAAAGAACTGAATGGGCCGCCAGCCAAGTCTTACAAGACCATATGGCCATGGGCTGTGGTGGCGTTTGGGCCGTTGTTCCTTTCAGCTTCCCATTGTTTGGTCTCAAAGGACTGGGCAGGGGGGGAAGAGGGGGGGATTATATGTACACCAGAATACATTCCCTCTATAAAAACACACACACACACAAACACACACTCAAATAAACACATGCACAGAATCACATAAACAGTGTCATTACAGTTCCACCCATTATCTACACATCTTTCATCCACAAGATATGTGTGCAAAACATCAGACTTAAAGGAGGGGGGGGGCAGGCGATGATAAGTTTTACCCAGACGCAGCAGGAACACAAATCCTGGGGATGCTTCTCCGTGTAATGCCCACACAGAAGATTTGGGTACACAAATTGTCATAAGACCCCCAATAAAATTTGAATAAAAACTTTGAGATGCCGCTATGTTGAGTGATTACAAAATGCAGACTCCATAAGATCGGATCTATTCCGGGCATGATTCAACAGTAGTACTCACGTCAATGAGCTCTTTGTGCAGGCCTTCGGCGCTCCTCAACCAGCTGCGGTTCAGCTCGCTCAGCTCCAGAATCGGCTGAACCTTCAGCCGGACCGACTCTCCGGACTGACGGATCATCTCCACTATTTCATCCCTGCTCTTGCTCTCCACGTTGGTGCCGTTGATTTCCACCAGCCGGTCTCCCGGCACCAGCCCCAAAGACCGGTCCTTGGTCCCGGCGCCCGGCTCGGCGAAGTGCACCACGCGCCGGCACACCCCTCCGTCCGGCTGCCTCTCCAGCATGGTGGTTCTCCTCAGAGAGAAGCCGAAGTCCCCCGTGCTGCGCCGCTGAATCTCCAGCTCTCTCGGGTCTGGAGTCGGTGGAGCCACGAGCAGGGGCAGCTGCAGGTCCGCCCCAGGAAAGGTCTTCTCCACCATCTCGGGGATTTCAACCACGACGGGGCTCGTTGGGTGGGGGCTGGCATTCGAAAAACAAACCGACCCGTTTTGGCCGGAGAGGTCCGAGGCGTCTAAAGCCCTGGACTCTGCACTCATCGGAGGTAACGGTGCCCGCCTTTGGCTCACCATGGAATTTGTTTTAGCCAATTGCCCAAACTTGGCGGCTCTCTCCTTCACAGAGCTGCGATGATGATCAGGTACATTTCCCGCCATCTCATCGTCGGATACGTTTACACTCGTTTGCCCTGAAGCCTGCTCTGGGATGTCGTGAGGCTGCTCAGTCTCCAGGTTTGTCAGGCTTAACTCTGAACTGGTAGCCACCTTAATTGGGATAGGGTTAGAGATCTCCAACTTGCTCCGAGAATCCCTTTTGGAGCTCCCTCGGTTAAGGTTGAAGAGGCCTCTTCGTATACCCATCTCCTCTAGGCTTTTTAACTCGGCTTGAGACATGCGTTCTTTCTTTTCTTTCTTGTCTTTCTTTTCCTTCTTTCCCTGGTCCTTTTCCTTGTCCTTCTCCTTGTCCTTGTCTTTCTTAATTAGGTGGAACATGCTTGAACTTCCGGGCAGTTATTCACTAGTGGGACTTGTTTACAATGGAGAACTGTCAGCTTTAGGTTCTCATGTAATCTGGAAGCATCTACGGTGGTTATGAAGTCATCTGAGGGGATGAGACAAAACAGGAATATCATTTTAAAAAGCTTTAAAGAAAGCCCTGTTACAATAAAAGCTCTGGAACAAATCAGCCATGGGGAAAATGTCTTGCTTTTGGTGGATACATATAAAGTTTTTTCATGCTCTTTTCACCCTTATTTTGCTTAGTGTAGGACTATACACTATTTGTACATTTGTACACAGTAAAATGTATTGGCCTTCAGTTTATAACACATTTTCTTCTACACTTCAAGGCTGACAAACATGAATCAATCGGTCTTATCAATATGTACTTTAAGCATTGATTACCTGCTTTCACCCTAGATGTCAACATACAAAGCTAATTTATAATTCATCCAAAGCTAAGTGTATCCAGTATCGTATCACCAGGGTTCAACTAGAAAACAGGAACTGGAATTACTTACCAACTCGTCAGAGTCTCAACAAACTGGCTTGTTCGTGTTTAAACGAGGGTTTGGAGTTTAGTCTCAGTTCTATATACACTTACACATCTGGGGCTCAATTGATCTAATGTTGCCCTACATACGTAGGCTGCTTTGTGAAGCTTTGACCCTATTTTTGTCGCTCCCAAACAGTCAGCGTTGCCACAAAGTGATCCAGAACATCTGAACATTTCTACGTGATGTTATCTGCACGAGCGCGAATAGCTAGCAAAACTGCTGTTTTTTTTATCAAACCATAAGCACCCAATTCGCATCTAGTCCACGTTTATTGGCGTCTTTTGAGGCCAAAGCTGACAGAAAAGAACCAAAGGAACAATTATAGTTACTTTAAAGCAGTCAACAAAGACGACAAGTCATCTTCCTCAAGCCAGCTTTCCCAGGAAATGAGAGTTTCCCCTCTGGCTTCCCTTAGGTCTCTGTACACCATGTATAGCTTGGCTGTCGCTATGACAGGTCCTAGCTTGGCCATAATGCTCTAGCTTTAAGCTGCTTTGCCCTCATTCCTCTTTAGCATTCCGGGATACTTTCGGCCGAGAGCAAAATGTGTTATTCGTCCAAAACAACGAGTGTGGATGTTGTTAAAGGGTACGACAGTTACCTACCTGAAACAGAACAAAACTGACAGCGTTGTCCTCTTACTAGAACTTTTCGGCATTTTCTTCCTTGTAATTGTCAGTAGGTGCGAGCAATGTACTCGTGATACCTTCAAAGGCTTGTTGTAAACTCCGGTCTCAGTGAGCAGTAGTGAAGCCTAAACAACCCCTTGGATTGTTTAATGTGTAGGTGCTTTTTTTACAGAAATGTTAAGATAAAAAAATGACATATGATGCAGCAACAGAATGAATCGCCTTTAAATCTATAACTGCGAAAACAAATTGTAGTTTTCAACTGCCAGAACAGTTGCTTCTCGCTAATAGAAGCAACCATAAAAATATAAAGACATGAAACACAATCCATATCAACCTTTTTTTCGTTTATGTATGTTAGATTAGACTCAGAATGATGTATATGGGTCGTCTGTGTTTAAAATAAAGTAATACCACCAAGTCCAACAGCACTTGAAAGCAACGCAAGTCCACACTGGACAGCAGTGACCCCTCCTGGTCTTTTTAATGTGCAAGACCCACACAAAGAGGGCGTGAACATGGACGTTAGTCACATGCTGTCCAACTCTGCCTGCCAAAACACAAACATCTCTTCATTTAGAAATCGCTTTGGTTTATTGGTTTGATTTGTATAACTATATTAGCTTAGGCTCTCTGAATCTTGGTCATTCATAAAAACACAATATGTTAGTTTCAATAATTACTGTTAATATTTTTTTCAGATATTTCAAAATTAAATTGTTCCTCTTCAACACATGTGCTCTACAGTTCACTCCTCTGTTAAACTAAGTTTCTTGGTTACATTCTAGGAAAGCAAAAATAAATAATTTAAGCAGCATTCTGACTTTTAAAACTTATTTGAAGACATGTACATTTCTGTTTAACAAGTCGGCTAAGTATGCACTTCATGTCTGACAAATGATCAGATCTTTAAGATACAGTAGACTCTTAATGGGTCCTTTTTTACTGGTATAGTTGTATGAATGTGAGAGAAGAAAATACATGAATACATTATAGCAAACAATGAATCAGCAAATATCAACTTCACCAAATATGCAGACTTTATATCATTTTTTCCCACTGCAATTATGATCAAGTTTATGAACCCAAAGCTTCTCCAAGTGGCTCCTCGTGATGAAAAATAATTAAATGTCTTGATTTTTTATGCAACTGCACCCAAAAGCTTTCATTAAATGATATTAACTATTTCTTTTTTAGTACCAGTTTTACATTTCGAGCAGAATATTTTGAGATTCACAAATACAATCAAAGATTAGAAAAAAAATTCTAAAAAATGTCAGATGATTTGAAGTCATTTACAGCCAAGATTTTTTACCTCTTCCCATTTTGGCAAAAGGATGATGTTTACCCTTAGCGCGTTCTTTTTCATCTGAGTGGCTCTTCGAAGTGCACTCCAAAGTAGAGTCTGTCTCAAAGGAAATGGCTGGAGCCTGGTTTGGGACGCTGCCACTCCTCTCTCGGGACATGGCCGCTGTGGTCTGTAGAAGAACTCTTCCGCGTAAAGTGTGTTTGAGCTCAAGCAGCAGAGGGTTGCTGTAGGAGTATAACTCCACCTGCTGCACCACTTCCCTGTTTGACTCACAGCCCGTGCAACACGCCGAGAACAGCACTCTGAAGATATAAATCCAGCCCAAATAATGCAGTTCCACAATGTTCAAGATGAAGCAACCCAGACTGACACTAAACATGAAGTTCAGGAAGATGGTCTTCTCAGTTGCGCGAGACACGAAGCAGTCGGTTCTGTTGGGACATGGGTAGGTCTCACAGCGAAACAGGTGTGGGACTTCAAATCCAAAAAGGTAACACTGCCCAATAAGGAAGATTATCTCCATGATAGAGCGCAACAGAACATGTATGATGTATATAAACAGCATTTTACTTGAGAGTTTGGTCGGATCCTCTCCTAACTCCCGCGTCTCCCCCTCCTGTTGACTCCTCTCCTCGTGCTCAACTTCCTGTGAGTTCGAATCCTCATTAGCGAAAGTGGCATTGTAAGGATTTCCAGCTTCCAGGGCTGTTTCTTTATCTATTCCTAAATGTCTCTGTCTCTGAAGTGAAGGCGATGCCCTGGGTACCACATCCTTTCTAACATCTAACCTTTCATTCTTGGTAATTTTCTGCAAAACATATATGATGTAAAAAATAGAAGGAGTGGAAACAAGAACAATCTGGAAGACCCAGAAACGCAAATGAGAGACCGGAGCAAAGGTGTCATAGCAGACGTTGTTGCATCCAGGCTGCAGGGTGTTGCAGGTGAACTTGGACTGTTCGTCGCTGTAGACCGCATCTCCCACGAGAGCCACGAGCATGATTCGGAAAATGAGCAGCATTGTGAGCCAAATCTTGCCAATAACTGTAGAATGGTTCTGAACTTCTGTAAGGAAACGACCAAGAATGGACCAGTCCCCCATTACTGTGGACACACAGGACGTAACAACAACTGAATCTGAAAATGGTCATCATAAGCATAACAACTCAACAGATTTGAAAAGAAACTAACATTTCAAAACAGCACGTACTGGCACATTACAACATTATCATAGTAATGATATAGAAAGCATCAGCAATTATATGCTAAAAACAAAACATCAGCTTTCTCAGAGTCAGTTCTATTGATATTTTACAACCTGACAGAAATACATATAAAAATACATATATATGTTTTTATATTTCATTTATATATCACAATATCCTATCAATATATGAAACCATTTCATTTATCATTTACTCAAAGAATTACTCGAGTTATAATCAATACAATTTTGATTATTTTAGCTATACTATAACTTAGGAGCAGCAACTTCCACCATTTTTTACCATTCAAAAGTCGTCTAATTTTAAAAAAAGTATAGAAAAATCATTTCTGACTAATTCAAACTTCACAAATTCACTGTCAGATTCAAAAAGTCCTCAAAGCGCTTGAAAGTACAAATGACCAATTTTGGTCATGATTATTATGATCTACTCCCCTGAAGGAGCTTACCTTTGGAGTAATCGTGTCCGGTTTCGTAAAAAAATAGATGTAATCAATCTGCATAGCTTTATTTCTAAGTGAAGCCCACTGCTAGATGTTATCGTGTCTTTTGAGCTGGATAAGAGGAGAATGGGCTGACCACACATATTCTCTAACTCTGACCGAAACGGTCATTGCACTGTATGTGAATAAAGGCTTTCAATGTACAGTGGGACAAAGATTGAAATGTACAATGGGGGCACCTTCGCTGAAGAGCCATTCACTGACGAGCAGAGAGTTCAAAGAATCAACTGGAAAGCATGGGCAAAACACTAATTCATGGACATATTTCTATCCCCTTTAATTGTAGGGTTTCAACACAAGTATCGATTCCCACAGGATTTGAATATTCTGATGTTTGTGAGAGCACTTTGCTCATCTTTTTAATGTAATGTGAAAAATAAACCAAACGCCCAATACCCAGAGTTAGTCACATCTTTTTTTTTGGCATCACGTGCCGTAAAGTACTTTTTCTGCTGTCTGTGGTGTACAGCAGGAGGCATCGTCTAACCACAGAGAGGCATCAGCTATTTGTCTGACCGTATTTACTAAGGCTCAGTCCCATGTCCTTTCCTCGGCCCTTCGTCTGTTCTTTATTCTAGCAGATGTACTAGGTTCACATGTTTATTCCAAGTCAAGGACTGATGGTCATTCCACTGTCACCAGGACCCTCACCACCAGTGCTGAAGGGCAAGAACTGTCTTTTCAAGAGCTGGTTATACTTCGATTCCTTAAAGAAAAGAGGCACTTAAGCTCCACAAAAAGGAAGATTGCAGCCAAAAGTATGCAGTAGGATTGGGTCATAGAATAAATGTAAGATTCTATAAAGTGTTTTTTTTCTAAAGTTATCATGTATAACAAATATACTTTTTCAGGGGTCTCAATAAAGTATAGGGAAAAACTTCATTCTTATACCAGACACAAAAATAGTTGTGATATTGCTTAGTGATACACACTGTAAAAAAAGAACAAAAAGAAAGAAAAAATTTGTAACACCATATTTATCCTTTATTACATGCACATAAAAAATGGTAACAGTAATGTTAATCAGTCATTACCGGGACTGGTTGTAACTTATCACTTGTATTGGTCATTCATACCTGATAAGGAGAAGAAAATAACAATAAAAGAATGCATGAAAAAGGTTCCATGATATGACATGAAAAATGACCAATTCTCCATCCATCCATCCATTCCATCCATGCTTTTAAGCAAGAGGATTGTGGTTGAATAGAAAATAACATGCATCCTGTTTTTGGTAAATGGCAACCTCAAAGTAATTTTATGTGAATCTTTTAAAATATCATATTCCATTATGTCTAGACAAGTAAGAGACTAATTACCTCGAGAAGTTTTATGTTCCACAAAACATGTTTAATCTGAATTTAAGTGATTTTAAATAACTGTAGGCTTCCTGTTAGTGTGTATAATGCAGGACATTTGCAGCCTTGACTTTGTGGCTTCTGTCGTTTTTGTTTATCCATATTTTATTAATTAAAATGAACTGCAACACCTGTTTTTTTTCGATCCGTTGAAACTGAAACATTCGTGCCTGAAGAAAAGACTGCATATAATTTCTTTATTCTTTCTGTATGTATTTTGAGAAAGCAAAGAGGAATTGGATTTTCATCATAAAAACGAGCAGTATGAGACCGACTCATTTTCAAGCCACATGCGGGAATCTAATATAACAAATGTCCCTCAAAGCATCAGTGAAAAACCATCCAGAGGGGTGTTCCAAAATCCAACAACACTGGATTACTGATCGAAAGGGAATGAACGATTCGCTAAATATATCCGAACTGTTTTTCTCGGAAAATTATTTGTTGCTATTAGTTATTTATTCGTCAATGTACAGTAAATCGTGTATATGTTTACACAGATTACCATCGAAACGCGTAAATTCCACACGCCCCGCCAAATTGTATGAAAAGTGGTTCAGCCCTGGAGGTTACCGGAAGTTGTTTCAGCTGCCATGTTTGGTTGCTTTGTTGTAGGCTTCTACTAGGTTTCCTACAGAATCAGTAAGTGTGGAAATGGAGCCGAGCTGGAGTACGTTTCTCTTCCAAGTAAGTTGTCTCTTTGGGAGGGAATCCGGGATACTTCGTCAAACAACCTTAATTTCTTTTCGCATAGACTATACCAGCTTTAAATTCGGTTTTCAAACGAGTAATAGCAAGAACAAGTAACGAAGCAAAACAATGGTTTATGAATCCGGGCTTCCAGCTGTGAGGCTTGGGAATGACGCTAGAACAAAAAATCAAATCTCTTCAGTCCCAATTTGATAAACGACTTGTTTTTTTTCCTATATGCACATTTGGTTAGTCAACGTTTATTACTTCGACAGCGTTTGTGATTTTACTAAGTTTGTTTGCTTGGTCGAAGCCAGCAAAACATGCGGTACCACTTGAAGTAAAGCTGGAGACGCCACTGCACCGTTACAATCGAGACAGACCTGTTTTTTTCCCCCCTTTGACTGAAGGCTTTGATCGGACGATGGAGGATAACGAGATGTTACCCTAGCGACATTTTTTCAACGTAGTGAGGATAACGCAACGTACATTTTAGACTGGGAATAGCATTGTCATACAAACGTCGGATAAGTGTGTGCTGTGGTTAGCAGCCGCTGAGATTTACCAACGGCGATTCCCAAGTCCGCGGTCAACTTTCCGCTTGCCTGTTCGGCAGTAACTAGCCAAGTGGCTAACGATGTTGATTACACTCGCTGGCTAATTTAGCTTTAATCTGGGCGAGGCTGGCCGTAATGAGCTTGAAAAACTGACGTTACATGACTCGATAACCGGCGCTTCGCCGCTTTCCGTTCATTAACAAGCTATTTATTCCGGTGAGCGTTGTGGAAAGGAATTCAAACTATGCACACGACACCAGCTAACACTAGCAACGAAGGAGCAGGTTTCAAATTAGCAACGACACAAGGCAATCGAAAGATTTGATTTCGGCGAGAAAGTTGGCTGCTGCCGCTGGCAAATGGCATTCGTTACGGTCTTGTTTATTGAGCTGTGTTTTAAAGTGGAAGGCTAGTGTTTGTGGAAAGTGTTATTTATTACTGTGGCCTTACTTGGATTTGAAGATGAGCTTGGTGTGAACACGAGAAATGTGGGATTCAGTGGATTTTGTTAGGCTAGTCGAGTTCAATGGAATACGTTCTCTGCCATGTAACTCATTTACATTTAGTTTTATTTCTATTCATTTTCGTTTCCACTATGTTTTATTCAAGTTATTATTGTGTTTATTTGATAAAAACGTGTTTAACTAAATATTAACTCACTAATTATGTAGAATATGTTCTCGTGGGCTGGTGTCATTAGTCACCAGCTAAAAAAAAATGTTTTCAGCATTAATAAGCTGTGTTGTAAACTAATTATTCATATTTGGTTGGTCATGCTTCAGTGGTTACATGTAAGGCAAGTAGGGGCTAGAGAGAAACTTGGACATTGTGTTTCTAGTTGTTTCAAGACAACTATGCTTTACAGATCCTTGTTATAGGCCATGTTTTTGTTTTTGTTTTGTTTTTACAATTCATCATGTAATTAAATCTTTTTATTGGGAAGAAAGGTCAACTGTTGTTTTTGCTGCAGTAGCCTGCTCCTAGTGATAATGTTTGTATACGTTTCTCTGTCTTAACCCCTAATTGCACAGTTTTTAAAGAATTCTCATGTCAATTTGTTGTTCTTTCAAAAGGTTAAAACATTATTTTATGACTAATACTGCACTAAGGGGTGGATGATCAAAGTGCAGCCAATGAAATGCCACTTCTAAGCATTAGGTCCCTCCCACATTATTCTAATTTGTTTTGTTTTTTTAAAAAGACTCAGAAGAGCTGAGCAATCTTGGCAAACCTGGTTTGAGAAGGTCTCTTTGCTTTCATTTTAAAAGAAAAGGAATAAAAACGCTTTCCATGCTGATTTGTGAAACAGCAATCATCTGACTAAAGCACAGCTTTTTTGTCCCCCCCTAAGTGTATAAAACATTTTGTCACACAAGTGCACTTAGGATATGTGTTTGAATCCATTTAGCTTGTTCAGTAACATACCAATGATAGAAGGAAGTTGCAGGAAACACTGTCTGTCCCACTCAGTAAGCCTAAATATATGCACAAGTTCAGAACTATGGGCACAGTGCTGAACCACAGAGAAAACTCACAGCAGATGTTTTTAATCTTTTATAAAGATGGAAATGGATAAAGGTTTTCTCTGTTTATAACTGGGAAAAATCTAATAAATAGCAACAACAAAATGTTCAAAGAAATAGTTGCATTTTGACTTTAATTATTTTCACATTGCTTCAAAAACTGTCCCAGTGAACCATAACGTGCCAAAAAAAAATCTGCTGTGAAAAGAATTCAAACAGATAACTTTCTCAGGCCAGCAACATCTCATCACAATCGAATGTTGGTGGATTTTCCTCAGTGTTGCACACATTAAAATTTCAGAGTCTTGTTTCCAAACAGTGGTTGACCCCATTGTTAGGTCTACATACCAGGTGTTCCCATCATTAAAATTTCTGCTAAACTGACTCTACTGAATATAGAATGATGTATGATCACTTAATGGAGGATTTCAAGTAATTTGGGTTGGGGTTTGTCACAGCGTGCCATATGCAACGGTAACTATTAATCAATAAATATCACTCCTGTTTATATTGCATTGGAATTGTTTCAAACACAATGTGCTGGATATTCACACTTTTCAAAATGACTGGTATCCTCCTTATACACAGTCCAGATCCACATGTACTGACTGAATATATCAAACATTCCTCTTAAACATTTTCAAAGAGATGCAGATAGGATGTTTTTTTAGGAACTTGCGTCCACCTAATATAATAAGTTATGTACAGAGATGTCAGACCTTTTTTAACGGTCAAAAATGGCCCGGACAAAACTCAACACGTGGGCAGAATATGTTTGGAAAAACGGGTGTTAATTTAATTCATTTTTTTCTACATTTCTGTTTTTGTATCGCTTATAATTTTTGTTTGTTTTTTTCCACAATTGGGCAAGCAGCTGTAGAGAGGGGCACAAAAGACAGAAGAAAGGCGGTGCATAATCAGACCATGAGCTCAATTCAAGTCTACAGTGGCCCACGAAGCCATCAGGACACTCCCTCCATTTTGATGTTATTTATGAGGGAGCAGCCCCAGTTGTCAGAGCGCATTTGTGTCAAAATGGTCAGAGCTGCATGAAGGCACAGCAGCTTACAGGCCCCGCACCTCTGCATAGAGGCCAGGCCGTCTGCAGCGGCCACGTCTGCTGTTCACAGGCTTCACAAAGAGGGTTTCCCGGCTGGTATCCCCCCCCCCGGTGTGCCAGCGGACTGGGTTGCATTGGCATGATGATGACTAATCCTGGAAGGTGGCAAGTGTGAGCAGGTGCTCAGACAAATGCATGGTGGTATTCTCTTATGGTTCCCAGGTCCCACCGCATACACAGGGATGACGGCTAGTTTAGCCGAGCAGTGTGTGGATAAACAATGTCTCCGTCTCATGAATAGATGAGCCAAATCAATGAAGATGAGCATACAAAGATCCCCTGCTGAGGCCCGAGTGCATCACCGCTCAGATTTGTGTCTTTCACAATAGGCTAGATGACATAAGGAGGACATTGTGTGGTTCATTTTTCTTTTCTGTCCCGTCTCCTCTTATACTGCTCCTGTCTTGGCTAGCCCTTTTTGGATGGATGATTGAACCTCAAAGGAAAGGTCAAGTATTTCACCTTGCCCTTTCTTGCTAGTGGTTGGCAACATGGTTGTCTGGACTGTGTCCGGTTGCTGCAAAAAAGTTGGCTGTTTAGGTGTGATGTTTTAAAAAATCTGGGTGCAGATGAAGGCGGTGGAAAAGTTCTGTATATGAAATCTGAAATAATAAAGCAACAACACAAAGCCAACAGACTCACATTAGCAGCTGTATGTTTAGTTCCCTCCTAATTACCTTAAATATGGTCAAAGTTATCTCAAGATTTAGTGCTTTGCAGCAATATGATTTTTTTATATAACTGACCTAAGTTCAGAACCTTCTTTATTATTGATTCCTTCATGTGCCAACTTTGAATTTATCCACCATTTGTTTTAAATGATGCCCAAACAAAATGCCACTCATTTGTTGTAGTCTGCAGGCTAATATTTTGGGTTGCATGCTTGAGTTTCCTCCATCAGAAAATCTAATGACTTAAATGTGTAGCAACTGGTTGCTGTTACTTTAAATTCTCAACTTTTTAAAAATACATTTATCTTAAATGTTTCTCATTCATATCAGTGTGCACATGAAAACCCCAGAAAATGATAATCTAGTAGGCCACACACAAAGAAACCCGTTGGTGCCACTCCATGTGTTTTATCCAGTCTGGTGACCTATGTTTTTCTGCTTTGAATTGTTTACCCCTTCACTAGTAAACATTTCGGCTACTCTTTACTGAGCTCTGTAGTTGGGCGTAATGGTCTGCACTTCAATCCGCCCTGGCAGTTAAACCGGACTCTGCTATGCCTCTAATTTGGTATGCTTGCTTTGCAGTCACATGATGAATCAGCACCATCGTGATGGGATCATTTTTCATCCAGTATATTTGGATTGTTCTGCGTTAGTGGCATGCTGCATCGGCCTCATTAATTACAGAGCTGGTCACCATTTTAGTTTCTGTACGGTCTTTCTCGCCCCTGTTGTCATAAGATTGTTCAAGTTGTTTCTCTGCTTCTGACAGCTACCAGGGGTGGAACAGCTGTCAGCACCATCGTGTATTTTTAACTGCCGTGCCAGTTGCTCTGTAATTGCAAGTCCCCAAACTGGTGTGACCAGCAACCGTTTAGCACCACAACAGAACATTTAATGACCAAACCTCCCAAATTCGCCTCGACCGTAACCAAACATACGTGTGCTTGTCTCTTTAGCAGGCCAACGAAGCCCTCCACCACCAGCACCAGGTGGCCCAGAATAGTCTGCTGCCTCTTCTCAATGCTGGAGCCGAGCAGGTCGACCAGAAGCCTGTCCTCCCCATCCAGTTAGACCAGAAGCCCCCCGTCAGCGCCGCTGACCTCCTGAAAGACAATGTGGCCAGCGGAGGAGGCCAGCGGACCCCGGTGCAAGTGATAAAGAAGGAGCACAAAGGCAAGACGCCGTTCGTCTGCGGTTACTGTAACAAGGCTTTCCGTGACAGCTACCACCTGAGGCGCCATGAGTCCAGCCACACCGGCATCAAGATGGTGTCGCGTCCGAAGAAGACGGCCCAAACCGCCCCCACCATGGTACCCATGATCGCTTCCATGCCCCGCGAGAACAACGGCAACTCCTACATCTCCACGGTAGCGGGCATCCTCTCCACGGCGACCACCTCCGTGTCCTCGGGCGCCAGCATCATGACGTCGGCGGCGATGGGCAACGTGCCGCAGCAGAACGTCCCCAAGAAGCCGGCCAAGCCCGTGAAGAAGAACCACGGCTGCGAGATGTGCGGCAAGGCCTTCCGCGACGTCTACCACCTCAACCGCCACAAGCTGTCCCACTCGGACGAGAAGCCTTTCGAGTGCCCCATCTGCCAGCAGCGCTTTAAGAGGAAGGACCGGATGACCTACCACGTTCGCTCCCATGACGGGGGCGTGCACAAGCCTTATGTATGTTCTGTGTGCGGTAAAGGCTTTTCAAGGTGAGAGTGCTGTTGTTTGCTTTCAACGATCCCTTTATTTGTGCAGATAGTGGCTCAGTGAAAATTGAATGTTCTTGTAATTATCCTCTTAAGATGAACATTAAGAGCTCCTAAACGTCCGTTATTATTCTTAATAGACGACAGTACATATTTAAGAATTAGTTACTAGCTGTGTACCCTGGTGTACACGGGGAAATGATGGTTACATCAAAAAGGGAGAATCGTTTTTTCTCTTTTATTTTCCCCCTTTTCTTCCCCCTCTCTAGATGTTATTTTAAAGTGAAGTTTTGTGTATTTACATAGTTATTTATCTCGGTGAAAAGCTGTTTGTAGAAAAAGTTCCTGTTCAGCCTGCCAACATGACTGCAAGCCTGTTCTGGTTATCCAACTCTTATCACTGCCTCAGCTTCTGGTCTGTTGTGGTCCTGTCGGGGCATGCAGCCAGGACACCAGTAGATTCAGAATTATTCTCTCATTAAGCACATTTATGACACAGGAATCTAGTCAAAAATAGACTTTTCAAATGCCTGATAAATGTGATCATCTGACCAAAAGGTCGATGGCTCTATACGACTCAATTAGCCAAACTTTCATCACACAGTATTTTTTTTTCTTTATAAAAAGAATTTTCTGACCGCTGCTTTACATCGTGCATTTAAGTTGTTTAAGGAATGGTCATCATCTTAAATGGCCCTGCTGAGCAGTGACTGTAGCTCCAGTCAGCTGCGCATGTATCACACTGGCTGTTTAAATGTTAGAAATGTTTTTCTTTTCCTTTTTTTTTGAAGTCTGAACCCGCGCTCCCTATGTTTAACTTTCACTGTAGAAAGTAGTTTGCTTCCTCTGTTTTTACTGTGGCCGTTAGCATGAGGGTACAAACATTTGATATAATTATTTTTTCTGTTTTCTAAGAAATTTCTCTAACACGACATTCTTTGTCATTTTCTAATAAATCTCAGCTTTTGTACTCTGCATTTGGTTGCTGTGAGGCCATCTGCAACAGAGACAATAGGAAATCCTTAAATGGTGAGAAAATGCGGACAAGGGTGAAACAAGATTGTTTTTACTACTGTTACAGTTCATTGTCGGGCTTTTAATCAACAAGTAACAACAAACAACGAGGGTACGATAAACAGGAAGTTTGAGTCTGAGATCTAATTTATTCTTGTGGGAGGAGGGACCAAAGTCATTTCAGCCTCTGGTGGTTGCATTCCACGGTCAGAGGAACGTCTTGACTTGTCTAAAGTGAATTGGAATTAATGTAATAAGTAAAATACCTGAAATAAACATGCTCTTCAGAGAAGTATTTCTCTTCTCTGTAACCGTTTAATCTTGCATGCAACAGTAAGAGCACGCTCACAAGACTGACGCAGTTTGAAATACTCTCAGTTCAATTTTCCACGGATGCTTTTGTGGAGTTTTTTTGGCAGAAAGTGACACAAATGTATCTGCAAAACTTTTTTATGAACCCAAATGTTTACAAGAATACAACCCTGTTGAGGGTTGTTGTCATGGCTGTCTGGGTACCTCATCGGCAGCTGAACTTTCATTTATGTAACGAGCACCTCAGGTTTTTATTCTTGGGACGGCGGCGCCATCTCCACACGTTGAAACAGTCGCACATGGGAGAGCACCAGTAGCCCGTCGAGAGGGGGAAGCGTCTCTTGTCACTTCGCAGTTCCCGCCAGCATGTCACAGACCCCTTTCCCCTGGGAATGCGCTGAACCGCGCGTAATGTTAAGGTCAACACGTTTCACAAGTAGGATGCAGTCATAAAACATTAAGACCGGCTGAGATTTAGGGCCCGTTCGATTTGCCGAGTATTTATTTCAGCATTGATTAATCGGCCAGCGGCCGGTAACAGCAGTAAGTCGTGTACCGCAACAGCACTTGAACACAAACATCAGCAGTGGACCCGGTCAAGCTGTTAACATTAGCTCTGTGCTGCGTACAGCAGTTTTAGGCTGGCCTCCAACTCGGTGACGTGGGCTCGGGATTCATCAGCATACTGGAAAGTGAGAATGGGGACTGAATAACAGGGCACTGAGTCACTGCCACTCAGCCAGAGCTGTAGGCAGCCACTGTCTGGAGTCTGCTCCTCAATGGGGAGGGAGGGGAGAAAAAAAAAAAGAAGTTTGAATCCGGTTCGTGGCACCACTGAGAAGATTCTACTTGACTCCTCTCATTTGTATTTAAAAAAAATTCCAGCAGCATGAAACTTTCCGGTGTGGGAGCAGCTGCCAAGCCGGAGCCCTCACACACTCCATTCTAACACTTCTGACATGATTCAGCTCACAGCTTCACCAACGAGCAGGCTGACGGGGGCCCACCAGAGCCAAGGCAGATTTGTGAATGCTGGAGTTTGGCCGCAAAGGTCAAATGGCAAAATAAGAATTCCAGCGAGTTTACAGTTTGCTTTATTTAGCATTTTGGTAGAAATCTACTTCTGGAATACAGAAACATGCATATTAAGTGATCAGTGAGTATCAGTGAAAAGCCACTCTATAATTTACAGTCTTACTGTATTTCATATCGGTGCAGAGTGGTAGGATATGTCAACAAGTTTGATACTGTTGCACTTGGAAGCAGTGAAACTGTCTCCATAAAACGATATGGAAATATGGAGGCCGTTTTAGTCTCAGATAGATTTATTAAAGCAGAAATGTTGGCCATACTTACTTATTGTCCTACACTGTTTCAAGAAATACAATATATCATTGTGTGTGTTTAAAACCTCTTCTCATCTCCAGAGAGGGTTCTGTGCATTAAGATCTGGGTTTTAGTCAGAGGGGGACAAAAACATCTCGCCTTAATTATCATTAACGTTCTCACTATCCTTGAGGCAGTGACAAGGATTTGGGCGAATAATTGCTGCTATAACAAGCAAACTGTCAGCTTCCAAGAGTCTCAAATGGAAAATGGGTGGAAAAAGAGGGGAAAAAACCCTTCCATTTCATTGTTGTGCGTGTTTGAAACTAGGTCAAACTAATTCACGCTCCATCGATCAGGAAGAATTAACTGCCATCGACTGAGATTTTTAGGGATTTTTTTTCCTTCTTTTTTTCCCCTTCTTTTTTTGACCATCCCCTCATTATCAAAGCAAACAGAGCACATCCGTCCTCTTCTACACTTAAATGCAAGCTAAGTTTTGGCTTTAGGCTTTTTGTGTTCTGTTCTTGCACAGATCTAATTTAAACACACTTTGGAATAAGTTTTTGAATCATCTTTACCATCACGTCTATGAGGACTTCATAAGTGTGATATAAGAAGATAAGCATGTGTCAAATGTACATGTATGTACAACTTATGTACAACTTATGTACATACACTCTTTCTTTCTTTTTTTTTCATGGTTTCTATTCGTACACCATCTTCACATTAAATAAAATCCTGAGTTTAAAAATAAAAATAAAAGTCCAATTTTATTCAATAGATAATTTTTTTTAAGCAGTTTTAGTGAAATGTCTGAAATACTGAAGCAAAACTGAATGCTGGCTCACCTTTCTCCAGCTTACTGAGTTCGCAGTTCAAAGACTAAATATGTTTTTCCTTCTCATCTCTAGACCAGACCACTTGAGCTGCCATGTGAAGCATGTGCATTCCTCAGAAAGACCGTTCAAATGCCAAGTAACGGTAGGAGTCCCGGCCACTGTTTTGATACCCATTGATATAGCTGCCCGCCTCTCACTGACCTTTGACCCCCCCCCCCCCTGCCCCCGCAGGCCTGTACCTCTGCTTTCGCCACCAAAGACAGACTGCGCTCCCACATGATCCGACACGAAGGCAAGGTCACCTGCAGCATCTGTGGGAAGATGCTGAGTGCGGCCTACATCACCAGTCACCTGAAGACTCACGGGCAGAGCAACTTTAACTCCTGCAACAAAGGTTTGTGAGGCATCGGCTCGGATCACATTCTGTAGCTCTTTAAACGCCCCGTCATGTCTCCAGAAACTGTTCTTTTGAGTTTCTCAGCTGTGATCGATAACGACAATCACATTGTGTCAACTGGCCATCTTCTTTTCCTTTTTTTTTTTTGCTACATCAAGCTAACTTGGTGGGATTCTTACTGCACTCAATTAGACCGGTCTTAGACATCGGATATCTATTTTTCAATGGGTCATATCATCTTCTTTTTTCTTTCTTTTTTGTTACCATCTGCTAATCATTGATTTCAGTTTTAGCGCCTTTTACTCTTAATTTCCAGTACAAAACGATGAAAGACTTTTGCTCCTTACTCCTTAATTTCAACCAGATTTCCTGCAGAATGAAAGATCAAAAGCTGTGTGGTGTGTCTTCCCAGAGGGCAACGAGGTCTGCAACTCCGCCTCATCCACTCCGTCGACCGTCTCCGCCCCCATCACCTCGGCGATGAACCGGGGCAACAGCAACAACCCCGTCACCATCGCCGCACAAATGAACATTAGCACCAACACGGTCAACATCACCTCTCCGGTCAGCCTCCAGCACCCGGTCACCATCACTGGTCCCGTCAATATTGCCTCCGTGAACATCCCCGCCTCGGCGTCCATGAATATCGCTCACCCCGTCGCAATAACCACCCCCATGCCCATGAATATAGCCGGCCCTCTTAACATCGCCATGAGGCCAGTGGACAGCATGCCCTTTCTGTCCCAAGTCCTGCCTTCCTCCCCACCTTGGTAATAGAAAAGCGTCAGCACCCACATTTCCAGAAAGAAAGGGAAAATGAAGTGAAACAAGAGACTTCTGTCCTCATATTTGCACCTCGCACACAGCTCCAAACCCCCCCCCCACCCCCACCCCCCCATAGACGTGCTCACGTCGTCATCCCGCCCTGGAGTGAGCATTTCGTGAGCTGTGAGGTCAGTAGGAGCTCCCCAAGTCCCAACTGTGTCCACTCTGAGGTCCAGCGAGTGGCTCGTTGATGCCGGACACCCGAGTTAGAGTTTGAGTAGGAATTATCTTGGAATCAGGACAGCCGTGAGACTTAGCGTTAGTCAGTTAGAGTGATGAAACTGTGATTTGTATCATGACAAACGAAAAGGAGAGGATTTCTCGAGCGCGCTTGAGGAGCCTACGCGAAATCCACACCTGTGCTTTTGAGCGGGAGACGTGAAATGGACTGAAGCAATAACTGCATTGCTGTTTCTGATGTTTTACAAGTTCTCCCCGGAGCATCCAGGTGTCGCATTGTATGTAGTTTTTTTTGTTTTTGTTTTTTTGTTTTTTTTTTTACTATAGCCTGCTAATCACTATTTAATGTTATAGGAAATGAGTCTAGTAAAAGGGACAGCAGCTTCCACGTGCATGGAAGACTATTTTTTCACAATGTCATAGAGTTTTCTTTTTCTTCTCAGATAGTTGGTATGCTCTTGAGGTACAGTGACTAACTTGTACAGTTGACATAGTAATGTATTTCCATGTCAGCGTTTTTAATATTTGCTTTTGTCGTTCAGGCGGACTCTTGTCCTCTCGGCCATGAAACATTTTTACTTTGTTTTCTATGTGTGTGGAAACGCAAAGGTTTGTTTTTATTTGTAGTCTGTATTTTTTTCCATGAAGTCAGAATGGAATGGGTCTTGCACTGAGGGCATATCCTACATGCAGGTGAGCAGCAGTATTATCAAAGATCAAATGGAGTCTTAAGTGTTTGGGTCAGCCAGCCTACACTTGAGGGCCATCTAGTGGCTGGTGGTGTGAAAGCCTGGCCTTGTAGTGAAGCTTTTTAGGCCGTTGATGTCATCAGGAAGGTGACTGAATAGTTCTAGCGGACTCTTGGTTACACTGTTTTTCTAAAAGTTATTTATCCTAATCTGTTACAGCCCCGATGTGATATTAAGGATCTCTCACTCAGGAAATGCAAAGAAAAGCCCATTTTTTTTGTGAAGTTCTTTGAATCACAACTCTGGACTCTTTCTAAGCTCCGCGTTGAACTCCCAAAAAACATTGGCATCGGAGCGACTTCACAAAATGTTCCTTTTATACACACAAGTCCAAACTTGTCTATTTTAAATAGCCGTCCATTTTAAAATGTATCATTTGCTGTACAATGACATGAATGCTGTAATTTTATTTTATTTTATTTTTTAACATTTCAAGTTCTCAGTCTGCGTAGGTACGTGGAGAAGAACTCGATGAGTTTGATGAAATGCAAGTTTGTCCATTTATTTTAAAAAAAAAGAATTGACATTGCATGACCCCAAACACTGTAGCTGTTGAACATTAACTATTTTTTTAAATGAATGCCATGTTATCTCAGCAGTGTTGCAGCTCTTTGAGTTCATTCAGTTTTACTGAGAAATGCAATATGCATGTTTTGTCTTTTTTTTTTCTTTCCAAGTTTTTTTTTTTTTTAAAAAAAAAAACTATTAGTGTAGTTTTATTTTTTTTGTTCTTATGCATTTACGTAGAGACACTATAATAGCCTGTTTGCCAAATTTGAATCAGTAATAATGTGACGACCTGACTATTTCTTGTGGAATTGAACATCTCATTTATTTTAAGGACACGGTTAATTGGAAATAACAGGACCCTTGTGAAGAGCAGTTGAATGTATATCTTTGTACAAAACTATTTTAGTTCCAAGGATATGGTAGTTACAATAGATGTGAAAGATAAGATAACCTTTTTTATAAATCTTTTGTATTAGAACATTAACATTGATAATTTTGTATATACGAGAAGCTAGGCTTTCTGATTAGCAGAAAGGTCAAACATTCCTACATTTTTTTTAAATGTACGTTTGTCAAATTATTAAACATGCGCAATGTTATGTGCCTTTTATTTGGGTTGTCTAAATAAAAGAAAATTATCAAATGTGTTTCTGTATTAAGTACTTTTTGATATTAAGACTGTTGGAAGTGCAACCCCTGTGCTGTTTTGATTTTTAGGGAAATAAACCTTTAGTCCGGGTTCACATCCTGAGCACTCTGCAGAGTTTCTTACTTACAGTTGCTCTATATCTTTTTTGCACCCGCCATTTAATTGACTCTGAATAGTCCCCGTGCTTATTAGCGATGGGGATTAAAACTCAATTACAAAGGGATGAGAGCGCCCTTTGGGAGGTTAAAACGCCCCATATCCTTTAGAGGTACTTAAAAAGCAGTGTGGCTTCTACGGGACCCACCCAGGTTTTCCAGACACCTCTGGTCATGGGATCAGGTTTCCCCAATTTCAACTTTCTGATTAAGAGTTCTAACAGCAAACGGATCTGAACCGGCTGAGTTGCTTCGACTGTCCCGGAAGTATCGAAATGTATTTTCTTTTCATTTAAAAGAGCTTAAAACCACAATTGGTAGTTAGTATTTTTACTGTATCTCACAATTTGTGCATCCCCAGGAAGTGTCTAACAATTTATATAAAGTTTCTGCCAACAGGTCTTTCCAAACATTTCAGCTCTACGTGGCTGTTTTTACATTTAAACTGGCTTGAAGCTAAACAGTTAAACTACTTGGTTTAATACAGTCATCTTTTGTTGTATTGCTACTAATCCAGATTTTGTTATTCTCAAATATGAGAAGAATCTTGACTTATTCCAGAAGCTTGAGTTGGTCAAAAGAGAAAAAGAACTGATTCTGGTGCTGCTGATGAGCCTTTTAGTCACAGCAGCAGCTTTAATAACCGAGCAGCCAATAATTCAGGAGGCTTTTAAGGAACAAGTGCTGTTCTTGAACACCCTGAATTACAATTTCTTTTTCTTTCATATACTGAATTTAGAAAAATAATTAATATTTTATGGATAATATTATTAAACCAATGCCCTTAGACACTAGATGTGCCCTATTCAGCCAAAAACCCTGCATGGGGGCTTAGAATCAGTGTTTGACCACTCTTATGCACAAGTCCTTCAGCTGTGAGACGGTTAATGGACTTCTTGCATGTACCGTCTGTTTCAAATCCTCTCAGAACAGTCGGGGAAATTCAGATCTGAGCGGCTTTTTTCTTTTTTTTTTTTTTTTTATAACTTTTACTTTTTTCTAAATCCTGATTGTATCACATTTGGATTAGTGTAATGCATTAATATTGCATTATTATCCTGTGGAAAGGGCCACTTCACGATTAAACTTTTGAGCAGATGGCCTGCTGTTATCTCAGAAAGCTCTTCAAAACGACGCAGGACAGGCTTTTGAACCAGTGAAGGAGAGCTGCTCAGTCCTTGAGACAGAAACATTTGTGCAATTTCTTTGAGTAAAGCCACGTGTACTGGCTTCCTTTAGGGCTGAAATATTTAATTTAGTTTTTTAGAAAAAACTGTTCTATTCTGCATTAGCAGGTGAAGACTTCTAATTATTTTCTGATTCTGACAACAACTCAATAGCATTTTTTTTATATGGGTCATTTGGTGATTTGATCATGGTTTACATTGTTTTTTCCAAATATAGTAACAAATTATTTTTATAAGGGATGTGGTCAATGAAACGTTACGCTTCCCGGTTGTCCAGCAGAGGGCGCCGTCTTTGCGTCTTTTACAGCGGCTCTTCCAGGTTTAATCTTCCCGTGTTTTCCCACAGTCAGAACCAATCCGACCCTTTGCCGGTTTGGTTATATTTAGCCTTATTGCCATCCATGTTTTGCGAGTTTGACTCTTGTTCTATCCAGATCAGACTTACAGTTAGATAAAAAACTTACTTAGAATAAAAGAAGGAGAGGGGAAATGCATTTCTCCTGTGGGTTCATTGCTCTCTCTCTCTCTCTCTTTTACTTCCTGTTTTCATGTCTGCGCTTTCATATCAAACATGCAATGGATGCGGGTCTTTATTTTTAAATGGCAAGGGTGCAAGATGAAATAAATAACATCGAATCAAACTTGAAAGGATTTCTCCTCTGCAGCATGTGCAGGGCTGTGCTGATCTCTAGTGAGCTATGAATAAATCATAAAACACTCCCTTAACAAAGAAATACTACTTGACTTTTTAAATCTTAATTTTTGACCCAGAGACCAATCAAACTGACCCCTCGGACTGGGCCTCCGAGGGGTCAGAAAGCAAAATGACGCTGTCCAACTCTGAGGGAGTTCCACAGGAAAAGGAGCGAGGAGTGGCGGCGTTAGTGACTGCGTAACCCTTTTGAATGGAGACCTTGCTCAACTAACCTCCGTGACTTTTGCTGCCTTTTTATGACACATCCAGCACTTCCTGGATTGTAACACAGAAACTGCTGGGTGAGGCGGTTACCAGGACAGGAAAGCCAACGTGTGTTTTAACTGGATCACGAGAAAGAAAGGCCCTGAATCTTGAATCACGACTTGAACTTTCAAACTCCCTAAAAGAGTCACAACTCAGCAAATGTGATGTTTATTATGACCCTCAAACGTTTGCACTTAAAAGCGAAGAACTAAAGAAAATTGGAGAATTTTGATTGGAAAAAAATGTTTTTTTGTGTGTCGTACATTAGTGTAATCTCTTGGAAAACAGCATGTTAGGTGTTTTCTTCTTTCAAATAAAAATACAGGATGTGCACAGTGCACTCTACATTAATACATGTGTTCGTGTATTATCTTTTTAGAGTCCTCAGGCCTGGGCAGACTGTACAGGGTCAACATCATCCCAGGGGGGGGGGTCCTCCCCCTCCCCAACCTGAAGAAATGCCCAGTGGAAATCCTGGCTGGTAAAGACGATGGGATCAGATTGTCCAGAGTCTAATTTAATCTGAAACTGTGATCCCCACGCTACATGTGCCGTCTGAGCCGTCCAATAGTACAACAGTTTAAACAGCTTAAGAGCCCCGTCATGTTGGGGAAAGGATCACGCTGTCCTCGGCTCAGTGAGTCGTGCCAGCGAGCTGTCGGCCGTTTGATTGTTGTTTTCGGTTTTACTTCTGAAGCACTTGTCGGATTGCTAGCATGGAGCCGGTCGTCCATGGCTGAGCAAAGGTCTTTCGTTTACAAGGCCATCTCAAAGGGAAATGAAGTCTTGGGAAGAACTGCTGCAAAAACAGAGAACACTTGGGTGAGAAGATTAAATGTTTTTTTTTCAGCAGGAATACTGGAAATCTTCCATTCTGAGTGCTTTACACTAGGTAAAGAGAGCCCCCTTATGTGCAAAAGGGTTTACATTAAATCTTTTTATTAGCAGTCAAATGCATCAAATGATGTACCAGACATTAGCTCTCACTCTGTCATAGAACAGGAAAGAAATCCCTTTTCCTGTTGTTTGCATTTGATTATTGATTTCAGTTGGTACCTTGTGGTTCAGATCATCATTTACTACAAATATGCCAACAAGTCTCTTTAAAGTTTACATTTGAAGAGCTCCCTTTGCTGCCGGGTGGTAAGTTCATTTTCAAGGCAAAGATGAGCTGAAACTGGCACCTCACCATCAAATCTGTGCTGCTAATAAAACAGGACAGAACAGGACACTGACAGTTCATGAGTGACATTTTTGCTTTTTCTCTAACAATTTAATACATTGTTGCAATGACTTAAAACCTAGATTTTCACATTTGAAATAAACCTTATCAGACTCTCAACACTGATTGATGGAAATGTTTATTTGCTAGTTTCGCTTAAATTGAGGCTGATTCAGCGATATGCCAAAGCAGTGGGTGAGGTTTCTAATTCCTTTTTTCACTTCTACACTACCTGGTACATATATGACGAGGTTTTAGGATACTGTATGGACTGATATACACAGTCGACATGAGAAAACACGGTACAATTTTTCTCTGCAACCAGAAGAGAAGACTGATGGACAGATGGAGATGAACACAGGGCTTCACGAGAAGTGACTCACGTTCCGTTGTATAATTAGGGTATATTAAAGGCAGGAACATCACACCCTCGTTGCAGAGCCTGTACTGTTATCTCTTGCTTGTGGGAAAACTGCTAATCATCCCAACCAAACACACATTATAAGGAAAGTCTTGATATGAAGACTGATAATCTACTTTGACATCATTGTATTAGGAAATTGTTCTTTTTTGCTTGTTTCCATTAGTAGTGACGGAATTTATCTACACAAGCACCAGTAGTTTTAGCAAACTTGGGCAGAAGCTCAGTTGCAGTGACTAGTTATAAACAGTTAATCTCCAGAAGACATAAAGGATATCAGGACACAAGCGTAACTCTGCCTAAAAAATATTAAGATGACACCTGAACAATTCCCTTAATGCAATGTCTGAAAATGTTCACACTAATGAGTTCTGAAAAACCTCTTTAGTTATGAGCTGCGCATTATTAAAAATCCATCATCATTCCTTAAAACAGAAGTTCACACAGGACATATATTGACTTGGCTGAATGCAATATGCTTCACAAATGGTGACATTTGTAAATGGGGTTTGCCCTTTTCTTTCTTTTCTTACTCATTTTAAATCATTGTTAAGGGGAACTTACTTACAAGTTTGATCTTTTCAGAGTATTAGAAGGAATACAGTTGTTTGAATAATGTCAAAAGTCCACAGAGCAGGATGCAGTACCTTGTTAATGTAGCTGCAGTTTTCTTTAGATGAAGCGTCTATGGTTTATTATTCGCATTGTCAAAAACATTTTTGCACCAGAGCTTGTGGAGCTCTGGCTTTGCTCGGCACAGTGTAATGACAGTGTGCCGCTGCGCATGAGGAGGTGAAAGGTGGTGATTATTCCTGGAGCACAAAGCTACCCTGGAATTGCTCCTTGCCTTTCTCTGCCACTTTAAAACTGTACTGTGATCAGTGCAGGAAAAAGGGTTAGTATTCAGCAGCCCATATGTCCTCATACGGCCATAGAAACAGCCCCCTTGATATATATCTATTCACCGTACTTTTATATCTTCTTTGTATGGAATCAAAGCAAGGGCATGCTTGATTTTTTTCTCAAATCAATGATCTGATTACTTTAAGGAAACTGAGCTAATCTTGGAGAAGTAAATGAGTTGTTATGTTATTATCTTGGAATAATTGTTTTCTCCAGGTAATTTATGGATATATCTGGTTAGTTCCACTTGTTAAAGTGTGTTTTAAAGCCGCCATAAACATTGGCATGGCTTAAAAGGGACCTACAGTCTGGAGCATTGCAGATCTGAACACATTTGTGTGATTGTCGGCTTTCAAGCATGCATCAACCATGCACGCCCTGGCTTAATCTTCACAAACTGTCATGACGCCTCCACTGAACCACAAATTCATGTGTCAAAACTGAAAGCATTTTTTTTAGCTGACAACAATCACTTCATGATCTTGAGAAACCAAGGCCTGCTTTCTCATAAATTGCTAAAGCCAAATTCTGAATAAAAACCATATTAGAACGGCCGGTTATCACATGAAACCAAGTCCTGTCATATCCAGATAACAGAATTATCGCATTGTGATCTCTAAACAACAAGGGCCCAAAAAGATGATCAGAACAGGTCACCCTTGGCTTCCACAGCTCTCGCCAGGAGAATGCATGGAACCATAGAAACATAAATTAGGGGAGATCCATTAAATGTGTATGTGTGTGTCTTTCCTGAAAAGAGGCAAAGGTATTCCTCATAAAAATGTTCACAAAAATAAGCATGATCAGTGACTGTCTTCAACTGTGTGACAGCAAGTCAGTTCTCTCTTAATCATGAGATGATTGTGTGATCATCTGACTTTGATATTGTTTCAGTGCTGCCCGTAGATTATGTAAACACAATAAGATACTACATTATCTGCACTTTGAAAGAATGTGTGCCGATTTGATTTAAGCTGTTGGGTTTCCTATTCTGGCATGTGCAAATTCGGGGTTAAATAGCCGTGCACCAGGGTAAAAGGACCCCCAAAATGAAATGCAACCACTGCTAACGTTATCGCACCTTCTGGCATCGCTACATTTGTCTAATGGGCGATTTTTTTTTTTTTTGCTCAGTTCCATCACGTAAGAAGCTGTGGGAGGAGGTTGGGATGTGTAGTGTGGAGGGCGGTTTGTGTAACGCGTATGACTCCATTTCCCAGAATGCACCGCGCGCCATGATGTTCCAACAGCTGACAGACGGTGAAGCCTCTGCCAGAGCTGTCGGTGGAAGCTAGTGTGTGTACTCTCGTCGGAAGCCCACACGGACTGAAAAAAAATACACCTCGAGTATTACCGGACTTCGGACCGTTTTACGACTCGGGCTACTGTCGAGCACACTGTTGTGATAAAAAAAAAAAAAAAAAAATTTAAATTTCTTTTCGCCAGCGTCCTGACTTTCGCCTCACATTTGGGGAGCAGGGGACAGTTGCTGTCAGCTAACTTCCACAATAGGTCGCTGCGTCGCCGGACTGCTCGCATGTGTTTTTTTATATTTGAGCTCAGCGGTTTGACTCCAGCCCTTCCAGCCGTGCCCCAATGCTGAGGAATGGATAGCGTGCCTGCCAGAGGAGGGAATATGGTCGAGAGTGATGAGCAGCCGGAGAGGGACAGCGGCGGTGGCGCAGCGATGGCCGCACTACATCAATGCGAACTCATCCAGAATATGATTGATATCTCCATCTCCAGTTTACAGGGGCTGCGGACCAAATGCGCCGCGTCCAACGACCTCACGCAGCAAGAGATACGCACTTTAGAGGTAACGGGCTTTATTTTTATTTTTTTTTTTTTTTTGGCGTGGGTCAAGGTGGCGTCGGTCCACTGTAGAAAAACCGGTGGAGTTAAATTGCGGAGTCATGAAGCTCTGACGCCGTCCCCCTGGCTGCCTCGCGGGGCTGGATATGGGCTTCCGCGCGAGGGAGCCGCACGCGCGCGGTTTGCTCGCTTCCAGTGTGCCTTCTCGGTGTTTCCACCGAGGTGACCGGGGCTCGGTAGCGTTAAAACAGGGGACCCCTCGTTGTTTCCCCACGCCTAAGCGGGGGAGACGTCAGTGATGCATAGGCTCCAGCTATTTGTGTGACCTCTTTCTCGGTTATCAGTCAGGAGCCCCCCCCCTCCCTCCTTCCCCTCCCCTCACCCCCCCCCCTCAGGCGCCCCCCCCCTCCCTCCTTCCCCCCCCCCCACCCCCCCCCCCGGGTTGGCTCACAGCAGCTGAATTCATCCCGGCCTAATGGCACACACTGCCAAATGGCTATCTTTTTTTTATTTTATTTATTTTTTTTATGTTACTGTATCGATATCCGCGGTGGATTTCGTGGCCGTGCAGCTGGGCCTGCAAGACGGATCCAAAATTTAGACGTAGCCTATGACGTGTTCCATGTGCTTCTCCAAAATGTAGGCTGGTGTTCTTCTCCATCTGGATGCAGATGGACCGTGCTCGCGTTTTTTTTTTTTTTTCATGACTTGGCAATGCCTTGCGCAAGAGCCCCCCTTTTTAAAAAAAAAATGTAGTTATTGTAAGGAGTGAGAAAAAGGCATGCCTGCGAGAGTGGAAGCGCACGACGTGTTCTGACTTAACCAAAATGTAAATGGTCCAATGCTGGCCTACTTGATGGCTGTGTGGGGGGTAGAAAAATCACATGCTCTGCAGCTTCCGTATCCAATCTACTTCAGCCTTATGGGTGAAGGGATTCTTAATATTCCTAATTCATCAGCAGCCTTTTCGTCAGTCCTGCACAGGTCTGGTCAGGACACTATTGCTCAGTCTGTTTCCTTAATTGCTAATCAATGGAATAACTCTAAATGTCCACATTTGTGGGATAGGACAGCAAAACGTTGGTCGCTTTTGTGAAAAATCAATTGAAAATGTTAAGTGAAGTGGACTTTATTTTATGATTTGTATTAGCTTCTAATGGCATTCATAGAATATAGCCCATACCTCCCACTTTTCTGCCCAAGAGGCTGATGGGAGAGTGGAATTGTATGTGACATGAATAACAGAAGCTAAGATCGTTTTAAAAAACAAAAAACTGGAATATTATATTCCCAACGAAAACATAGAGGTCAGATGACTAGTGGGCCTTCTGTTTCAGGGATTTATTTAAGCCTTTTACCTTCACTAAAAGGACTATTCAGTCCTAATAGTTTGGAGTTAATAAATGATCAGAGTCAGTTTTATTTCTGTATTGAACGCGCTGATAAACAGTTGTACAGTTGCTCCTTCTAGAGAGAGTGGAGCAGGTTGTCAGACTGTTAGTCTCTGCAGGACAGACGCATCCATACAGAAACATGTACCCACAAAACACCGACATGACGGAGCAGTCTCACGGTCCCAACTGAAACTTCTCCTTCATTTAGCAGAGACTAATGTTCTCAAAGTAATTTCCTTGCTCCTTAGCTGGCTGGCAGGTTTCAGGTAGAACTTGGCAAGCTGCTGCGTTTTACTTGCTCAAGTAAAGAGGCCTGGATTTAAATAAAAACCTCATCATTAACTGAAGTGGAAACCAGACAAACAAGATTTGCTTGTTTATCTTTCTTTCTTTCTTTTTTAACTCGTGTATTTGAGCCCACAGCAGAAACCCACTCTCTTTGTTTGTGAGCTGCTTGAGAGAACGCAGCTGAAACGTCTGGTTACATTTTTTGCTTCCTGAAGCAAAGTTGTAGGTTACCGAATGCATGCCTGAACTGGTTAAAGCGCAGAGGTAACAGGGACTTGTGGAGTCATGGCCCACGCTAGCCTACATTCTTCAACTCTTCTTTATCCGTTGTCATGTGTGCCTCGTCGGTTGAACAGGACGTGATCTGGCAGAGTACTTCCTGAGGTATGCTATCTCGTAGATACATTTTGCACCGGCATTGTTCTACATGACAATGGACAGGCAGTGCCGTTCTCATATGCTTCTTGAAGACTACAAAAACGACTCTGGGGTCTCTTTCCTGTGCTTACGAGGCCGTTATTAGCTACTGTCTCTGAACGTCTTTTCTGAAAAAGGTGGATGCGGTTAACCCGAGTCAGTTTTAGGTTTAGCCGTGTTCAGAATTCTTCCCTGTTGTACCCCAAGAAGAAGGAGAGCTAGGAAACCTTTTTGTTTTGAATCCTCCGAGCTGCCGTACTGGAAATGAAACTCAAAGTACCTACTGACTCGAAGTTGCTGTACCGGAAAATGCTACTATAGACATTTTCTTGTCTACAGCAGAGTCATTTCTGTCTCTCAGTGCTATTTGATTTTATTTTCACTGATTGACCACTGACGCAAATGCACAGTCATCAGGAGGTTCCGCGGTTGCTTTAGAGCAGCCTATTCCTACGCACAGATGTTGGGGCTGTTCCAAAAGTCAGGACTAAGGACATAATACTACTCAGATCATCCTTAAAGTTGTCATAATAAGTGATAGAGACCACTGCCGTGAGAAGTAGTTCGTGCCTTCTTTCTTAACTGAGCTTAACCCACTTTTTATCGTGGTATCTTTAGAGAAATATGCCAGAGAGCACATTTCCTGCTGTCGTTGTGGTTTCTTTTTTTTTTTTTAAACAACGATTTTTTGTTTTTATTGTCTAGTTTTGTCGACTATTAATAAATAGATATCATATCTATATTGACATTTAAACTACAATTAATTTTAGCTGGAGATCTGAAATCAGGTTTGGGATGACAGCAAACGTATACATCACCGTCGTTGTTAAGATGTTTGAGATTTCTGTAAGCCGGCAGGCAGCATGCGCTCGCCCACCATGTTATCACGTCTCACCAGCCCATCGAGCTGCTGAACGCACATCTCCGACCTGAGGAAGCTCAAGTTTGAACTGGGCAAAACGAGTCAAATCAATTTGGACATGATGGCGACAGTTGTTGCTTGTGTCGGTTGTGCGTGGCTGGTGTCGCATTACGAGCGGCTGACTCTCGGGTCGTCACCTTTTCATCAGCATCAGCGGGATGGAGTACAGAAACCTCTCCGCGTCTCTTGCTAAAGGCCAGTTAGGAAACCAGGCTCGCAGCGGATTGGCTGCGGAGAGGCCTTTGGTTTTAATAACTACAACAGTGCCACACCGGCCTGGGTGAAGCCAGCCTTACTTCCTAAGCCTTTACTGGCAGACTATTTTGCAACTTCCAATAAGTGTGCACTTTCACTTCTTGCTTCACCCTTTTCTTGAGATTTCTACTGCCATATGCCTCTCATGTTACAAATCAGTGGGTTAGGCATTTAGACGCTGGACGACAATTTAAATTCTGAAGCTTATGAGTCGGAGTTCAGCTATTGCATTCTCTGCTTTATTTACTTTCCTCCAGTGGCCTCCCACTGGCTCAGCACTCCAACAAGCTCATCGGCCTGCTCCTGTCTATATAGGATGAATCCCGATCTGTAGTTAAAGTGGCAAGATGTACACGAGTTCGCCACCAGATGTGTTGATTAATTTCTTGAATTTTGCAATCTGTGTGAGGTCATGGAAGTTGTCTCACTCGTGGCGAGGGTTATTGTTCCCATATTGCGCTGGAGTGCAATCAAGTGCGGCTTGAACTGGCTTTATTCTCTCATTGGGCCAGCTTTATTATTCTACTTGAACTGTGTGTGTTTTTTCTGCTTTGCCAGTGAGAGGATAATGATACTGGGCTCTCAAATGGAGTGCTAACTGGTACTTCACTTTTCACATGTTAATCCCACTCAGCTCGGTCTCTGTCTGCCTCACATGCTGCTTCTGTGTCGCTCTCACTGTACATCTGTGTATTTTCACCTGACGGTTGTTTCATCATGCGGAGCTCTGTCTTAGCTGCTCGTATCTTTTCAAAACCAAATTCATTTGCATGATCCAGACGCACAGAAATCGGAGTTTGAAGTCACCCTTTCAACAGAAAGCAGCTGTTTAGCTTCTGTGCTCTTTTGAATAACCAAAATAAACCCTGGTCGGTATTCACTCAAAGATTGAAATCTTTACATTTATATCTTTCTGATCAGCGCTCTCTCTGTGATGATCAGCAAACGGCAAAGTGCCACTCTATTTTGTCTTCTCATGGTGTTGGAGAGAGTTTGCTGTGTGCTTGTGGTGCGAGCTGTTGTGGCTGCATCTATATTTAGACATCTTTCTTCCTACGCATTTTCAGGGTTGGTTGTTAAATAAGAAAATCAAATGACGCGCAAAGAGCCTCTGCAAGAGGGGGAGAGCGGGCTGGAAAGGGGAGGGGAGAATCAAAGCCAATCCGCCCGGCAGCTTCTTGTGACATGACAACCGCTGCGTGTGTGTTTGTGTGTCCGTCGGACGCCCAGACAGCGGAGTATTTTGCTCACATCAGTGTTTAGAGGAAACACAACTCTGGTGACAATCAGCTCTGACCCTGACTCGGTTTCCTTCGTTTCCCCTGACAGCCAGGGAGGCGTAGCCAATAAGAATGGACAGCATGGTGTGGAAATCAGAATGGTTGAACAGTGTAGGTAGGCCTTGATCTATTCTTGAACGGGCTCAGGATGAGTTGCATTGCATCCTGTAATTTTTAGGTTTCCTTTGCTCTTTGTGGGGGAGTTCTCCTGCTCAGTCTCCAAGTCATTATGCAAATATGCCTTCTTATGATAAAGAGTATCCTCTTCTAGAAGGTTACCACATATCTATAAATCCTCCATACATAGACACATAGATTAGCCTTAGTTAGGGTTATGTACCATATGTTCTCTATGTCACAGTGTAGGCCCAAACAAGTGTTTGTCAAGGGTTGGACAGGCACACTTTGCATTTATTTACAGAGAGAACTGAGAGCACCTCTTCACCCCCAGGCCATGTCAGTTTGCACCGATGGTTCCGATGATGGAGGAGGGGCAGTGTGCTATTGTCTTGGACTATCAGCCATGTACCCCCGACGGTCCCACCACCCCCTCTTGTGACCTGACCTCTTCAATGCTGCGTTTGCCATTGTGTGTGCATGTCCTCTTTTATGTGTCGGGAGAATTCATTTTCGGCTTCACACACACGGCTTTGACTTGCATTATACTGTAACAATGACATGAATTTATGTAGATTAGATGCTATTGTGAGACTAACTAGAGGGATAACGTGTAAAGATGGCGGGTTCTACTGTCCACGGCCAAGAGGAACCACAGGATGGTTAATCAGGGGCTCCCTACATAGCTGATTATAGTCTCAAAAAAAAAAAAAAACATTTAGAGATTTTTTTCTTAAAGGGAAAGACTTGATTACATTTTATCTTCTCTCATGAGACAGGAGACTACATGCAGTAATGGCAAATATGAGATCAGAAGAGATGTTATTTAGTAAGTCTGCTCTAAAGGCCAGAAATGTGTGTGTGTGTGTGTGTGTGCGCGTGTGTGCTTTAGTCTGGAAGAAATTAGCTGACCTTCCTGTGCAAATATCATTTTCTGGGATAGAGCGCCGGTGCTCCGCTCTCAGATCGGCCACGCTATCCCCGGCAGGTGCGACAAAGTGGCTGTGTCAGCGAGAGTCCTGAGAAAATGTCTGAGGTGGTGGGAAGGGCCCCCCCCCCCGAGTGTGCTGTGTCAGACGGGCCGCTGCTGGGACTCCTCTGCCCTCTCTGGTGGCTCACACACGGCCTGTCACTCATCTGCGTGCGGCATTAGGCTGTTGCCATGGTGTTGTTTAGCTCCACTGACAGGTGGGCTCTGACGCCATTTCTCCTCCCCCTCCTCCCACCTCCAGGCCACACGTCAAACACTGTTTTTCTCCGCTCTGCACCAAAAATAAAATGCAAGGGGGCCTGTCATTATCTCTTGGTTTGCTGGTGCGCCTGACTGTGCTTCCAACACAAACACGCACATCTCTGATATCACTAAGGGATTTGGGGACATGTGCGCTTGTGTAATCCTATCCATCTCACTTATTTAGGGTCCTAATTGGCAAAGTGAATGCTCTGCAAGTGACAAAGAGATAAATATGTTGCTCGTGGTGGCTAGCTGCAGCAGCTATTGTCACCGAGAGACACACAGTGACTTTTTTCTGTGTTACGATTTATTGTGTCTGAGCTCTGTGTTTCACATGTATGGGAAAATCCCACTGAAATGTTGCTGACGACTCTGAAGAAGAGTTGCTAGGTAACCTGACGTCACGGTGCTGCACTTGTGTATAGGGAGGTAAAGAAAGAGGCTAGTTTGTTAGCCCCACTGAGTCGACGCCTTTTGGTGTTGTCCTGCTATTACCCGGTGGACTGGTGTCTGCAGCAATGACTGTATAATATGTTTCAATTTTGAGTTTGATTTGATAAGGACATGGCGTCACTGTTTATCACAGCTTCCTCTTGATCAAGATAGTCATTCATCAACTTTTTATATGTGCTCATGTCAGTTGGTTTGCATATTTGTTCAGTATGCGCCTAAAAACCCCTATAAAAGGAGCACCTTATGTTGCCAGACTATGAGCTTAAATTCAGCTTTCTGGCACATTTTTACCATTTTTTTCAAAAGGAACTTTTTATTAATCCTTGTTCATGATAAGCAGTTATTTTTTTCCCCTTCTAAAAATGTACTCTGCGGTTGATTGCCGACTGGCTGCAGTCAAAAAGCAGAGTAACGATTAAAAAGCTGAGCATTTATGCACTCTTCATCTTCTCTCTCTCTCCTCTTTTCATTTCTTCAGCCTGCTAAGGAGATGCTTTTATTAGCTGCCGTGAAGCAGCCTTTTTACCTCCCAAGGCCGCACTTTCAGAAAGTAGCACAGCTGTGAGAGTTTCTCTATGGTGGAGAGTGGATGTGTCATGGAGATGGTTGAATGAGCAGGGAAAGACTCGCGCTCTCCATTGTTGTTGCGGCATTTCAAAAGTGCAAGGTGGGCCGTGAGCTAACTGGTTGCTGCACAGCTCGTCTGTAGGTGCTGCCTGCCTGTTGTAATGGACTCTTACAGATAGACCGGGTGATAAGGACACACTATACAGTCTTGCTGAGCTGCACAATGCCGGCCGCTGCAAACCAACACCGTGGTGTTCATTGTAATACTCACAGGACGGACCACTGCGCCTGACGTGGAAGCATTGAAGCAAAGTCTCAGTTTTATGCAGACTCTGAAAGCAAGACTCCGACTTAATCATTTACATTAGCGGAGGGTTTTGGCTTTCAAACGCAGCGGGATGATCTGATGCGTGATGTCATCTGAAACTTCAGCGAGGCTCACACCTAGGCTTTTGTTATAACTAACATTACCAGTTCGCAGACGTAAGCTCCAACAGGACTGGAGTGGGAGAGTTTGGTTCAGTGCGTCTGGGCTGCCACTCCGAGTTGTACCGACAAGAAAATTTCAGTGGGCAGACTTTGTGTTCTTCGCTACCTTTCCTCCATCCGAGCCATCGCAACTGGTAGGTTTTGCGAATCCTGATCTGCTAGAAGCAGAGAGACAGGACTGTTTCCCTTCTCTTCTCTGTTTGCTTTTAGATCGGCACGCTCATGACAAAAGGTGCAAAACGGAAACTATCTCACAGATTAACTGATAAAAAGGAAAGACAGCAATCTTGTTGAGGTCTTGAAAATTGAATAGATTTGGTCATGTTGGACCTCCATCGATGTTGATGCGACCAAGTTATTATTTGTTCCTAATGTATTTTATTTTCTCTGCCAGCGGCACAGATGCTCTCATTAGATGACCAGCCCATGCCCAATAATAGCACTTTCTATCTAATTAGCTGCTTGTCCACAGACGACACATGGAAACAAATACTGGTGTTGTCACGAGTTCGGGCACATCGTGTTTGAGCGAGCAGCAATCCAGGTTCACCAGAAGACTGAAAAGTTGGTCAGTTTCTTGTTTAACATCCGGAGATCCGCAGTCCCAGAGGGTGGTATGCACATTGGCCATGTGCCATATGGATTTTCCACCTCCTCCACAATGATAAGTCGTTTGCAAATGCAGGTGTGGCAGACACCTGTCAGAGTGAAAACCTCCACGCATGCTTGGAGCCTTCCTTCTAAACTGCCCCACCCACCTGCACCATTTTCTGCATTGCTCCCTGCAGGTGAAGCTGGTGAAATACATCTGTAAACAGCTGCAGTGCAAGCAGAAAGTGCCAGAGACGGAGAGGTCCGAGGCCCTGGACAGCTACCCACGCTTAAAAGACTGGCTGCGCACCATCAACCTGCGGCCAGAGCTCATTGAGGTAGGTGGTGTTATTTTTTTGCGTGTGAATGCCAGTTCGCGCCGGCCTGAGACACGGCATTAGTGTCACATAAATGTGTGTTCGGTATGCTTACTCAGTCCGTGTTCACGTGTGCACGAGGAATGCCATCAAAAGGCCCCTGATCAAGCCCTGTGTTGCAGCACAAGAACTAAACTACAGCTTCCTTTTTTTAAAAACTTTTTATTTTATTTCAGTTAGAATTCAATCGATATACAGAGCTCATCAGGTAGAAATCTGAACTTTTGGTTCAAACAAACTCAACTTAGATGCCTAAACAGCTGGTTCCCTGCATCCCTCCAGTTTGATTCCACTTTTGTTAGACTGAAGAACTGCTTTTCTGCAAGTGTGTGAGGAATGTCTCAGCAGTAAATGTTTGTTAAAGTCTCACATGTGTTCATGAAACTTCTCATTTTAATTTGTTTGGTCTGTAGTTTGGTAAAGAAGAGCTTTTTATGTTAAAATGTGTCAGATTTTTCAGTCTCTTATTTTTTATACATTTTACAAATAGCAACAAACAGACACTGAGATTTTGACTGATTATCGTTGATGGATCAGCCTGATCATAAAATCTGCTTCCTGTTGAGGTTTATTTTTTAAGTGTATGGTTTTATTCTCTATTAGAACCTAATTTCATTGCAGAAATATTCTGAATCGTATTGCAAACAGAAATGTTTGCACCACTCCTCTTAAGTGTGCTGATAAGAGTTACAATAGAAGCAGCTGTAGTGTACTGATGTAAATACAGTTATAAGTTAATAAGTAAAGACGTTTTTTAGGGTAATGTCACCTCCATGCATTTACACCAGAAAGTTGACTGTTTAGGGGAAAGGACGCTGCTTTTTTGTTCTTTTTCAATATTTTCTTTTCCTTTTATATTTGATTAATCTTTTGGGGATTTTTCTTCCCTTTTATTTGTGTCCTTTCCTTTGTTGCTGTAAACTGTTTAATCCTCATCCACTTCTGTATGTTTTTATGCCCCCCCGCATCTGTCTTTGCTCTGGTTCTTAACCGTTACTTGCTTATTTTTAAATGCCTCCATGTTGTTATTCTTCATTTTTCTCAGTTTTGTGTGTGCTTTTCTCTTTGTTTTATGGCTTAGCTCAGCGGCTGATTATTTGCCACTGGTTTACAGTTGAATCCTGTCCTTCTTGGTCAGTTTTCCTCCGTTTGCCTCCCAGTTTAAGCCTCACCTCGCTTCAGAGCACAGAGCCATGTGCTAGGGAAGGGTTTTAGGTAGAATAGTAGGTGCACGGTTGTATCTCTTGCATACCATCAGGGATATCGTAATAGATGTGGAGCTGTCATGACATGTTGATGACCCACTTAGATACTCACACATTATTAATGCACTGATTTCTACAAAGCATCTCCTTGTTGTATGCAGTATTATGTAATGATTGATCAGAAAACATTGTAGAGACTGTAGATGGCTTTTTTATTAAATATCTTCTCTGTTCTCATGCTTCAAATTGAGAGTAATTCCATGACAATCTACTGGATTTAGACAGACTTTTTCTTTTTTTTAAATTGTACATAACTTGAAAATGAAGTCTTTTTAGCTTTATCTTGATTAAATTGGGGCTGATTTGTATACGAAGTCGTAAAAGCTTCTCAGTGTTTAGTTTAGATGAACTATTCAATGTACATGTCTGTACTACATACAATGAATTGCGAAGGACCAATCAGTAAGAAGACGGCTAATATCCAGAAAAAAACTATCTATTGTTTGGTGCTTTCTATACACTATGCCCATTGAAGCTCTGACCAGTAACAGTGTTTCAGAGAGGCCCAGTTCAGCTATCGCACAATCTTTGCTATTTATGTGGCGAAATTTGTAATGTTCCAGTAAGCAAAAAGTCGGGAAGGGAGCAGAGAACCAAGAGCCCCTTTTAGATGTACATCTCTCACCCTTTACTTGTGTTTTTGTATGCGTGCGCTTTGCTTTGCTTGTAGTGTACACACGAGTGTGGGAGGTTGCCCTAGTTTTGCGATCAGTGCTTGCCCTCACAGAGCAAGGGTTTAACCTGACTGATAAGTGATTACGCACTTCCCATTCCAAAAAAGAAGAAAAAACATCCAAATTCTCTGGACAAGCTCCTATTTCCTTCTGTGCACCATAGATTGTTGTTGCTGGATGCCATTATTTTTTACTTTCCATCCCAGAAGATAAACAACACGTTCACAGTTTGTGTTGGGTCTGTTCTTTGAACTGGGTGTGCAGTTACTCTTAGTAATTCTAGTGAGCAGTGTTTTGGCCATACTGTTATCAGTCATCGAAAATAAAGTCTTTCATTTGTTAAGCTTACGTTATATATGGAATGAGCTTAATGTTGGAAAAGACAAAAAAGGTCTCATACTAAAAATAAACTGATGTATATGTGATATCTGACATTTTGTAGTTTGATCTTTTAGTCATTATTAACATGTTTCTTTATAACGTAATGTTTGATGGTCTCATTGTCTTGTCTCATTGTTCTCACCCAGAAAGAAACATTGTCTTTCTATCAAGTTGAGTTACGCCTTGATTTCAACCCATTTCAAACCCAGAAACCTTATCAGTGACCCATATCATTTGAACCTGCAGAATATTCCTGGAACTTTAACACCCTGATATCATATCTTACAGGACTTTTGAATTTGTGAGGTGTGAAAATGAAATGCATGTGTCATAGGCTCAAACATGCTCCTGAATACTGATTTTACTATTCTAAGCTTTACTCTCTGCGTGTAGGACTAATTAGTTCTTTCTTTTTAAGTAATGGCTTACTAATGTAGTGGCACAAACACCATGGTGTATGTTTGTGACTATAAGGCTTAAAGCAGGACTTGGAAAAAGCATAAAACCCTTTAAAAATGTGCATTCTGAATTACCAGTAATGAGTGCCTGCAATCTGTCTCTCTTTTACTTTGTCTCACGCAGGCAGTCGAAGTGAAGTTATCCCTAGATGCTTTACTGCAAATGACCTGTCATCAAGTGAGTGATACAATGCGAAGACTGGGGTCCAGTTCAGAAGAATGTAGCAGGCTGAGTGCTGCCCTCTCCTGTCTGAAGAGTGTCACTGAAGGTGTGTGTTAACACTGTCAGAGCCTTCATGCAGATGCTAAATGCATGAGTGTTTTGACTTTTTTTCTTCTCTCTGATAGGAGGTGAACTGAAAGAAGACAGCACCTCGTGGCTGTCTGAGCCAACCAGGAGAGACAGTGGCTCTCTACTGACCGCAGACCAGCTAACCAATTTGGGAACTCCACTTCGCCCCCACAGTCCATCACCTCTGGCCCGCCCATCGACAATCCAGTCCACCCCATCCACCCCGTGTGCTACCTTCTCCTATCCTCGCTCAGGCTCCGTTTCAGCTGCTCCCACACCAGAGGCCCTGGCATCATTTGTTCACAGCGAAAGCCCGCTCACAGATCCATTCCCCATGCCCTTATCCCGCACGGCATGGCTCCACGGACGCACCTCCACCCCACCCATAACTCCACCTTCAAAGAGGCGCCACCGTCCCAAGCCTCCCTGCACTCCTCCCCCTCCATCTCGCAAGGTGCTGCACTTGTTTCCCAACATTACACTCACCCGCAGCAAGAGCCACGAGTCCCAGCTGGGGAATCGGATCGAGGACCCTCCCACCAACAAGTAGGTGCCTTGCTCAAAGCTTTTTTGAGTAACGTATTTTGGGAGAGACGGTCTCTGTCCGCAGCTTTTCATTAGTCCATCAGATAAGAGATAAACAGGACCTTTAGACCAGCACTGTAATTATGAGAAAATCAGCTCTGCTGTCTTTGTCAGCACATCCTCACCACTGTTCAGTGTAAAGAAGTGTCCTGAAGTAGGAGAAATGCAGAATCTTTTGGTCATGGTCAGAAGGATTTTGCTATTTAAATTATAACTATAAAATACACAGTTTACGATGTGCTAACGGCAACTATGTGAATTATTCTAACAGGAAACTCTGGGGTTAAAGAAGCAAAGGTTTGGGCAGGCACTACTTCAACTATTTGATTTATAGTATGGTTTCATAAAGTGTGGTTATCAAATCCCTCTTAACTGTATCAGAACAGCAGCAGAACTTTCCGTAGTCATACTTACAGTCACTGTCTGACATCCTTTCACATCCTGCCTGGTGCTCCTTTGCTCTCATTCTATGAGCAAAGCTAATCTGGCACAGATTCCCAGAGATTTTGAGTCATGTCAAAACAGGAAATATTTCCCAGATCTAATGCTCAAAGGTGGCAATACACACAATCTCCTTCTCCTTTTTCCTGTGTCTCTCCATTGTGATCAAGTGCACGTACACAAACAAGCCGCATGTTTATCCATGTTATCCCATCTGTTTATGGAAAGTTTTTTATTGAGGGAAAATATGGCAAAGACACAAGTAAACACGCCTGATGTAGATCCACGGCACCCTGCACACCGGCAGACAATCATGGTAGTCTGTCGCGTCTGTGCACATAATCACGCTGCTTTAACGTGAAAACAGGACACAGGTCCTTTCTAGGCAAAGGTAGCCAGCGATTACTCCTCACACATGCGTGTGCATGTGCACAAATCCCAGGTCTGGCAGTGCCTGGTGCTCCTCTCGTAACCTCTGTCTCGTTAAGGATATCATCCTCGCTGTCCTGTGCCAGTGCTATTACGTAACCGGCCCTGTGCCATACAGGCACTCCAGCCCTGCTGCAGATTTATGGTGTCCGGTCTCGTTTTTGCCAGTGTGCTGAACCTGCTCAATCCTAAATGTCTTTTTTTATTTCTCGGTAGGTGTGTTAAAAAGAACAAGCTATTCCTGAATATGCAAAATGGGAATGGATGTGAGGACTCGCCCTCTCGCTACCCTGTCATGTCCTCACGGACTTCTGGAGGCACCCCAGCTCCCAACACAGCACCTTACACCCATCCGGGGACACCCACCCTAATGGAGGAGCACAGTATAATTAAAAGTGAGTTGTTTAGATCTGTACACTTTTTTTTTTAAATTCCCAAAAAGTCCAATATGTTTCGTTTCCCCAAATGCATCATAAACGGCTTTATATAACTGAATATCTAAACGTTTCTGGACTTAATTATACAGCTGAAGACTTTGGGCTTAAGGAATTTCCAAAAGTAGCAACGACTGCATTTGTTAACCAAACGATCCTCTTCACCTTTCTCTCCATGTGTCCATTATTCTCTGTGTTTTTATCTGTGTAGATAATGTAGCAGTGCATCGCAATTCCCCACAAGCAGTGAGGAGGGACATTGGTCTGGCTGTCACACACAGGTACACCTTTCTTTCTATCAGGTTTTATTGAAAGTTTATACGAGAAGAAAGCAAACGTGCTGTGTTTTCCAGGGATATAATTAGGGTAATCTCCTAATCATAGGTCTCACAGAGGTTGTTGTGTTTGTGTAGGTTTTCAACAAAGTCCTGGCTGTCCCAGACATGTCAAGTTTGCCAGAAGAACATGATGTTTGGGGTTAAGTGCAAACACTGTCGGTAAGTTTAGGTTTTGCACGGCAATCATAAAGAAGAAAAGTTCACAGGCTGGGTACAATGGAGATTAACAACAGGGTCACATGATCTGTGAATAATTGAAACCCTACATGTAATTAAAGTAAGCTCAAAGACAAAATTTCAAAGGTGTAAACTGAGTAGGCGCAGTTATAAAATGACATACTCATTTTGAATTTGATGCCAAAAGCACTGTTAAAGTAGAGTCGCATTACCAAAAGGCCGGAAAAGTTGTAATGAAAAGACTAATAGTGATTTGAACTTGTCACGACCAGCTATGTTCAGCAGCAAAATGTTAGTGACACGACAGTGTGGAGAGATTGGTGGAACTATGGATTATGTTTCAGTTGTTCAGGAGTAGTAGAGCTACTGAAGCCAAGCTTTTGTAAGGGGTAGAAGTGAAAATCGGTTTGGGGTTTCTTTTCTTTACTGGAAATCTTAGAAATGCTGGAGGAGGGGACAGATTTTCAGATTTTGAGAAACCACAGCAATTTGTCAGATGCATGAGATCACTTGAGAATTTAATAATATTCTTATTTTTTCTGATTATTAATTAATTCTCAGTCTGGAGTTGAGTAGTTCTCACATGTTGCCCTCTCCCTCTGCAGATTAAAGTGCCACAACAAATGTACTAAGGAAGCTCCGTCTTGCAGAATCTCTTTTCTACCAAGTAAGTTTAGCTTGACTCTTAGCAGTTGATGAGAACAGTCTTTGTGTATTATGTACATCTGTGATGTCAAAAAATGTTCTCCTCTGCTGTAGTTGCCAAAATTCGGAGGACCGAGTCTGTTCCATCTGATATAAACAACCCTGTGGACCGGCCACAAGAAGCACCGCAGTTTGGCACGTTACCAAAGGCCATTACTAAAAAGGTACCAAGGAAAGACAAGGGCATTTATATGTTTTCACGAGCAGCATAAATCACTTTTAGATTAGATAACGAAAAGAGACATCGATGATGTGTCACTTCACAACCACGTTTGTTATAATAATCACTGTAGCATGCCACAGAGACAACCTGTGTTTGTTTAGATATGACATAGAAATGGTTCATCCGGTCAATGGTGTTTCTGTCACTTTTATACGAGTGGGCGATTCCCTATCTGCCCTTTTGCAGTCCTATAATCACGCCTGACTCTTACGAGCTCAGAGGAAAAATTCAGTGTCATATGACTCGGATTTATAAACCGTAATTAATGTTTTTTTAATGTCTTGCCAGGATCATCCTCCTGTGATGAACCAGCTTGATTCAAGCAGCAATCCCTCCTCCACCACTTCATCCACTCCTTCATCTCCAGCCCCTTTCCAGCAGAGCAACCCCCCCAGTGCCACCCCACCCCCCAACCCTTCACCCAAAGGCCATCGAGACAGCCGCTTTAACTTTCCAGGTAAATATGGACAGAAACGTTCACAGTATTTCTCCTCATTGCACTTTTTCTTCCCTATGGGTGAGAGCTGTGTATGTGGTCTCGCACACATTTCTCAACCCTTCCCTTTTTACACATATTAACACGGTTGTGTGCTTTTAGAAAAGATTGACCAATTCGAAGCCTCACTAACAAAAAAAAAATCTCTTCCTGCCATGCTTATCTGACTTTTCCCTCTCTTTATTTTTGCAAAAGCTGCCTGTTACTTTCAGCACAGACAGCAGTTTATCTTCCCTGGTGAGTTGACTGTCCTAATATAACACATTGACCTGTTCTTTTTCTACTTTCCCAGTCTGCATACCATTGATTCGCCGCAGCTATCCCCCTTTTCCTGCATTCTTACTCGTGATTTGTCGGTTTTTGTAGTGCTTCCTTGAATGCAGCATGAGTGCATTTTTACTGTTAGCAGCATTTTATCGCCATCTGCTGGAGCTCGTAGGAAACGCTCTGGATGTTGCAAGACAGGACGTTGTGTGAGGAAAATGAGAGAAGACGAGCCTTCTTTTTCCTCCCTAAATTATGTTTTCTCTTTCACTGTAGATGTTTCAAGCCCTGCAAATGTGTACTCTGATGGCCTCCATGATCGAGTGTAAGATATTTGTATCCCAAAAGTCAGTTTCATAGTGGTGCAGGTGTTGAGTTCTGCCTCTCTAACAACATTTTTGTCCGTTTCACAGCAATGAGATAGAGCAGTCAGCTGATGACGTACATGCTGAGCTGGTGGAAGATGAAGATGAGGAGGTTAGATACACAGTCTGCAAATGTTACTTCCCTCCCTGCTCTTTCAGTCTCATGGATTGCTATGCTCCCCTATGATGTTGTGTTTTAAAGTGCGTTGTGTCCTGTGATTGCAGGAAGAGGAGGAGGACGTCGAAGTTGATGATGAAGATCATGAAGATGAGGATCATGAAGGAGAAGCGGAGAGTTATGATGATGGAGGAGATTACAGAGATGACGAGGAGGACTCCCGGATGAATGTGGGTTCGGATGGCGAGTGCGATGAGGTTAACGACCTGCCCTGCACCCGGGGAAACCAGTGGAAGGTCCCCATCTCCCGCAAGGCCAGCCAGACCAGCGTCTACCTGCAGGAGTGGGATATTCCTTTTGAGCAGCTGGACCTTGGGGAACTTATTGGAAAGGTGAGGAACGAGACCCACTGCCCATATGAGAGTCTGAGCAGGGACTTTCACTGAGCGTTGTTTTGTTGTTTTTTATTCATCCAGGGCCGTTGGGGTAAAGTCCACAAGGGGCGGTGGCATGGTGAGGTAGCCATCCGGCTTCTTGAGATCGATGGGAACAACCAGGATCATCTGAAGCTCTTTAAAAAAGAGGTGATGAACTACCGACAAACCAGACACGAGAATGTGGTGCTCTTCATGGGAGCCTGCATGGCCCCGCCCCACCTAGCCATCATCACCAGGTGAGATCAAAGCCAACTCTCTCTGTTTTAGCTCAACCCAAATATGTGCTTTTTCATTAAAATCATTTCCCTCTTTATTTTTTCCCCCCATCAGTTTCTGTAAAGGGAGGACACTATATTCAGTTGTCCGGGATTCTAAAAACACCTTGGATATTAACAAGACAAGACAAATCGCTCAGGAGATTGTGAAGGTTTGTATTGCCTGTTATCTTCAAACAAAACCGTCACCAACTTATTTATATTAACAGACTACACTTGGCCACCCTTAACCCTTTCACTAAGGGAATTGCACATTTAGCCTTTAAAAAAAGGATTTTGCAAATGCACTGTAATTGGAGTTGTTGTCCATACTGTATGGAGTCTTCTGCATGCATGTCATGACCCGTTTGCCTTCTGCTACAGGGAATGGGTTATCTGCACGCCAAAGGCATCGTTCACAAGGACTTGAAGTCAAAGAATGTTTTTCACGACACCAATAAAGTCATCATCACAGATTTTGGACTGTTTGGGATCTCTGGAGTTGTTCAGGAAGGAAGGTAGGGACTGAACTTTATCTTAAAGCATCAAACCCCTGCAGAATCTGTTTAATTCTGCTAAATATTCTGTGCCATCTAGTACACGCTCATGTCTTTTTTTTATATATATCTACAGCATTTTAAATTAGCACTGCCTTGGCTTTATAAACAGGAATTTAGCTAATTTATTTTTGCATCCACATTTTCCTCATCATTTGATTTGCTCCTGTCTTTTTTTCCAGGCGTGAGAATAAACTGAAACTTCCACATGGCTGGATTTGTTACCTCGCTCCGGAGATTGTGCGAAGGATGAGCCCAGGTAACAACGAGGACCGCCTTCCTTTTTCCAATGCAGCCGATGTGTACGCTTTTGGGTAAGTTCTGTGCACACGCTCTCATTCAAGTCAAAGCTCTGAACCCTGGCCGTACTAATCTGACTAAGAGCACTGCCTTTATCCATTTAAGAACTATTTGGTATGAGCTTCAAGCCAGAGACTGGCCAATCACCAACCAGCCGGTGGAAGCTACGATCTGGCAGGTGGGGAGTGGAGAGGGCATAAAGAAAGTTTTGTCTGAGATCAGCCTGGGCAAAGAAGTCACGGTGAGTTCCTGCACATGTGTGTCAGTCAGCCTGAAGAGTGGCAAACGCTAACACTTTACCCACTGACGCTGTTTTCAGGAGATCCTCTCTGCCTGTTGGGCCTATGACCTGAGAGACAGGCCCACCTTCACCCAGCTGGCCGACATGCTGGAGAAGCTGCCCAAGCTCAACCGCAGGCTGTCCCACCCAGGACACTTCTGGAAGTCTGCCGAGTAGGTATTCCGCAGATAGGACGGATGTGAAGACACTGGACAAACACTCTGTTAGCCTTTGCGTGTGCTGTGGTTCCTTGTGGTACAATGACTTGTCAGTTGTGATGCTGTCGGGTTCTGTGTAAACTCTATAAGCAATGTGAGTGAAGCGGAGTTGTTTCAGACGTGGTGTGATGCTCCAGTCCTCTCCACATCTGATATACGGCGTATTTTTGTCCCTCTTTTTCACTGTTATGAAAACTATATAGTTTTCCAAATGTTTTTGTGACCACTTTAGTCTAATTTATGTTTCATCAAACAATGCTGTGACAACAAAAAAAGATAGTATTTTGGATAGATGGTGTCCGACTCTCATATTTAGAAATAAGTCATGAGAATCAGGATATTTATCTTTACTTTTCGCTCTCATCTATACTTTACATAAAGTTTTTTAGATTCATTTAGGTTGCATTTGAAATCAGGACTTGTGTTTATTTATGAACATAAAGGAGAAAAGAGTAGATATGCATCCTTCTTTTATCCAGACCAGCTTTTCCACTTCACAGCCACAGGCTGAAGTTGTTTCCTGCCATGCCTTCATCACACATCCACACCATGCTTCTCATGCTAAATGGTCCAGCCTCTCCGGTCATTTTTAAAAACATTTCCTTTACATGCGATGAATGACAAAGAGTGAAGACATGTGGCAGCAGTAGTTCCCAAAGACTCCGCGAAAGACGCAGACCACCACACCCCCCCCTTCCATCATAATCATGAACATTTATCGGTTGCGGCCAAAAGGAATCGAGGAATATCGTTTTCCTCTTCAACGAAACATGGTCCAGAGTGTGCTAAGCTACGGCCCCATTTTTTCCCTCTGCTTTTCATCTATGATTTGCTTTTGCGCACACCTTTTACCTTTGCTCTAAGACTAACACCAGCACTCAAGAGCTTCACTATTGATCCATGTATGTTTAACAGCCAGTTTTCTCAAAGCTGGGGGAAATTATCATGGGGGACGCTTTACAGGAGAAGCCCTTAAGTGGACAGAATGCAGCTGACATGGAGATAAAATGCGTACACACTTGCATTTCGGCAGTATCTGCCTTTAAACTAATCAATACGTGTGTGTGAAGAGAGAGAGAGAGAGAGAGAGAGACACGTCTCTTGCTTTTTTTTTCCAGTGTAAAGCAGTTACACTCTCACTAACTGTCTAACATTTGTGTTTTCCTTTGCTTTTTTTCCCTTCTGCTCTTCTTCTGTTTTCTAATCTAGGTTGTAGCCGTCACTATGAAACATAAGCAATGCAAAACAAAGCCTGGGTCTGCCTTGCATGCTCCTGAATCCTTAAACTCTTACAGGATTGATCAAAGCATTGCCTCTGCCTGAAACAGGCGTCACTTCCACTCATCCGCTGTCTGATCTTCCATGTTGGGTTTTTCTTGTTCGGAAGAGAGGATCGTTGGACTGAAGTGTGGCCAAGGGGACCGCCACTAACGGCCTCCTCGCTTTCCCCCCCCCTCCCCGCGTCTCCGATCTCTTTGCCTACCTTTTGGTTTAGTTCTCTAAAGCCAGTCGGGACTCTGAGGCCTCTGGTTCTCTGGCTGTTGGCGTGCTGTGATCTGTGCCTGCTGACCGCCCCTCTCCCCTTCTCTGTGCTGCTGTCATGTGGTTGTTCTCGCTGGGGTCCTGACCACACGGCACTTTTATCCCCCCCCCCCCCCCCCTGAAATACCCCCCCCCAAAAAAAAAAAACACACTGCTGGACATGAAATGGACTCGGACATTTTTGAACGGACCACTTCATTTATCTCCGTTTCCCCCCCCCTCTGGGGGGTTTAACATGTGTTGGCCAGGCTGCTTGAGTGACCCCTCTGGACCGGACCCCCCTCTCACCTCCTCTCCCTCACTTTCTCTCGGAGGGGTCGTGTGATGACTTGCTGAGATGTCCGCCGGCCCCCCCTTTTTCTAAACACAATATGCACTTTGTCAACGAGGAAAAAAAAATAATCATGGACTTTTTTCTGTTTTTCCGGGGTAGTGTTTTAGTTTGATTTGGCATCGTGTTTTACTGCGGTTTTATAGTTTTTTTTTTTTTCTCTTCAGGAGAGTTACAGAAGCTGGACAATGTGATGTGTTTACTTATATGTCGTCATTTTGGAGTACAGTCTGGTAAATCACTGTTTATTGGATGCATCTGAACGCGGGGCACTGACAAAAATGTGTGCGTGTGTATGTAAACAATGGTTGGAAAAAAAAGACACATGGAAATAGATACTACTGGCTCTATATGACGAAATACCTGTCAGTAATAACGTACTCCTGTTTAAGTGTAAAGTGCACCTTAAAAGAGTTACTTGGAAAGATCCTTCGGTCAAGGAAATAAGTGATTTCATTCTCTGCGCGAAAAAAAAAAAGAAGAAGAAGCTAAATTCAGGAACCCGGCGCAAAAGTGTCCTATCTCCTTAAACAGTACCTCTCGTGCGTGCTTGTGTACACGTTTGTGATGCTGGCTTCAGTTGGCGTGCTTGTTTTTATGTGGGTTCTATTTTTACTTTGTCTTTTGTTATTTTTGTTTGTGGTTTCATGTGTAACTGGGTGACTGGGTCTTGGAATATTAAGGGGGAGTTTTTTGGGTTGTTTTTATTTGTGGGGAGGGGAGGGAGAGAGAGAGATTGTAGTAAATGTGTTGTAAATTCCGTGGTATGTACTGTAGATACATTATTTAATATAAAGCTAATTAACATGATTCTTCTAATATTTGTATAAACATTTTATATGTAAAATACATCACGACATTTTTGAATAGGTACTGCTATGGAAATTTCAGATATGTATATATATTTATATTTTTTTCATGTATAAAATATTGTATAAAAGCTGTACATTTTGTTTTCCTTTTTCTTTCTTTTTAAGAATGGGCCAATACATGTTTTTTATGTTGTAAAAATTCATATTTTTGTATTGCATGTGACTACCATTATGTACACACACTTTCTGTTTTCATCCATGGAGGACAATAAAATTGGCTTGTCATGTAACAACAGAGCACATACTGTTCATTTACTATCATTTATTTACATATATTGTTTGGCATGTGTGAATTTTACTCCCTGAGTTTTCTTTTTTAATAACCAGGCTTCAGTGCAACATTCCTAAAGCGGGTAAACGGATCCAATACCAACCCAGTATTATGTAGAGTTGTTTTACTTCTAAAGCTTTGAGCGACTCTCGTGTTACATCAACATTATTTAAATAACAAAGTCACGTACAATGGAAGCTAAAGGTTTAATCTCTTATTTGAATGTGACAGTAGCTTAGAAATGAAGTTTCAATATACAGATTTCCACAAAACACTCACATTGTTAAAGAAGTGCTTCAGACCATACACAGATCTGAATGGGTTCAAAAGTCAAGCCAAATATTTATTTATTTCTGTTAATTTATTCTTTTGAATTTCACTAACTGAGTTTGAATAGTGCACCATATTTTATCAGGGCATTTCCATGAAAAGTTTAGATTTCTCCAAGTCCATACACAGTGATATATGTCCTAAAAAACAACTCCTAAAGTAAAACCAAGAAGTATCAAAAATTATTTTGGAGGCCAATAACCATTAGTCTTTGATAACTGAAAACAACCAACTGATTTATCAGGACTACTTTTGTACCCCTGGAGAAAACCAACAGCATATAACCCTCCTTGATATCAGTAAAATAACGTTCTATGGTTATCTTAACTATTCACAACAATTATATGAGGGCATCAAACAGAGAAATACCTTTTCAAAGCTAACAATATTAAATTAGACTGATTTCTAACAGTTCAAAGTGAATAGTTTGAATTATTAGAGGCAATAGTAAGAAGGCTGACAAAAACCGGTGGGATGAATGAGTTCATTAGCTGTTTTTCATGAAATGTAAATTGTTTTGTTCTCCATGGTTCTGATTGCTTAAAGACCCCGGTGAAGGTCTTGAATTATTTTAATTTAGTAGCTTTTTTTTGTCACTTGATTAAGAACATCATGAGTCAAAATAACCTGACGAGAAGTTGACGACATGAAATGAAAACATTTGAACATGTATGAAAAAAAGATCCATTTTCTGTCTCGGTAATGAGCCACTTTGCTCATTTTAGCCCACGTGTCTGATGTGACAGGCGCACAGGGCTCCCTTTCATCCTCTAGATGGCACAGATATCTCACAAGAAGTTTTCTAACATTGCTCACCATATGGACCTGTAAATCTTTACACAGAAATTAGCCTCTGCCTGCTATATTTGTGCACATTTCCGTTCACTTTAGTGCACTCAAAATCCTGAATAACCTTTTAAAAAAACATTTTTCCCATTTTTTTGGTACTACAGTAGTATACTTATATCAATTATTAATACCCACCCCCCTCTTTTTTATATCTGCAAACAACTTTCGCAGGGGTTTTTTTTTTAACTCCAGAGCACGCTTTGGGAAATAGAAGTGACTCATTGTGAGTCTAAAAATACCTAAATGGCACATCAAACCAATTAGCTAAACTGTCCGTATATCTTTTATTGATATTAGCAGTCAACAGGACAGTGACATGGAAACCTGAAAATAAAGCCTCTGTGCTTTTTTCGCGTTCAATTTGAAACGTGGCTTTAAAATTAAGGACTGATTGATTGATATGTGAGTCCTGGTGTCAATCCAGTGGAGAAGAGAAGGCTTTGTGCCCTCAGCTGCCACCGAAAAGGACCACGACTCCAGCTGGTACAGGACCACATGATCGGCTTTTGGTGAAGGGGGAAAAAATTATTTATTTTACAAGGGGACCAGTCATGCCGTGACAGTTACTCATTTGTTTGACTTTGTCACTTCCTTTCATCAAATTAGGAATTTAGAGCTCTGATTTTGTAACGGTTTTCCATATTATTTGAACATGCTTTAAACCTTTTTTTAAAGGGATAAGCCAAGAAGATTCTTGATCCTTGATCCCGGTTTCCTTCTTAAACTGAAGCACAGCAGAGATCAAGGCAGAACGCGGTGCGTTCAGGAGGCCATTTTGACGTTTGCTGAGCACTGCTTCTGTCAGCCATCAACTCCTGTCCTTGGGATTGTCCTTAATGAAGCTGTCCACCACCCCGGCCAGAAGTCAGCTATTTATAGACGTGAAAGTAGCACCCAATGGAACACAACAACAACAAGGACGCCCAGGCCCACACGGGCATCCACCTTAAATGTCCGGTGACAGGAGTTATTTCTGACTAATGGAGCTTTTTTTTTCTCATCTGTGTTCTTTCTGCTCTCACTTCCTCCCTGACATATTTAGTCCAAATGTGATCTTCTCTTTCGTCAGAGAGCTGAACTGATACTATCAACCTCGTTTTTTTTTTTCTGATACGTCCAGTGGAAATATTCAGGTATTCTTTTGTCCTCAACACATCCAATTGGCACTATTCTTTCAGTAGGAAAAAACATATTGAGGAGAGCTGTGTTATTCTCTTCATCAGCATTGTTGGCCACTTTTGATGGGTGAAAAAATGATAAAAATTAGAAGATTAAGGTTTATTACAACACCAGTGTGTTTTCTAAAAGGTCAAACACACATGCTAGTTCACTGCTTTCACCATTTTGCTTCAATAGAAATAACAAGACACTCTTTTAGGGGATAATCCTATTCAGAATGACATTTTTTACCTTAAAAAAAATTCCAACATTTGTCTTTTTTATTTTCTATTTGTGACAGAACAGTTATCTAAACATTGAGCTGCATACTACAAATCCCCAGATCTTTAGCTCAGAACACCAACTTTCAAACGCTCTCGACAGTTGATCACCATAAAGACATCTTCCTCTAAATTCTGGGTGTTAAGAGTGCAGGTGCAGACAAATAGCAGAAATCAAACCACTGGGGAATCACTGCTTTTCTGAAGGGAGGAAACAAGAAAGGGAACTTTATGAGAAATGGTAACTTTCAATCCATGCAAATCATGAGTGCATTTATATATAAAACATGTGTGTGTGTGTTTCTCCCATCATGTCACAAAAAGGAGCAGTGACAGACATTTGCAGCACGGAAGCTTAAATAAACGGGACTTGAATGTGTCGTGACCTCTGACATTGTGTTTTAGACACAGTTTGAGTCTGCACTGCCCATTATATCTGAACTTTTTTTTTTTTAATAACCTCACAGATGTCCCCATGACCAGCAGGAGCACTCCACTGAGCACGCAAACCACTTCCTTCTCTGAAGATAGATCGGAATAAAAAACTTAAGCTCAGATGATGAGCGGGCTCTTCCTGTGCCGTCACTGCCTCTCAGTTCCTCTAAACACTTCTCAACTTTTCTCCTCACTCTGCCAGTGGCGTGCACACTCACTCCCACAAATTTCTGCTCTTCCTGAGGCCTCATCACCACCAACAATGTAAGTGATAAATTGTTTCTTTTATTGAACACAGTCAGAAAAAAAACACCGGAACAAACTCTGAAAATGGTACTTTAGACAATCTCGAATTTTCTAAACCATCAGCTACATGCCAATTAAGTCAAATCTTCTAATGAATACAGTGAAGTGTTTGGGTTTATTGTTAGAAATGTAGTGCACACGATCATATATGAAGTAAGTCACAATACATTACAAAAAAATGTAATTATGAGTTTAAATGTTTGGGGATTTTTTTTTAATGATTACTCTGAAGAGGCTAATTTACTATGCAATTGGTAAATGAGCACATTTTAATGTGACTAAATAAGTTGTGATTTTAAAAAAAGTTAACAAAAAAAAGTTTAACAGAAAAAAAGCACTGCAGAGAAATAAGAAAACGACATCAGTTTCCTGTATTATATTTTTATCAAAGTGGAGTTTTTTCTGTTCATGATCTATTTCTGACTAACTTTTTCATAGCAATGGAATGAAAGTAATAAAATGAGATTTTCCTTCTCTTTCACATATGCTAAATAAAATCTCCTCTGATACACACGTAGGTTTTTTACTTTTATAAATGCTAAATATTTCTGGTAAAAGAGTAATTTGACGAATGATCCTTGTTTTGTGATAGTAACATTGATAGTAATAATATCAGATTAGTAGAAAAACCTGACGCAGAGGAAAATACAGAGTATGAAACAAAGAATTTTCAAGTGTCACACATAGGTCCAAGTTGGACGTATTCTCTATACAAAGGGCATAAAGTGTAGACAAAAAAGTGTCATTCAATCAACATGATTAAGATATTGATCCCCTGTCTTTTCAGAAACCAGCATGAATTCCTTGTTGAACAGCAAAGTTCTTCTGGGCGTCGTACTGTTCATCCAACTGTGTGCTTGCTTCTCTCAGACTCTGTCGTCTGTAACTTCCGCTGCCCCTGATGAGAGCACCACAGCTACTCACATGGTGGCGAGCACTGAATCGGACGAACAAATGACCACACCTGGCCCTGGACCGAGGCCCCCCCAAACCACGGCCCCTCCATTACTGCAGCGCCTAATGGAGGAGAGTTCCCTCATGGTTCTGGTGTGCTGTGGATTGATAGTAGCCTGCGCTCTCCTGCTGATGTCCACCATAGCGTTGCTCTGTAAGGTGTGCCGGCTGAGGAGACGCCTGAAACTGACCGATGGTGACGGTGACCCGGTCAGCTGCGCGGAGTACCGCGTGGGGAAAAACGGCCCGGGGACAGACTCCAAAGAAACGGCCGTGTTGATGACCGAAATGAGTCAAACTAACCAGGAGGGGAGCAACGGGACCGCCGTAGAGGACGGGGGAATGGAGGATGGAGAGGAGAGGGAGGTGGGAGACCCCCCCAACAGCGAGGAGGCCTTTAAACCCGCCGCCGATGGAGGAAACCCGTCCTCCTCGGAACCTGAACAAGAAGAAGCCCCCCCACCAGCTGTGGCCTCCTCACCTGAAGGCCCGGAGGAGTCAAAGGATGTGGAGTAGAGTAGAGCTTTTGGGTTTCTTTACAGCAACTTTAACCTCCATATCGTTTTACAACTGCTCAATCATTCCGGTTTTTATCAGCTTTTACTCTGAGCATTTTTTATCAAAACCCACTGTTTGACAGAGCACCGTGCTGACATTTGACACTCACTTTAGTGGGGAAAATGATCATTTTAACTGTAACTTCTTTCCTTTTTTTTGTTGTTGCGAGACTGAAAGCATTCATGTGCGAAGAGTTATAACTTCTGTTTTGAATTAAATGCTGCCATTTCTCATTAAAACGTGTAACCGTGTGTGTGTGTCTGTGTGTGTTAAAAGGAAATAAGGGATCGGCCCCGATTAGCAAGCAGGGAATGTTCCTCCTCCAGGCAGCGCCGCTCAGCTCAGAAAGAACGCTGCCTTTCACCTCAGCCAGAGCCCACAAAGCCCCAACAAAAAACCTTTTAAAAAAAACCAATATGGGGTCGTTTCCACTGTCACGGGGAGACATTTGTTCATCTGCTTCCTCGTGACATCGTGACGGATGTGCACCTTTCATTAAAACGCCCTAAACGGTTTGCTCTGGGTCCTGACGCCTCGACGCTGAATGCAAAAGCAAATGTTTGAGTTGTGGGGAGCTCCGTGAGAGTGTGGAGCCAGCGCAAAATGATTTCTCACAGGAAAAGCTTTTTCTTTCTGCTGGATTTGGCTGATAGGTGGCAGCTAGAATTCGCAGTTAGGCGTATTATACATGGAGAGGGGGAGGAGAGGAGTGGGGGGGGGGATGATGATGATGCTGGTGCAGGCCAGCTTCCGGAAAGTGAAAAGGGTGGTAGTTGAGAAAGTAGCAAGCAGCTTTTTCTTTCTTTCTAAGACAAGAACATCTCTCATCAGGAATTTAAAAAAAACATTCTGGGTCCTCAAATGACGTCTTGGCATAAATCAGGAAAACGGCGCGGCGTTATTGAGGCAGAATTTGTCACAATTTGTTAGCCTGTGCACTGATGAGTTGGAGCTCGGGACCTTGGGTAGGAGTGCAGCAATGCGGTGCAAAACGGAGAGTTGCCCGTATTGCTGATGGCAGGTGGGATGCTGCAGAGGAGGAGAGAATCCTCTGCAATAAATCTTCAGCCTTTGTGGCGGGCTCTACATTTACATGGAGAGGGGGGGGGGGGAAATAACAACCAATTACAGCGCCTCATCACTCGCCACAGAGACACCTCGGAGAGGGATGATGTAGATTTAGCTGATAACTGATAACAGTTTATCTTTTAGTGAATGCAAACAGTCGGTTAATCTAAACGCAACAATCGTTATCGCATGAGATGCAGAAGGTAAATCCCCAAAGCTGTTAGATTTAAAAAGGGACTAAGAAGCTTTCCCCGGTGGAATTCTTGTATGCACTTCTATTATGCGCTTCATTTCTTTTTCCCCCCTTCCCAATAGTCCCCCCCCCTCCTCCTCCTCCTCCTCCACCCTCCTCCTCCAAGCACACCACCCCTCCCCTTTCTCTTCCACTGCACACAGTAAATCCAGAGCCTGCAGTGCCCGATCGCGCTAACCCAAAAGATCCATAAAAGGCGATAGTAAACAGTTAGCTTTCAAGAAAGGACAAAAAAAAGGGGACCTGACTGCAAGCCAGTGAGGGTGGGAGAAAACACCTGCACTGGACAAGTGAGTAGGGGGTCAAAATCTATTAGGGACCTAGAAGGAAAATAATCCTAGAAAAGAAAAAAAGAAAAAAAAAAAACTCCACTGAGCCTGAAAGCAGGAGAGGAGAGAGAAGAGGTGCTGGACAGCAACACAAAACAGGAACAGAGCAAAGTGACTGGAATGATAAGATGAGAAGGTGAGTTATAGATTCAATTTCAAGACTCTCTTTTTTTTTACACACACACACACACACACACACACACACGTTTGGCCACACCCTGACTCGCAAACACTGCAGTTTGGACGGGCGCAGGGCTCCTGGCTTGTGTCTTTGCCCGCCTTTGGACCAACTGATGCATGAGTCCTCTGTGGAGTCATTAATAAAAACCCATCTATTGAGCTAGTTTTCCCTCCTGTGAGAGCAGGGGGGGGGGGGGGGGACTGACTTCACTGACAACCACTGATGACTGAACACAAACTGATGCCAGGGATAAAACCACTGCGGGGACTTCTCCTCCTCGCTGATGAATGATGTCCTTCAATGGAGTTGAAATATCATCTCACGGTCCGGGTCAAATGTTAATCGCTTATGGAAAAAAGCGCACATTTCAATGCTCGTGTAATGGTGCATGCAAAGGGGACGGCCATACCTTATGGGAGTCGGTGGGATGTGTAACGCTCAGTGTGTGCCTGCAAACAATGACAAGATTTGCAGCAACATTAAAACACTTGTGTGTGTGTTTGTGTGTGTGTTTAGCATGCATGTACACTTCCTCATTCCTTTTAAGTGCATGAGGAGATGTTTAGCTCAGGGTAGAGTAATAGATCAATGATTAAGCCTGTTTTATTCAGCCCTTTATAGTAACAACACAGTAAGTGTGTGTGTCCTGTGTTCACTATCCAGGCACACTGCAAGTCAAGTCAAGTCAAGTCAACTTTATTTATATGGGACATTTAAAATAACCAAGGTTGCCAAAGTGCTGTACATAAAAAGCATGTATATGTGATTTTAATGTAAAAATAAATAAATAAATAAGATACATAAAAAAGGTAAAAAAGGTGCTCTACCTCAACCTAAGGTTACAAATAAATGGCTTTTTACTGCAGACACAGCTCTACTTCCACAATGTGTCCCGAGGCGCTAAAGATCTTTGCTGTGTCCACTGATATATATATTTTTCCCCTCCTCCCCTTTTTTTCAGACGGCATGTGCTAGTGAGGCTTTTTCTGGATGAGGCCTTTCTGGGACTGGCGCTGGCGTTGTGTCTGGGTCCGCGCGCCCTGGCCGTGTGTCCGTCGGCGTGCTCCTGCGGCCCCAGCCACCGGGAGGTGGACTGCTCCCGGAGGGGTCTGCGGCAGCTGCCCGACGACCTGCAGCACAACCTGCGCGCCCTCAACCTCTCCCACAACCGCTTCCACGACCTGGACGGCCTGCTGGCGCCGTACACCCACCTCAGAGTCCTGGACGTGTCCCACAACAGGCTGATCCGGCTGCCCGGGGACCTGCCCCGCTCCCTCTGGCAGCTCCACGCCGCCGCCAACCGCGTCCAGCAGCTGGACAAGAACCACACGGTGTACCAGTGGAACCTGCGGACGCTCGATCTGTCCGGCAACAAGCTGGAGAGGGTCACGTTCATCAACAACACGCTCACCAACCTGTGCGCGCTCAACCTCAGCCGCAACCACCTTCGGACTCTGCCCACCAACCTCCCCTCCCGCCTGGAGGCCGTTGACCTGTCGCACAACCTGCTTTTGAAGGTTCTGCCGGGCTCTTTGGACCGGCTCCCCAGGCTGACTCACCTGTACCTCCACGCCAACCGCTTTTCCGCCCTGCCGTCCGGCGTCTTGGACAAGATGGCGTCCCTTCGGATCATCACGTTGGGAAGCAACCCCTGGGCCTGCCACCTGTACGCCGACGTGGCCTACCTGCTGTCCTGGAGCCAGCGCACCCCGGCCCGGGTCCTGGGCTGCCCCTGCCACACCCACCCCGTCTGCGGGGGGGCGCGGCCCGCCCGGACCGGGGGCTGGCACTTTGCGTCCTACAACCTGCCTCCGTTGGCCGCCAGCGCCCCAGATCTGACCCCCGTCCCCCCGGAAGCCGGGGTCACCGGGTGGTGGTATTTGTCCATTTCGGCTCACACCCCCGAGGAGACCCCGAGCTCACAGGATCACACCCCCCCGCCCGAACCAATCGCCATTTCCACCCCAACCACAGCCCCTCACCTGACCATTAATCACCCGCCCGCGACGGCCAGCCCAATGACCGTTCATCATCTGGTCTCTGACACAAAGGAAACCTCACCCTCTGACTCCCTCCACACCACAGGCGCAGGCCCCCATCTCTCTGACAAAAGTCTCATCACCGAAACGGTCAAGGGGAATGGCATGGCGCTGGCCACCGATCGATTCTTTACAACAGAGAGCCCCACCGTCCAGACAAAGAGGACGAGCACTCTCCGCACCCGAAGCGTCAGGAGGCAGAATCAGTCTCTTCCTGGAGGCGTCCGAAGCAGCAGCCCGACCGTTTCTGCCTGCTCCGCAGTCTGTTTACTTGATATTTTGGGAATTCTGTCTCTCGTTGTGCCTCGAGGCTTGTGAAATAACAAATGAAAAACGCAAACGCTCGTAAATTTAAAAGCACAAAGACATGAAACAAAACGCGCACAAACATGAGACTTTCCATTAGATGATGAGTTGTCACGTCGGAGCAATTATGTTTCCAAGAAAGTTGGTCATTTTAGGTCATTTTAGGCATCTGGAGGGATTTCAAAGCCATTCTCCCATGTCTGCATCTCTTGTTTGGCACTGCTGTTCAAGATATGTCACGATTAGGAAACAGCCTTTTCAGAAAACATGAAATACAATGTTTTAACACTGATTAGATTATGGCTGAACAGTGTGCTCATGAGAGGAGGAATTATCCTCTTCAGGCTTGAGGAAGCAGCAGTAATTGATTAAAGACTTAGAAATACAGATTTTCTGACAAGTAGAAGACAACTTTCTATTTGTCAATCCTTGTTTAGTGACCTCAGGCCAATAGAGTCCATCCTTTGTTTCTAACCTCATAGTCTCTGAATTTATTCTGTAATATTATGAACTACATATAATTAGAAAAAAAATATTTGCAATTTTGCAGTGTAAAAAATAAATTTTTATTTGTCTACATAACCTAAAAGTGAATTTGTCCCTGCACTGAAACTGAACATTTCTGGGAGTTAGTCTGTCTTCATCGTCTAAACAGCATGCCAACTTTTTTGGAAACAGGGTTAAACAATTAAAGCTTTTTTTTAGCTCAACAAGCAAATGACATCCTGATACAATGCTTACAGTCATGCTAATTTGATCTGTATGTTTCTGGAAAAAAAACGTCCTTTTTCTAATGACACTTTGGAAAATGTCTCCAAAGGAAATGAAAAGATGTTGTAATGAATGCAGCTAAGCACATGATGGCACTATACCTTCAGCTAACAGTGTCTCATTCCACTGAATGCCAGCAAACAGGCTGGTCATCGCTCTCTTATCTAGTTTAATTTAGTCTATCTTACTTTCAGTTTACCAGGCTAAGCAGCATTGCCCTGATTTGTCTGTTTGGTCTTTAACTATTATAACTAGTAACTATTTTGATTTGAATTGTCTTTCTTGCCTTTTTCTTTTTTTTTAGCAACCAGCAATCAAAAAGCAAGCTTCAGTGAGTCAAACTATCATTGTGAGTGGTTGATGTCAGGCAAATGTTGGTGCAAATATTTTTATAGATGAGTGTTTTTTTTTCTGGCAACAGGATGTATGATTCTGTAATGGCAGACGCACATCAGGAAACCACAGTCAGTTGAGCAGAGGGCAAAAAAAAAAAAAAGAACAACGCCGCATCACTTTGCTCAACAAACTCAGAGCACAGATTACCGCTTCTGTATTTTGATCACATCTCAGACTTAAGTGTCCTTCATGATTCAGTGACACTTGTGAAAATGATCTGCATGGTGACTGAACGCTCCAAGAATGCTAACTTACCGGCGTATTGCGGCGGCGCATTAAAGCACAGTTTTCAGCTTTTTCCATCAAAATGTCCATCCAGATTCCGATTGCTTTAAACAGCACTGATGCACCGGCCCGCAGATTTCTACATTTTAGCGACGCCTTTGTGGCAGAAACCAAAAGTTGCCTGAATGATAAAAAACATGCATCACAGCAGACTGAATTTAACAAATGAAAGAAGAGCTTGTGACAGAGACTGTGTTAATGGTTGGGTATAAGATTAACGTGCAATGCAATGTTCAATAAAACGTGAAAGTTCACAGCCTCCAGTGATTTAACAGACACTGTTTTCTTCACATGATAGCTTATGCCTTATGTTGTCCCACGGTAGGTCAGTGGTCCCAGCCTCTGCTTCCTTGATTCTGTTTTGTCAGCTAACAGCAGCATGAAGCGACTTGGCAACTAACTGGACCTTCCATTAATTCAAATAAAGGGTTGCCAAGGTTTTACTCAAACTGTTCATATATTCTAAGGAGTGCCCACTGAGCAGAAAAGTGCTAAGGAAGAGCTTCCCTTTACAGTAATCGTGCCTGGAAGCTGCACAGATCAAACACAATCTTATCTGCTGCTCGCTGTAAAAACAACATTCTGCGTCCAATTTTTTTTGTAACGCTCCATGAGAGGAAAAAGGAAAAAATCTTCATCACACGCGTCCACCGTGGAGGAGAGACTTGTCCAGAAGAGCTGGGCCTCTGTGTCGCCAGCATCCGCGTGCTGAGGAGAAGTGAGAATCTCTCACAAGTAGGGACACCTGTGAGAGGAAAGCAGGACTCCTCCGGGCTGTGAATGACACGGAGAGGTGTGAGCCCGGTGAAAACGTGACCCCGTGGTGATGTGTCCTGCAGTAAAACGGTAAACAATCAGAAAAAAATTCAAGGCCAAGAATAACACACGACGTCCAGATTAAAACCTGTTCACTTTCATAAATTTGGTTTTCACAGGAGGCAATCAGATGATGTTACAAAAAGCCATTCATAAAGAAAAAGAACTCCATCTGCTTTGATATAAAAAAATGACTGAAAACAGATTTGCACAAAATACTTCAATTAGAAATTTTGAACTAAATATCAAACGCCGGCTTAAATGAATTCTGTTTATTAGAGGCTCAGAAGCAGAAACAGAGGAAAACCTGTTCAACGTGCTTCCTATTTCTAAGCAGGACTCAAGGTTCAAAGAAAGTCCAATCTGTTTTTCATTTCCTCTCTCAGTTTGGCTGAAATAAGAAATAATTCATTTTCTAAATGATTTTTTGTTTGGTTGTTTGGCTGTTTTGTTTACAATCCTACAAAACAAAATCTGTTTTTGTGCCAGGATCCAGTCAGCCGTTTATGTCACTGCAGACCTGTTTTATGAAAAATTAGAATTTACTCATTTGATTATTTTCCCTCCATGCAAATGTTTGGATTCCCCCACACAAAGTTTGTGCTGGTGTGAATTGACACTAAAGTGAAAGATTAGCTTGTTCAAAGGGCCTATTCATAGAATTTCTATTATCCAAAAGATAAATAATCCCAGACAGCCACTCATGTTGGGAAAATCTTTTTTTCAACAATGGTCGTTCTTCTTCTGTGGGAGTTTTGGTCCGTGGTTCGCACTGTTCCTCTGAGGTCTATCCACAGATTTCTCACGTTGTGAAAGGTTGGTGACTCTCACATCCGTTAAAAAGCCTTTATCAAAACACTTTTTGCAGCATAACCCACTGTGGACTTTGTGATGTGTACAGGACTTTTTCATTTGGTGGACAATGTGGAGTTAGCCTTTAGAATCTGCTGATATTTAACTGAGTCTATTCTTCCCTGTGAAATATTTCCTGAACCACTGAGTGCCCCTCCAGTCAAAAGCCTGGTCAGTCCACCCTGTGCTTGTTGCAGAGGCGTTCGCTCGTTCAATTATTTAGCGGCACCTTTTATCTACAGCACCTCAAAGCAAGCAGCACATGGAGGTGATGTCAGATTCTGATACTTTACGTCAGAGCCACATCCTCAGTCTTCCTTTCATTATATCCAGTTCCTTCAATGTCAAAAATAGAGGCACAATGGGAGTACATTTCTGTCCCCTGAGGTACTTTTCTCAAGTCGCATAGCCCATAGGGCTAATAACTGGCACATATTTTCACCTTTAGAGGCCCTGAGAGCTACAAGTCTGTCCCCAAATTACAAGGGTACAAAAGCAAGGGCTCTGAAAGTTTTTTTTTGTCTGAGAGTGTTAGGTTTTTTTCAATCCTACCTGTTCTCATTAAAGTGAGTAAACACATTTAATTACAGAATCTGTTCCCAAAATCCGACACGAACAAACCACCAAAGCTTAATTTCCAGTTGAGGAGACATGTCTTTCCTCTGATGAGGCATCCATGAGGGTCATTTTCATGCAAGAGTGACTATCCATCAAACAGAGCACCCCCTTCAAAGAGTTTGTTAAATCTGAAAGCAGTAAAAGCAGGGGGGTTGTTTTGTTTGTTTGAAACCCCTGTTTTCAAGGTTTGTCAGATCCCAACTCGATCTCCGAAGCTCCTCGTTCTCTTTGTAGCTTTCCCACAGCTGCAGGAGCTACTAAATGCTGGACAGTTATTGGACGAAATCCAAAAGCGTTTGCTCCTGGGGCCCTTTTGTGTGGAGTTTGCATGTTCTCGCCGCATATGCGTGGGTTCTCTTCGGATTTTCCATCACGTTAGGTTAATTGGTGACACTAACTCGGCCCCGGGGCCATGCGCGTGCACTGTTGTTTGTTCCGTTTGTCTCGGTGTAGCCCCGTGATGGACCAGTAACCTGTCCAGAAGGCATCTGCCTCTTGTCCAGCAGGGAATAAACCCCAGTCCCATACAATAGTCAGGTATAAAAAACAACCCCATCTATCAATATATTCATATTTGAATGGGTATCTTTCTAAAGTTATAGATATATCTATATATTTATATATGTCTTTGTATCTTTCTCTCTCCTTTTAGCTTCGGAACTTTGAAACATCTCTTCCAAGTCTCTTGGAAGAGATGCCAGTGAGCCAGCCTTCCAGCCAATTATTTTCTGTGTAGACAGCACAAAGTAATGTCAGATTTCTCCTCTGGCTTCTCCTAATAACTGACAAGGTGTAGAGGGCGAGCATCATTTACTGCTGCCATGCCTCCCCTCTTCATCTCACCACCCGAGCTTGTTTTGAGTGAGTTTCCCTCCTTCTTCCAGCCACATTCAATAAGACTCACCCTTGATTTACTTCTTTGTACTGCCCTCTTGTGTTCTCGTACACTTAATCTCCTCTCAGTTGTATGTATAACCGTGTTCAGACAGTCGTGTACTTAAAGGCTTCAAAACCACATAACGTTTGATATTAATAAAGCACGCAGTGAGTGTCAACAGGGAATATTCATTTTGTGCATCTTAGCTTATAAAAAAGGATTCTCCCCCTGTTTTTAAAGATACAAAGCTGTCTCAACACAACCATTATTGGAGTTAACCTAGAACTGAATGTTCTCTCCAAGATACAATACAAAAAAAGGGGAGTTCATGAAATAACCTGTAATTTAATCTCTTCTCTCAGTTATCTGAACAGAGCACGTAGTCCTCACCTGAAGTAGGAGAGGGCACGGTGCCACTGTAGGTGGTGAACCCGGGATATATTTGGCTTTTTCTCGCAACGCTCATAAAATAACACAATCATCTTGGATCTTTGAGCAACAAAGAGAAAAACACAGTTAGACAAAAACACATCAAATATGCCATCAGTTCCCCTATATGATTACACGTGCTCTAAGTGCCCTCTTGTGGTGACAGACATCATTTGTCATCACCATTTCAGGGGGGCGTGATTTTTACAGTGTTCTTGCCTCTGAGTGACACTGTTCTCAAGATCTACTTAAAGATTTACACAAAGCAAAGAAATAAAAAGCTCGGGACACGGAAACCAAAGCTTGCGTGCAGCCAGTGTTAATTCCAGTCGAACCAGACAATAGTTGTGTCGGGGAACTTTTTTTAGCTTTTGAATGTCTCTCTTAAATTATGGCTGCCAGGGAGTTTGATCCTTCCAGAGAACTATACTCTGACCTAGCCCAACTCTAATTAGGCAAACAAAAAAAAAGGCTCGTGACCCGTTCCACTCAGGGGAAAGTTTTGACGAGAAAAACGCTGACAGTCTCTACACATAACCGGCAGCCCGCAGACCTATTGTACTCCTATTGTAATTCCCATTATCGCACCCTGTCATCACTGACCAAAGCGCTATTGTGCTAGACGCATTATGATACGCAGTGACTTACCTTGACAAGGCCACTGCAGCCTGTTTGTGGCAAAAAACAATGGCGCCAATTTCGATCTCCTCAGAGCCAGGGTCACTTTATCAATCGTAGCACAGAATTAGGCTGGTACCCGACCAAAGGACGCTCAAATGCCACAGATAAAGTTTATCTGATCAGCCTAATCTGTATTGACAGCTCGGGTCTATATGCCAAAGCTCAATATCTGTTTGAGCCAAGAGCAATGTTTTTCAGTCCGATCGCTGATTAGCAGAAAAAGCTAAAAATGTGTGGGATTCTGGGAGAAATAACAAGCCGAATGCTCTAGCAGCTGGAAAGACTGATGAGACAGGCAAAATTCAACCCTGCAGCAGAGTGGGGGGGAGGCTGAGGATGTGGTATCTCCCACTCTCATCTCAATGGCACAGACAAGGCAAGGTCAGTGTTAAGGTCAGTGGTTGCAGAATAGGAAGTGGTTGGCAAGCGGGAGAATATATGGTGGCAGCCAGCTGGAGGAAAGGAGAGTAAAAAAAATTAAGCAGGGGGAGAAGAGAATGGTTAAAAACAAAGAATTAGCCAGGGGACAGAAAAACACCACTTAGCTGCTTGCCCAGAGAGGCTCGCTCGCCTTTTTGCGCCTCTGCAAGATGTTTAAAACGTCTCCGGCAGAGCATATTGCTCTTATATAAACAGACTCAGATGGAGTTCTGTAGGCTTGTAATTCTTGAGGCTCGTAAAAGCTTATTGTGTGTCAGCTGGCAACAACAAATGCTACCGATCTGCCTCGATAATTTGGATATTACGAACCCCACGAAACGATGACGAATTTGAGCAAACAAACTCAAACCAAAAACCCAACACGGCTCACACATATGATCTGGTTTCGTGTTCAGGTTTGGAATGGGGAAAGGAGGTGGGCAATTTCCTAAGCCAATATGCACATGCCTCTTCTGTACAGGTGATAGGATGGCTCCTCGCTGTGCTTTAAAGCCGTTCATCACCGTCCGTAACACACAGCTCTCTCAGGAGTCGTACAAACAGCAGCCGGAACATTCTGGGGAGCTGCAGGGGCATGAGCTTATCTCCCAGCCCAGTGGAGCAGGTAAATGATGTCGTCATCATCCACTTGTGTTGAAGCCTGATTGGGCTAAAAAGAGCCCCCGCATGCAAGCGTGGGCCATTTTTGGTCAGAAATGCAGATATTCATCCTTAGATTGCGCTATCAAAGCTAAAAATTAACCAGCTAACTCTGGCCAAGTTCTGCTGGGTCCTCTGTTCATGCATACTTAAAAAGACTGTTGGCTCCTGTTATTATCTGGGAAAAAAATATGTCTTTAGGGGTAACACAGGATAAACTGTGGTACCTTTAGCTGATTTTGAGCACTTAGTCCAAATGAACACTGTAATTTTAGGAATCTTTAAAGTGCAATTAGCTACTATTAAGCAGCCTTTAGCATAGATATTTCGAATTCAATATTAAAGTTTCTTTTTCTCATATGTAAGGTGTAATAATGTGAATGTCTGAATATCACAGTGGGCAATCTACCTGGGATGCTGGTGTATAGCCTCTGGCACAGTTTAATTAACTCATCTGTGTGGTTACGGAAGCTATAATGGGGGAGAGAAATCACTCAACATAAGAATATCCTTCCTGCTGATCTTATTTCAAACGCTGTCTTGGCATGGTAACAGAGATACGCTCTCCCGGTAATACTAACAAATCATCAATAGTTGACGGGGTTTAAACACAGCCACCCTTGAGGAAATACACAAATGAATTAGAGGAAAAAATATTATCTGTTAGATTAATAATTTGATCATTGTAGTTGGTGGAGACAGGCTCTGACCAAATCCTAACCTTTTTTCTGGGCAGGATGAAAGAGCAGGTAGCCTGCAGTTGGGTGAGTGGCTAATTCCTAAAATAGGTCTGTCAATTATGCATGTCTGGGTCTGGCCCTTTCCTTGCATCTTGAGAGGTGCTTTAGCTCGGCAAAGACGAAGCAAAAATACAAGGACACTAGAGGGAGACAATTTGTTCACATCTGCAGCCCTCTCCGCAGATTTTCGTTGTAAAAGGGCCCTACTGATAAAAGCAGAGATCAGAAACAGAAAGCATTTATGAAATTCAGAGAATAATTTCAGCAACATCTCCAGTTTCCAGATGATACCCACAACAAATCCATCCAGGTAATTAAAGATGATCACTTTGAGAAACAGATTCATTCTCTCTGAGAACATATAATGAGATGAATGTAACATTTACGGAAACTCCCCTTTGACCACAAGTTTAACTTAATTTGTGCAAACAGCATCACATCAGCAGGTGTTAATATCATATCACGCTTTAAGATTTAACGGAAATTGTGCGCTTTACATCCAGGAAACGTTCTGGAACCTCTGCAGAGATGTGGTAACACATGATCCAAGAACAGTTTCTCCAAGGTCAGGAGAAGACTGTTGGGCTGTAAAACGAGTGCTCAAACAGGAAACAGGATGCCTCTTCTCAAAGCAGCATCTCATAATGCTTTCAGTGAGTCTGTCACTTCTCTCACTTTCTTTTTCCCCACAGCTCTTTCACACATCAAGTTTACATCTCACTCAAATCCTCAAACTTGTCTTCTTCTTTTTTTAAACAGCTCATTCATGATCACAGGGTTCTTGCATGTTGATTTCTCTTTCTCTTACAGCTGAATTCAGACTTCTTCGCATTTTTCCAAGATGGTGGCGAATGAGGTATTTGTTTCTTGAAATATCTGTGAGATGATGATCAAACCTTTCAACGAAAGGTTATCATTCATATTCTCTTATGAAATAAAAGTTCTCTCTTTCATTCTTGCTTTGTACTAGATTGATCTCTGACACGTGGCTGTCAGGGCAAAGTTGTTTAAAGAGATATAAACATTTTAGAAATTTTCATCATGTAGCTGTATCTGCTCACTTAAAAGGGACCACAGCTTTATTTAAATATCAGTGCATGTTTCCTCTTCAGTCAAAGTCAAAACAGATCAAGGAAAAACTCAAATTCTTCACAACCATTATTACAACAATATTGAAGAATGAGGTCCATAACATGTAATTGACAGCAGAAGCAGAAGCTTTTTTTAAATAAAAAAAACATGTAGCCTTGACATCAAATGTTTAGTCTTGGCCTCAAATCTGGTTCACACATCTTGATTAGATATTGTAAAATGTCATGCCTGCTGCACGTTTTCTGTCACATATAACTCGGTTGTCTTCATGGCAGAACAACAGAGGAGAAGGGAACGGTAACATTGCTCAGACACAGAATAATTCACAATGCGATGTCGGAACCGGAGCCTCTTGTGTTTTTATTTTGAGTGCAACACAGAGCTTGATCTTCATTTGTTAAATCCACTGTGATTTTTCACACAACTTCTGCAAGGCTTTAAAAACTGTTTTCCCTCAAAGTGCGTATTCCATGTCTATATTCCTTAGCATTCACTGTTTAGTATTCCTTACATTGGGCCTCTGATATGATGAGGTTACCGTAATCATGTGTATCCCAAACTGACATGGGTCAGAACAATTGTGCAAAGATGGAATAATGAGTGAATGTGTGGTATTTGGATTTTTAATTCTGCAGAGAATTGCCACTAATTGCCCTCTTACCTTTGCTTCACAGCCACAGAAAGTTGCAGTGCGGAGGCTTCCACAACTAACGACTGACTTTTAGCTCCAGAACTGACAAAAGCATTGTTATTTGAGTTTTATCTTAGTCATTGTTTCAAAAACATTCTGCCTGAAGAGATAAGAAATCCCCCTGGCAGAACCCTCAACAGTCACCACAGACAGCCGTTTAAAGAAAAAAAAAAAGCAGAAGAAGCTCACTTACTGTGAATATTAAAATAGGATCAAGTCAAATTTCATTGGGAGAGCTTGCAATGTATTAAATAACAAAACTGTGCTTCAAGAATATATGTTGTCATCCTTATTGTGCATGCATCAATAAAATGTGTGCAACACTGACTTTTAAAATTGTGTTTTTATTTTTCGTGCTCTATGAATAGCATGCCTTTAAATTAATGTTGACCATAATTTTTTTCCCCACTTCATAAGTCCTGCACATCCATTCATTCTTAATATATTAACCAGTTTTCTTCTTCCTCAAGGTTATTAGGGGGCAGGGCCATCTTATCTCCACATACATTGTGCAGAAGCAAGAGCTGACAGCTCATTATAGGTCATCTACATGAAAAGATCCATTATTACACCACTGTATGTAAGGGTACCATACTTTATTGATCCCCATGGGGATTTTCTTTTGGGCAATCATAATGAACGCCACAGTTAAAGGTGAGGCCTTGGGGTCAGCTGCAGTGATTCAGTATCTTGTTCAGGGGCACACGAACAGCACCGGAACACGGATTCTAGGGCAAAGAGAACCATTGTGCATCTAAAATATCTGAAACTGAACTTCATTTGAAGATATTTGGTATAATTTTTTTTATAATGAAGCTTGCATACTTTAAAATACAACGAAATGAAAAACAAGGTTGTATTGGTAGAAGTTTAGATCTGTTCTGCAGACACGGATAAAAGCTGTAACGCAGTCATAAAAACACTTTCTATGGTAAAAACATATAACTTATCTACGTAGGATATTGTTAAGAAAACAAATGCAGTGATCATGGGGTTAGAACAAACAATAATGGTTTCTATTCAGTTGTTAGTATTCAATTATCATCCAATTATAAAAAAGATGGAAGTTTACTGGTGCTGCACAATACCTGTTTTACACTTTGGCTCACACAGTATGGAGCTCTCAGTTGAATTAAACCCTGATTATTTTTCAATAAACACTTTTGAGGCATAACAATGGCGATGATTTAAATATTAACGAGAAAATAAGAATCGTCCCACTTTTTCACCCTTTCTTTCGAGGGGACTATATTGCATGGCGGAAGAATAACAATTAACAGTCAATAATGGAAAAAATATATATTTCGCTGTTTAGCTTTTGGGAGGCTCAGTTCTTTTTCGGCATTAAGCACAGTTAACATCGTTGTTATAACACATTTCTTTCGCGACGTGTCCGCTGATTTAGAAGAGTAATAACCCACCGGCACCTCTCGCGGGTTATTGCTTAATTAAATGACAAATCGGAGGATTGGTTTGCAGATTGCCTGAATTGACGTCAATTGGATTGGTTAGGTGACAGAGCCAGGCTCCGCCCCCTGTGGGCCAAGGTAGAGCGTGCTGAGAGAGGGAGGAGGGAGCAGGGGGCTGAGCTGATCCCACGTGTGACGCTTTCATTCCCGGCTCAGTAATATTCTCATAGCGGGGCTTTGCATATCTCCTGCCCTATCTGTGTGTGTCTGTCACTGTTACTGTAGTCCCAGCCTATAGTTTGGAATAGATAATGGAAGGAGACGGGAGTCAAGCCACATCCGGAAGCTTAAACGATTCACAACATGACCCGGGGTAAGAATCTCTCTGAATTTAAACCTAAAGGTAGGGGTTTTTTTTTCATGTTACAACATCTTGGAGAGGACTTCGACTGCCGTGCTGGATTCGTCCTCACAGTACGCACTTAAGCGGTGCACGGGGGGTTGTTTCCAAACGCAGTTTTAGAGACCACAAGCCCCGTAGCGAGAGTGGCCTCCCCCTTTTATGTAGATAGAGTGTAATTACCGAGCGCGAGTGTGTTCCCATAGTCTTCCCTTATCCTTTAAGGTCGCTTTTAGAAGTAGTTAGTCGTCAAAATGGCCGAACTGACATCTGGACTCACTTCTGTTGTGTTTTCCCCTTACAGTAAAATGTTTATCGGTGGCCTCAGCTGGCAAACCTCACCAGGTGAGATTGTTATTCCTCTTTTACAGCCCGTGTCCGATATTTCTTGTTGTTTTTTTTTGTGGTCGCTGTGACTGAGTGCTCGTTAGCAGCTGGCGGTGTATGTGCGAACGTGCACCGTGCAGTAGTGTTACTGTATGGGATATCTCAGTGGTGTGTGTGCGCGCGATGTTATTTTTTTGATCTCCGTCCATCTGAAGTCCTCTATTCGACCCCTATGCGCATCGCGGGGTGTTTTTTTTTGTTGAAAATGCACACACAACAGCATGCCCATATGTTTCTGTCCAATGACCCGACATATTTTCTCTCTGTTCACAGACAGCCTTAGAGACTATTTTAGTAAATTCGGAGAAATAAGAGAATGTATGGTGATGAGAGACCCCACGACAAAACGCTCAAGGTAAATACAGGGCTTTTTTTTCTACTTTTCCTTCCCGGTGCACATGACGATATCGCTTACTTTGACCGTGTTTTAGTGTTAATCCGGGCGCGTGTATATGTGTGTCGGTGTGTCCGCGCGCGCCCATGTGCTCGCGTGTGTCCCTGCGCGCGCGGGCGCGCGCGCGCGCCTGCGTGTGGTTTCACAGCGAGCCAGATAAGCTTAAATGCTCGCTGCTGTAAAGCTGCGGCCGAATGCAATTTGACATTGACTTTGTGACTGCACCACAATGTTGGTGTAGCGTCGTCTCGCATTGTAACGTAGCGAACAACGAGCAGCGCTGTCCTCCCAGTCGGTTTTCAAATCTGCTACAGGACGTCCATAATCAGGACTCCGATTATTATTTTCTAGCGAAATAATGTAACAATAATAAGGTCAGGGGAATATTTGTGCCGACTGTTCTCCACCTTATTGTCGCGAGTTTGCTGTCCTTCCTAATCTGTACTTGTAAGAAAAAGAAAAAAAACTTGTCATATTTGCTTTTCATGTATGCCATGTTTTTTTTTTTTTTAACATTGCTGTTTCCATCTTTGTGTCTCTTTATTTTGCAGAGGATTTGGGTTTGTTACGTTTACAGATGCTGCCAGTGTAGATAAAGTCTTAGCCCAACAGCACCATGAATTAGACTCAAAGACGGTGAGTAAAAAATTTTTTCTGCACTTCCAAGAGTTTTATTCCATGTTCTATCTTGGCTGTCTGTGTTTTTGTTTTTTTGTTTTTTTTGCCTAATGTGACTTTCCAGTGCCTGAGACTTTGTAGGTAAACACCTATTAGGTCAGCGGGCCGTGTCAGTCAATGTCAGGCACACGGGGGGAAACGCATGATGGCTCCTCCGACACAAGCCAAGCTCTAAAACACAGCTCCAGGGTGAATATTATATGTGTTCACTTTTACTTCTCCGCCTGAGTGGGGCCGACACGCCCCCTTTCCCTGCTGCAGCCACATGTGCGGCGTGAACATATCTCATGTGGACACAGAAGGGCGTGCTGTCTCAGGGCTGCTGCCTCGCTGCCATTTGACCCAGCAGATATCGCACCGTATCACTTCCGATGTGCTGATACCGCACGTGTGTAAAAAACGGATTTAAAACAGTCCATTACCCCCCCAAAAAATGGCGCTATCGTGACAAAAAAAACATCTCTGTTGGCCAGCAAACTAAATTCAATCCAACTGAATTATCATTTTTTATAACACCCAACGTGATTCTCCAACTAACCCCTGGCTGTGTCAAAGTAAAATGTATCACATAAATAATGCAATTACTAATATGATAAATTAGCCTGAAAATGAAAAAAAAAAAAGTCATTTGGTCTATTTCCGTTTTCAAATTTGTTGGAGAATGAGTATCTGAACACGCTCATCTTTTGTAGAGATGACTGCACTAATGGATTAGGTAGGGTTTGGTTGAAATATTTGGCAGACAGTTAGATGGATGTAATGGCAATCGCACTGTGTGTGGCCCAAACCTAGTCTGTATAAATGGACATAATTAAGGATTTGGAAAAGTAAATAGAATACAATTCAGGTGGCAATCTACACTGTGCACAGAAACTAAAAAGTTAAAGGAAGGAATGTAAATTTAAGATTTTAATATTGAAAAAGAACAAGAAGCTTGCTGTAGTTTGGACATCAGACTTAATAATACTTGCTGTTTTTTTCAGCTGGAAGGTTGGTAGGATGACGGCCTCCCTGTTTTTCTTTCCTATATTTTTTCCCTTTTTTCTCTGAGGGAGCTATGACCTCTCTGGCCAGCTCTGCAGAACGGCTCTGTGTTTTTTTATATATTTTTTTTTACTGATTTCAATGTTTTCCTGGTTTAAAATGGAGTAATGCACCTTTTAGATCGGGAATGCACACAGATGATAACAAGTCGCTATCCACCCGTCATTTATTCATTTTTTCCCGCGCGTGTCCCCCCCCGTTTCTAACTTGAAGGTGTGTGTTTCAGTGTTCCTGCATAGATGAATTTTATTTGTTATGTCCTCCCTCCTATCAGCTCCATTACTGTGTTATGGGAATGGGGTGATAAGGACGTAGGGTGGCTTCAATTTGGAGAGCAAATCAGTGAATGTAATGTGAAGGCAAGGTGAAATGACCAATAAGTAAGGATGACAGCAATGCAAAACTCCAAAGCGTCTGCAGGGGAATCTGTAGGAGCCCGTAAAGGGGCCGCTTGAAGGGGGCAACGATTCAAACACTCTTTGAATCTGGAGCAGTTTGATATCTTCAAATTTGACATTTTGAATGAACAGCTTTGTGACAGTTTGACAGCATATATACTTACAGGAAAGGTCGGGGGGATGGGTGTGTGTGTGTAAGGGGGTGGGGGGGTGGGGGGTGTGCAGGTAAAAATATTCTCACACCTGAGAGCTGGCCTGCACAGCTCTATTCTTCAGTTTATGCTTGATAAATAGAGCAGTTGTTGCTCCGTTGCTGTGCCCGAAGGCGCTGGGTGAACAGCGGCAGCAGGAAAACGGTTAAATTCTTCATGCTGCTTTAATTAGTCTGTTAAGATATTCAATGGATTACATTGATGACCTGCTAATGCCACCATCTCTTAGCTGGTTTTTTTTTTAGTTATAATCATTGGTTGGTGAATTATAACTCCTCTAATGAAATAGACTCTGCTTCATATAAAGCCATGACCCAAATATTGGGGGTCTTGGTATCATATAAAATGGTTTGAAATAGTATTAATGTAAAATGATCTTTTATGACTGCCCAGAGCCTGCTACAGGATACACTACATCTAAAGGGATACAGCTTCAGTTTGCAGAAAGGGGCTCAGTCAGTGGTATTATGTCTTACTTATTGCAGGCTTGGGGTCATATTTTGGTAGATTTATGTTATACATTTCAGTCGACTCCACCTTACCCTGAGAACTGAGCAGTGACATTTTGAAAGCCTGACACCGGCTCGTCATTGCCTTTAAATGCAAAGACGTAGCTTAAGTTTTGCATCCTGATCCAAGGAAATGTGGAGACATTTTTCTGTGTTTATTCAGACTTCTTCTGCCAGAGTTTTCCCACCTGAGAAGAAGGCAAGTTTTTATTCAGACTTGTTTGGGGTGTATATTTATTTATTTTTTTGCTTTCGGAGACAGTCCGGGGCTGAAAAGAAATTAGAAGGGAGACCAGGTCAGACTTGATCAGGCAATGCCGTGCTTACATGAGCACTGGGATCAAGTTTATTCAGCAGGGTCCAGGAACAGGTAGTTTTAATGACCAGGAGATAATCACATTGCACAGTGACTTTTAAACAGCCTATGGCCCAGTTTTACAATGATAAACTCTTGTTTTCCTGTTTTATTTGTTCCTAATGAGTTTGGGTGGTAAAGGTGTGGACACTGCGATGCTTGTGCCTCTCGTTCAGGTATTTTTTTTTATAGGAAGTCTTCTTTTGTGGATGATCTGACCAGGAAAAAAAAATTGGACTGATTTGCTGAGTTCTGCTCCTCACACATCTCCACCAGCAGTGATCTAATGTAGAGCTGGAAAGTGCAGCTCGTGATACGGCTGTAGTTATTGCGTGGAGGATGTGGAGGTGTTGCCCAAACCAGAATGTGTGAAGGCAGAGATTAATTTATGTAAATTATTTTGGAATGAAAAGGCAATCAGATGTGGGCCGTTTTGTAATCGATGAGTATTTGACAGTGTGATTGACACATCTTGTGTAAATAGGTAGCCATAGCCATAGTTGAGCATGCTCACCATTTGTCTGCTGTGCACCTAAACATTCACACTTTCAAGATGGCGATGCATTATATTCTGCCACATCTGCTACAAAGTTGCTCTACAGCAATAGTGAAAATGAACCGGCCATGCAGACATGACTAGTTCTCACCAGTCTCGAACTTTTACCGCACTCATATCGATCCTTGCCATTTTCTCTGTCCCTGGTAACCTTGAATTAAGTGAGTGACTGGAGGTGATATGAGTCATGTTAGTTGAGCTCCTTTTTAGTGTTGTTTTAATGTTCCCGTTAGTCCTCCAACAAGCACACAAACACAGAGAAAGACTACAGGCTGTTCAAAGTTACTGGCATCCCTGCAAGTAAAGAAATTAGATTATCCGTAAAAACTCATTTCAGTGAACTTATATATTTTTAAATAAGCTGAACCCGTATTAAAATGCCCACCAAAGTTACTGAACAACAACAACAAAACCTAAATGGAAAATATGCACTTGAAACGTGCCCTCCACGCAGCCATTTTCTTCCTTTTGATGAATGGAAATGAGTTGCTGAAAGGAAAATCAAAAAGAAGCATCAGTTTTTAATTCTGGCTTTCACATTACTTAAATTAATCAAGCCATGATTATTTTCCTGTGTAGAAAGGAGTTTGGTGTTTACGATTTCTACTTAACAAAGCACAAATACAAACCGTTAAAGCAAAATTCAAAAAAGACCCCGCTGCTGATATTTTGACTTCAGGAAATGAAGTCAAACGCTGGGATCTGTTGCTGTTTTTGCAAACGGAAAATCTCTCCTGGCACTGATGTCCTCAATCAATATTGCCAGACAGAGAGGGTCAAACGTCTTGGAGGTGATGTTTAAAGTGAAATGATGACGTGGCACTGACGATGAAAAATAGTTTGTATTATTTCAATATTGAGGGAGTGATCTTTTTTTGATAATTAAGAATATGTGCATTTCCTATGATATTTGAATATATGCTGAATAATATGTTTTGAATTCAGTGGTTGCCCGTGATTATGGACTGGAGTTAAAACAAAACAAAATAATACCTGCATGAGATGTGTCTTGCTTCTAGTTAACAGATACTATAACAATATGGTTAATCTTTTAAGCAACGGACTCGTCTGCAATTGAGGTTAAGAGTCACAAAATCAAATCATTCCAACAAAATACCAGGATCAGCCGAGGATAAAGATGGGCACATCATCAGAGTCTTCTTCTTCTTCTTGGAATGCTACGTGAGCCACTTTTAGTTCGGTTATGAAAGCACTCAGACAGAGATGAATGTGAATGAGACATATGGGGAAACACGGCCTGAAGGCTTCAAAACACACATGCCGGTAACTCAGAACATATTTACCATTTTTCATGATGTTTCATTCAGTTTGGAAACATGCAACTCACAGCATCTGTTCCCAGAGTTGTTTTTTAAGGCAGGCAGGCTGGCGAGTAAGGGCCAGCTCACAATACGTGCTGTAACATTTCT